TCGAAAATGTACACACGGTGAGAGAGGGGGAAGCCACTTGGAGTGGACGGCTTCCCTGTACATTTTTTCAGTCCCTGCCCTCTGAAATTCCTCTCCCACAGCCGATCATAATGATGCTATACTCCATTCACCAATGAAAACCATACTTTGTGGTTCTTAATTTTTGTTAAAAGTACCGGTGGCAGTGTTGCTGTTTATGTCTTTGACAGTTAAAGTTTTAACACTTAGGGACTGTGCAAAAATTATCAGGAGGGGGGGCGGAAAAACTAGAGTTATCTAGCAAAAACTTAGACAATACCCCCCCGCCAAAACAAAAAAAAATTAGTTCTAACTCCCCTCTGTTATGTTAAAAATAACGTCGCACCTCCCCTCCCACCACCCACCCACCCACACACACACGCACCCACCCCTCACCGCCACCATTACCATAGATACCTTTAAGTAAATACCTTTTATATTGTCATGCGACTGTAAGCGTACGCTTACTGTCTTGTTGGATGTCGTCGTCTGGAAACACTGGTAAACTCAAAACTGGACTGAGCTGCCATCACAGCTTCAATAATGACAAACGTTATTATGTAACATCTAGTATCGAGAAGGATGTTGATCACTTGATTGAAGATTTAGTCAAAGCATTTGCTAAGTACCGGGGTGCTTACCACATTGGCTCAAAATCAAACTTCTGAAGCCAGAAAGAGAAAGGAGCAGAGAAAAAAAGTCAAAGAACAGGAGATTGAACGCTTCAAATAACAGACGAAAAAGAGCCTGCATTATATTTAGTTCCTTGGGAGGAGAGCCTGATGAACTTTGTTATGAGCCAGATATATATGGAATTCAGCAAATCGATTCAGTCGATGAAGAAACATTACTTTTATTCACATCAAAAACCGACAAGGCTTGTCTACGAGATCTGTTTGATTCCCATTGTTTTATGGGCGAAGCTGAAAAACAAGTTCATGATTTACGCTTTACTTGGGATCAGCTCAATTAATTAGAAGACGGGTTAAAATTGATCAGTTGTGAATTTGCTTTTCATTTTGATGGAATATTTTCAATAATCGTTTAACAGCTGTTCGTATTAATATTTGTTACAGTCTATCATGATGCCTGTATTGAGAATCTTTTATTGCGTTTACATTTCGAATAACTTGACTTAAGGCCCCCCTCCGTCAAATGAGTGATTTTACTTTGAGCCGGCCCCCTATCTTGGCAGCAATTTTATGTAATGGCCCCCTCTAGTTTTTCAGCCCCCCTCCTGATAATTATTGCACAGTCCCTTACCGTGACTACGTGTGAATTCACTTTTTCATTGTATTATAGAATTCTTATTTAAGGCGGTAAGACCCTTCCTCTAATTTTTATTGTGGGCACAAATAATTTTATAGAATATTTACAAAGCTACCAAATTCTAATATTTATTTATTACAAATTTTATTTTATTATTTTTATTATAATACAGTATACAGTGTATGTTGTAGGTACACTAGCTGCAATTTAAAACAAAAACAAGGCTCTAATTGTCTCCTTTCTATAAGAAGAAAGTGATTTTTGTTTATTCATATTGTGCCTGGTAATATTGTTGATTTCTGAAACTCAGACTTTCTGAAAAAGTCACAATTGGACCTTCCCTCTACATGAATTTTTTTTCTTTACCCTCTTCTTTGCATGAATTTTTTTTCTTGGCGTTTTCCCTTACATGAATTTTTTTTTTTTTTTTTTTCCCCCCCCCCCCCCCCCCCCCCCCCCCATCACTTTTCTAATGGTCCGTCCCTTTTAAAAAAACAGACACCCGAACACGTGACCAATCTGGAATGTCTTAAACTGGGGGATTCCCCACCCACTTTCTTACATCATGTCGAAAAAATGTGCTGTGTAGGCTTCTTTGATCATGAACACGCGGAAAGGAGGTTTTATGGTCTTGGCTTGTTGAAAGTTCGATGAAAAGTCAAAGTCCTCTGGGTAAGTAAATCTAAGTAAATCTATAAATTGATTTAATACGGTAGTATTTAGCTAGTAGAAAGTATTTCCACATTCCTACACCGATCATTCAACGACAAGTCAAGAGGCACAATCTCTTACAGCTGGAAGGTAGGTTTTGGACAATAGAATAAACGTGTCGTAATGTGCTGTGTTATGTCATGGAAGCGTTTATGTATAATGAAATTACTAATTGACTATCGAAGACCAACAAACCAAGAGAGTCTTTGTACCTACTGAAATTTATATACCTATTTCGTCTCTCTGCCCACCCTCACCACCCAACGATTTGCTCTTGCATTCATCATCAGTCCGGTTTTGTCGAGATCGCCGTCATAAATAGACTACATTGTTTAATATGCCATTTTCGTGCCTTGTGAGGGGATCATGGAATGTTAACTTTGACTTTAAACTTAATTATTACTTCAAAACGAAGTCTTATGAATTGTAGAAATAAAATGAAAAAAACATGACAGAAAATTTGCTGTCGTGTCACATTCCACTGCATTGAAGCATGACATCACAATGTCAAGCGTTATGGCGCCCTAGCTTTCTCAAATACGAAGCTTGAAAAATGCCGTCAAGCGCTTGTTTCATGGAAGTTATATCCTGCATACACTACAATTTTGAAGTCCTACCATGTTCAACGACGCTACAACTTGTCACCATTGTTGAGCTGAATGATAATTATATTTATGCACAGTCATGTATATGTAGTAGTTAATTTTTATCTCGGGCAATTTTTGTTTTTCTTTTGTTTGTGGGTATGGTAATGTATGCTAATGAAGTTGAAACTAAGGAAAAATAAAAATTACCCGAGATAAAATATTCACTACAACATATTTGTACGTAATTAAAGTCATCTTATTGTAATAACACAATGATTCAATTTGAGCGATTACATGTATAAACCAGTTAAAATGAGAGGCAAAAATAAAAGGAACCTACATGGGTACTGTGTAAACAGTCTTAAATATTAATTAAAATAAGCGACTGCACCCTTGCATTATTAAGCTGATAAAAGAATTAATTGATTTACTTGTTCATACTTGCTTGAAATTCATTTAAAGCTAGTCATTAAAAAAAAGAAAAAAAAGACTGGGGGCTGGGGGTGGGGGAAACAGCCTACCACTTTTGTAGAATAATAAATAACTTTCTTTTATTTTACCACGGTCAACTCATTAGGACTTAAAACACTATTTTTGCACAAAACTTTAATTGATTGGGTTTCCAATGAATCTGCAGTTGGGTTGCCTCCATTTAATTTTGCTGTATGCATGACTGCAACTTCCATTTTTTAAAAAAACATGAGTCTGACTCATTTTTCATTTTAGAGACAACTCAACCAGACGTCTTGGCTAGACATGTTCAGACGGTTGGTCTGGTTTGCCCTATGAATTATTTTGTTGTGGTCAATTGTCGGTAGACGTTTTACTAGTAACAATGCCTCCAAAGAGAACAATCACATTATTTTTTACGGCTTCATCAAAGTGAAACTGTCAACATATTGAAATTAAAACTGCAGCAGATGAAGGGAAAGTTATAGTGCCTTCTTCCTGTGTAGATATAGAGGACAATCTTGTGACATAAGCTGGTTGGATTGGGACATTTCTTTTTTTTATTCGCACTTCCAAATGTCATAAATGTCAGTTAAAATTTTGGCCAGTTATGTCAGTTATAGTCTGTTAACCCTATCCAGACCCTCCTAACCCTAGCCCTAACCGCTGCCTATTATTGCAGATTGGAGCGGGGTGGTAGGGGATGGAATGTCCAATTTTATTTTCAGCCCCCCATACTTTTTATTTCGCTCCACAGCCGTTGATTAAATAGGTGCATTATACAATGTAAACCCATGACAGGATAAAGGTGAAAGAATGATTACATAAATAATATGAAAATCATATATATGGAAACTGAAGAATTAAATGCAAAGAAATTCATTGCAGTTAGTACTTTCCAATATGTATGTGTCTGTAACTGTACTGAAGTCCTTGGTATAGGATGTAATTCCTTAAGACTGTTCTTTTCCTTTCTTAAAAAGCAAATATCTCTTCCATCCAGTAGATCATTAAAAAGCCCAGGAGGGGAGGGAGGGGGTACTCCCTTATATAAGCCACATGGGTATATGCACCCCAAAGGGTATGGTTTTTGCAATGCTTTTGTCTGAAAATGGGTATGACTTTGCTCATTTTGGTCTGGAATCGAGTATGCTTTTCAAGGGAGCTCTGTGAGTGTACGAGCGCATTTATTGTTTCAATTCCAAATGAGTTAGAGAAAGAGAAATATGCGAATTTGAAATGTATTTTAAGAAATCTTTTTTGTTGCTGTTCTAATCTACGTGCTGTTGAAATAATTTCTTAAAGGCCAGGTCTGAGAATGGGTATGGATTTTAGAGGCCATGCAGGTCTGAAAACGGGTGTGAAAAATGAAATTTTTTGGTCTGAAATAGGGTCTGGATTTGGAGAACCTGTTGGCACACCCCCAGCAAGAATTCTTGGGAGAACCTCACGGGTTAAAAAACAGATATTTTCTAAAAACCTTTCACTGCCTTTGTATACTCTTAGGAAAAGTGCTGGTATGATATTGCCTTAAGCCAATCATGGGTGAAGCTGCTTAATAAGCAGGAGCAATAATATTATTTTTGTGGTCAGCTCAGGCAGGTATCCTTCTCTCTGAGATATCGGCCAGTGCATAATCATAATATGTCTTTATAATATGTCTGAAACATGTCAGTGTTTAATAACAGTTAGGAGTGAACAGGCAAACATTAGGTATTGGCTTCATATTTGAAAAGGGAAACTGTTTGCTGCAGGTGTTGTTCTTCTTTTTTTTTCAGATTTTCGGGCCTGTTTACATGGGGTGGGGGGACTTTTGGTTTGGTTTCTTTTGTTTTCACGCTTCTCTCCCTGGCTAGCGGAATGTGGTTAATTCTTTTTGATTGAAAATCTATTTTTTTATTTTGAAGTAAAGAGACAAGTCAACATTTAAGTTTCCATAGATAACATGCTCTCAGACACTTTTCATGTTTAAGTTTATTTACAACTGGCTTTTTTACAACAATCATGTAAGTTTTATAGTTTGATACAAACTAGTTAATTATTAAGCCCATCTTTTAATATGGATTATTTTTATCATGGAGAACAGGTAAACATTAAATAACTTAATGTACCCTGTGGGCATAAGAAACTAAGCTATTAATGCTAAACAGAGTCTGGCACTACTGTCTAGTATAATAAAGACACCTTTGCATCAAGCAAGTTTTACTCTCAACAATACTCAAGAACTTAATAGCACTTTTGCTAGTTAACTTAGACTCAGACTTTTAAGTGCGCTTCAAAACTACAAAATGCAAATTTACTTCAAAAGTATTTTTTCTCCCGTAAAGATTGTTCATTTTCTTTTCCCTAATTATTGAATGTAATTTACAAGTGATAATTTTGCTATTTTCCAGAATTTTACCCGTTTGGCTTCTTATCGTGTGAGTACAAAAAGTTTGAACTCTTGCCATCGCGTACTCTTAGATAGGCCTAGACCGGAAAACACCAAAGCATAAGAAAGTAGCCCATTTATAAAAGCGAAAGTTCATCTGAAATCAGCTACTATGTCCAATTCTTGAGTAGAAAAACGCCGAAAATGAGTTCTTGTCCCATTTTTTCCGTGACCACTTCGGGAACTTCGGAATACTTAATCCGAAGATCTTTGGAAATCTGCGTACGGAAACTGATCAACCCATAACCGCGCGCGCCTTGGAAACAGTTCAGTGCATTTTTACTCATAGGTATTTTTTTTCGCGCACAGTTCTTTCATTGACACATTCTGAAAATGCGGGGTGACTATCGTTTTCTGCAAAAATGGCGATTTGTTTTAGGATAGCTATTATGTGGCTCGTCATGCAACAAATTTCTCGTTAAATAAATTGACCGCTACATAATCAAAGAACTGACGAACTGACTTGGTAATAAAGATCTAGATTCCGTTTGCCAAAGCAAACGTCAGAGAAGCTTAAAATATCTTCGCACGATTTTCTGCATACGAAAGCCTATAAATCCCTTGGACAGTCGCGCGGTTTATCCAAAATTCGCAAACTATGGTACGCAATGAATCATTGAGTTTTCGTCAGTAAGTACAGTGCATTAGATTAAAATTCGGTGAGGTGAATGCTCAAAAAGCGAGTAGATTGCAGTTCGGTCCTTACAGCATAATCTATTTTCAGGTCAAACTAATTTGGCTCACATAGAACAATGTAAAAAGGATCAAAACTTTACATTAAGTTACACCCAAAGTTCAAAAGCTGTGATTCACTTGTCATCGACTTCAGTCCAAACAAGAAAATAAAAAGGAGTTTTCCTGATTGAGAATCAGTACGGTTAGTAAAATGCTCATGGAAACGGCTCAGCGAAGATTCGGGAAAATGACAGAAAAATGATTGTTTATTTAAGGACAGATGACTGTGGCAGAGATTCCAACTCCTTCCACTAAAAAAAGGAAGGTTTTAGGAGCGGTATAGCCGCTCCCATGTGCATTGAAGATGCGAGCCTCCAGGGGGTCCGGGGGCATGCCAGTGCAGTGCCTCTTAGATGCCATTTCCTGCATTTTGAGATCGAAAATTATCGCAGGCTCATGCTCGGATGCCAAAAGGTATAAAAAATGGCTGAGAATCCACAGAAAAACGGCAAAGAATCGTGCTAAAAAGACTGGCTAAGTAAAGAAAACATTAATCTTCTTTGGCTAGAAAAACTTTTAAAAATCTGGAGAATATTATGCGCAAACTGGAGGACGGAAATATTCCCCGAAAACGGGAGGTTTCCGGCCAAAACAGGAGGGTTGGAATCTCTGCTGTGGAAAACTGAGGCAAGAAGATTAAAAGGCTTTCATCCTCCAAAACGTTTGCGTCAAGAACAGTTAGTGCAACCTCGTTGCCGGGGTTCTCTCACGCTCCGAAGAGACGGGTAGGAGAGAACCCTGGGAACGAGGTTGTGGCTGGTGGTTATTGAATGAGGCACTAACTAAAGGCTACGTTGACACGGCGCAGGTGCACATGGAACCACCTTAACCGTACGAAAATTTAGACGTCTCTAAGCCGCTTAAAGTTCCGTGTGAACAGTGCGAAAATATTGAACGATTTCGTGTTAACGAAGTGGCCAGCCAAATTTTAGCTCCTAAGACGTTAATGGATCAGTAGTAAAACCGTCTCTCAGCCTTCGGACAATTAGAACGTTTTCTATAGAACTGACTTGGCGGGGGAGACCCTCTGTTGAACAGAATGAATGAGGGAAAGTATAGAACTTCAACAGAACCCAGTGCCTTAACCTGAGTTGTATAGCTAGCAAATCGTGTGGACCAATAACAACAATAACAGCGAAAAACTGTAGAATTCTTAAATTCATTTCAGAGCGATTTTCGTATGACCTTCGAAAGTGGTTTCGGTATTACTCGACAAGTGTTCGTTATTTCTTTTATTAGCCAATGGACGAAAAGATCAAAACCGCCAAAGAAAACTCTAATATGGAGAAGGCATTTTTCGACTGGCAAATCGTCTTGCAGTATGGCGTCAAAGCGAAGTATCGATTGATCTGTAGAAAGGTCTCGGGCATGAAGTTTATTCTCCCTAAGCGTTCGCTTAACCAACCACAAGCCACGCACGTTTGTATCCGTTCGATAACCATGCAATCAAATTGCTCTATTTCCGTTCGTTTGTTGTTTCTGTTTTGTTCGCGCGTTTTCATTTCAAGGTAATATCGAGTCATACGAAAATCGCTCTAATTATCCGGGCTGTCAGTGGTCGATTCAGTGCCGTTTAAGACGGGACTTATGAGGAATGCACCAAAATAGCTGGTCTCCCTTTGCATAAAATAGGACTTTGTGAAGGGAATCCGCACGGATATTTTGTCTCCTTTACTGAGGAGAAAAACAGCCCCTTGGTAATTCGTGTTGTATTTCTTTGTCTCGCTTACAACGCTACTGATACTGCGCATGACAGGCTGCTCATTGATGTATGTGTAATGACCCATGAAGAGCGTGTCCCCAGCGTAATAGAACAGTTGGCTGTATATGAAGTAGTAACCGGGAGTGCCAATCACGAGAAAACTGTTGCTGAGGAATCTTATATTTCCGGTTTTGTGGCCCAGTCTCCAGTTCGTGATACGATGAACTATAAGAGAAGTAAAGAGATGTTAGTAACGGAGTTGATCGGCATAAAAATTGTGGCTAGTTTGCACGTGACGTCATGACGGCAACGTTAGTGGTCAAGAACAAAAACTTTTCACTTTGCTTGGAACTAAACTCCATTTTCATGTACATTTGCCTGATCGCCTTGTCACGTGGTTACAGCCACTCGGCAAGGCGTGGTTGTGGTTTAGTTCAACTGCGGTTTTTTCCCCACACATTTCGGTGGTTTCACGAACACACAGAGCACTTTAGACGTTTATGAATTGACCGCTGATTCTCCAATGTTATCCGGTGAGCTAGCTTGCGAGAGAAACTCATGCAATTTTAACGTACTTCTTTCTTGAATGAGGGTTTACACGATTGTTCTTGTTAATATATGAGTACGTAAAAAGAAGTCAGGTATATTTTAAAACCTTTCTCTCTTTAAGAAGTCACGTGACCCATGTTAAAACAAATTAATTGAAAAGTAGTTGATGCTAGTGAAGCAAAGGACGCTAAAGAAGTGAAAGGTGGAACAATTAAGAAAAAAAGCACCAAAAAGACATTGGGTCATCAAAAACATTCGATAGTGATCATGTGATCAGATTGATGATGGAAAAACTGTAGTCGCGTCACGTGTTTGTATCTCGTTTAAACGTTGCAAAATTATTTTTTTTTAAGAAGAAGCCAGATCGTAAAGTTATACGTATGTATAATAATCAAGAATAATAACACTAACATTTTGTTCTACCTGTGGGTGGATTGATATGATCGCCATAACCAACAATATGAGCTGAATCTCTTAACTGAAATGAAATAACATGAAATATGTAGGATAACTCGAGAATAGCCTGCGAGCCAGCTCTTTATTCCGAATTGCGAAAAAAGTGACCTGCGAGAGAACCGCGCCTTCTTTAGCCTCCCACGCCTTAGGATCGTGTGACGCATCCCCAAGGCTAGCCTCCTTTGGCCCGTTTGTCACTCGCGCGTGACTTCTCGCAAGATCCCCCCGCAAATGAAAAGCCTCCTCGCAGGGGAACAATAAAATACCGTAAAATTCCGAAAATAATCCCCTCCATGTATAAGCCCCTCCAAATACAAGCCCCCCAAACCGGTAACGCAAAAAACCGTCCGTCAAATCGCCCTTCCAAATATAAGCCCCCAAGGGGCTTGTACTTGGAAAATTGCCCTCAAATACAAAGTAAAACAAAGCAAAAACGGTAAATTTTCTTCCAAAAATAAGGTAGCCCAATCGATTTTGAGACGCAAATTTCCCTCCGTAGATAAGCCCCTCCGAATATAAGCCCCTCAAAAAGGGTCTTTGAAAAATATAAGCCCTGGGGCTTATTTTCGGAATTTTACGGTATACTGTTGCGTGAAGTTTATGTTAACTGGATAGTCGCTGAGTTGGAAAGCATTAGCTTTATTCTTTGACGAAATATTGTTACAACTTAGTTTAAAAGAGAATTGAGAGACATAAACGAGAAGTGGGGAAGCGCTTCTTCACTTCGTTCAGCACTTTTTGCATACTCAAGTCGCAAGTCAAGTTCTTTAGGCGGAACTCAAAATAACTTCTCTAAAATGCGAAAAAAAAAAAGCGAAATAGAGTCTGAATATTTTTATATAAAATAACGACAGCCAAATCCTGCTGTTTTATCCAAGACAAAATAATCTATAGACATTTTAAAATTTTTTTCAAAGAAAAAAACAATACAGCAAAGAAAAAAGCGCATTGTAGAAGTTTCCCGATATTTCGGATGGACAAGCCCTCTTTCGTCCGAAATATCGGAAAACCTCAAGTCGCTTTTCTCTTTGCTGCTTTGTTATTAATGTCTATGAAATAGATCTTGTTTGTTTAGGCTCCAGAATTCAGGTTGATCGTTTGCTGAGGAAATACTGAGCCCATCATTTGTGAAAAAAAAAGATTCTGTAAAGCACTTACTCCCACTGCTATGCCTGATAAACCTGCCAAGGAAAAAAGAAAAGGAAACGAAAGTTAGCCCTTCTTGTCTCAAGAAGATAGCGTATTTCCTAAATCTGGCTCTTGTACTGTAGATCAAAGCTGGATCTGTCTTCGGTCTTTCTGACACTTAAATAAATAGGAGGAAAAAAAATAGGAAAAAAAGTGAGGGGAGTTCATAGGCAAACTGTCAATCAGCCATGATGATAGTATTTTCCTTTCAGCTTAAATGGATGCTACGGGATATCTCAGTGACCATCATAGTTATGTAGAAATGACTGAGAGCGACTCTTTTTGTTTTGGTTTATTTAGATGTAGCCATACCTGGTGGTCCAGGAGGTCCTTGGTCACCTGAAGGTCAATGGAAAAGTATAAGGTTAGTAATCATTTACACGTATTTGAAAACGTTCTATAAACACGTCATCCACTGTGCTTTGGTCTTTGCTGCTTAGTTTTGTGCAGTTCTTCCAAAGCGACTACTGATCTGATATCTTGTATATACAACGGCACTATCAAGAAACGTTGTAAATAACTCATGGACATGAGGGGTTAAAAGAAAGACAGAGTATATAAACGAAGGATGAGAAATGCCTCTAGGGAATATAACTCGGGAATACTTGATTTCTCCAAAAATTAACAGGGTTAAGCAGTGTGTTGGAGAAATAATGGAGACATGATAACACAGTATTTCTGAAAACGAAAACAGGACATTTTTAATATCTTAAATTATGCGGAAAAAGAGGGTTTTGTAACAGGTATAAGGGTTTATTTAAATATATTTTTGTTACATGCAACATCATGGATGTCCTACCCTTTTCTCCCCTCTCTCCTTGTTTTCCGTCTTTTCCGGGCCGACCTTGATCTCCTTTATCACCTTTTACACCTGGAAAGACAAGAAATTGTTTAAAGTTCAGAGGTTCACCAATCCTTCCGTGCCTCGAGGCACCTGGAGCCGCCGTTCATCGTCCTCTGGTACGGTTTGTCAAACTAGCGCGTTGTAAGCCTGGTTCCACTACGTAGACGAACCAACAATAGCTTACACTAACAAATCAAAAAGCTTTGAAAGCAGAGGTCGACTCAACGCGTAAATAAAAGCGACTTGTTCTTTCTTGCCGGATCTCTAATGTAGAGATGCTAATGTGAGACATCACTTGAAGCGGGAATTAAAACAAAACTGAATAAATGCAAGGCTGCTGTGCTGCAAACCTTGCATTTAGTTTTGTTTTAACTGACGTATCAAATAGTCCTTTTCCCGATATTTTCTTGAGGGAGAGGGAGGGGGCTGTTACATCCTGAGGCTAGCCCTCAAGGGTATCGGATTGTACCACCCATAGTCAATCGATAAACCTATAAACGATAAAAATCGTTAATTTTTAAATCTTCAATTAATATCAATTTCCGATATCAATCTATTGAAATCAACGAAGAAATAAGTTGTGACTTCTATTAATATCCCTTCCTGATATCAATCGATAACATTCCTCGAATGATATTGATATACTATTGATATGACCATTGATATACTATCAATTACTATTTATTGGCTACGCCTGCATAATAACAGTCAGTCTAACCTGGTCGTCCTTTTCTTCCCCTCGCTCCTAAAGAAAAAAAAAATAAGAATGTATTATATCCAACCGGTTTTCTATGCCTTATACGAGGCGGTGCCATATTCTTACAACATTTATTAATTTACCTTACGATCCAACAACGGCGACGTCCATGCAAACGTCGCTGAAAAACAGACTTCGCATCATTTTAAACTTTCTCGCGATTATCCCATTTCGTCCTGTTACTTAAAAGAAGGGGATTTTGGCTGGAGCTGGAGAGCGGGGAACGCGCTCAAGTTCGGACAGCAGATGGTACAGTTTATCGCCTTACCGTTCCCGTTCCCAAGTAAACTTAGAATTTGGTCATTTCACGTCGTAGTTGTGCAGTGACGGCAAAGAACGGTACCAAAAAGCGTGATGCACGTGCAGAGTTGTTGTGTTGCTCATTAAACCTATTGCTTTTGTGGCGTTCCCGTTGCCGTGACCGTCGTGGTTTCGTAAGGTCCCTGGGACCTTAAGATCCGACGACGGCGACGGCAACGGGAACGCCACAAAAGCAATAGGTTTAATTAGCAAAACAACAATTTTGCACGTGCATCACGCTTTTTTGTACATTTCTTTGCCGTCACTGCACGACTACGACGTGAAAATGCCTAATTTCACGTTGTACAGAGGAAGTACACAAGCGACGACGAAATTTCCTCTCTCTTTCTGCACTTGGATATGGTTCTTAGGAATTCAACTTTAGGATGCTTCGCCTACATTTGAAAAAGTTAGTGACTTGGAGTAATCGCGATGAAGATTGAAAGAACACGAATTCACTTTTTCAGGGACGTTTTCTCTACCGTCGCCGTCCTCGGATCTTAAGGTCCCTAATATAATTCAAGGAAGACGGTGAGATGATTTACCTTTTGGACCTTGTTCTCCTTTGGGACCTGAATTAGAAAAAAACAATTCTCAGCACCAGAACAGGCGTTTTCTATCAGGCGAAAGGCTTTTCTCTATTTTCAGAAAACCTTGCAGCATGCATAGTTATATGTTGTTAACATTTTTGCTACAAACCCACTGGAGTCGAACCGGCAGGCTAGGCTTCGGCGAGATTGAGAAGGGGAGGAGAGGGATTTATCCGTTAAACCATTAAAGGAGGAGAATTTTTTTATATAGCTGTAAAACAAACAAACAACAACAACAAAAAACGAAAACAATAATTTATTTTTCTTCAATCTTTTTTTTTCTGATATCTTTGTTACTGCCAGTGTGGAGCAAGATTGCTGCTATTTTTACGCGTAGTTCTCCAAAGAAACATAGGTTTCTTGCGTACCGAAAATCCTCTATTAAGCCCCCCAGCCCCCATCAAATAAGCCCCGTCTCTTTAATAAGCTCCCCCTTTTCAGGGAAAAAAGTTAATAATCCCCCCCCCCTCTTTTAAGCCCCCCTCCCTTATTTATTCTTCACTAATTAAAGATAGACTGAATTAATCAACCACGACTGTAAAACGTCGTATGGACTGATCCAAGATGGTTTATTTACCGAGTGGAAGATCGGATTTGATTCTGGTTGCATGACCTACAACTTCTTGTACTTGAGCTTTTCCACTTTGCATTCTAGTTCTTTATGGAGAACTGATACCATTGTCGTTTTTGAATTAAATAAGCCCCCCCTCTCAATAAGCCCCCCGTCTCTATCAAGCCTCCTCTCAAATGGGCTTGAAATAAATAACCCCCCGGGGGGCTTAATAGAGGATTTACGGTAATTCACTAACAAGCAGCATCAGGCCTGATAAGACGGTACTCAGATTTCCCAACATTGTTCTTATTTAAAGTGGGTGGACAGACCTACTTTGGCTAGTCTACTTTGCTTAGTGAATTCAGGAATGTAAAGAAAAAAAAGTTAGTCGGAAATGTTCGGGCGAGACAAATTCGGGCCAAACCAATAAGAAGGAAGCCGCAGATATATTTCCTTTAACACAACTTGCTTTTTTCCACGTCTGGACGAAAACATTTACGTGACCATATAGCGTTACTTCAGTGACGTAAGTACATAACGGAAGTTGACAATTGACTGATGACAAATAAAGAATAGTTGGCTTTTCACTCTGAACCGCAGATGGAAGAGTTTTCGCTTGTTTGTTGTTAATTGAGTTTTCTATAGAGAAGTCTCTCAATCGCTTTGCCATAAAACTGCCACATGTAATGTTTATAGTTCTTCTCTTCGATTTTAATGACAACTCACGTAATTAAGGACTGACAAAGGCATTTAAACCAACGCAGAGGGATGGAGTGGTATTACGAGGTCAAGGTACACCCCGGGGGGACACCCATATGAAGGAGTAGGGGATGCTAGTCGGAAACCACTAGAAGAGACCGGTCTAATCTTGGTGGGGCTCTGAAGCCTTAAAAGCCCAGGGGCCGAACTTAAAAGATAGCCTGGTTTAGGAGAAGAGAGAATCGAAATGGAGAAGACGGCCCCTTTCCCGCTTCGACTTGAGAAATCTCCCCTCCCCTAGGAAAGACCGAAGAAAGCTTGATACTCAAGCTATTTATAAAAAGGAGATGATACTCGAACAAAGGATGACGGCCTTTGCTTTTTTAAGTAAAGCCATATCTTTTCTCGTCACCCCACGCGGTACGTTTATGAGTAAAAACATTGGCTTTCCTGAACAACCTAAGTGAGACCGAAGTCTCTGAAATCTTAAATTTCTACACTTGCGCGAGACAACAAGCAGCCCTGTTCTGCCCTGTCACTTTCATATGAAAGTGACCCCCATCACCCCTTCTCTGCGCTGAACACATGCTGAGGCATGTCTTGGGCAGCAGCAGCTTTTATTTTTGATTCCAAAATATTGTGACGATAAATATAGCTTAGGAAATAAACTCCCGGATCTTTTAATGACATGTCACACTTCGTTTGGCGTGACCATAATCTTGATAATAATGATTGGATTATCAAAACAATCACGTATGCCATTTATTTCTGGAAGTGAAGAGTGCAAATTGAGTTAATCACCTCCTTTTGAAGTTTCTATTAATTAAATTGACAACGGATTTAAGTTGTATGCTTCTGACAATGAAAAAGGGCCACTTCCGGGAAAACAAAATAGTGGATTCTTGCCAGCTGGAGTATATGAGAACATTGTTTTTAAAGTGATTGTAGAGAGATTAAATTCACGCTCATTTTTCACACCTTATCGTGTGAATTAAGTTTTGAGATAGAGTGAGCGAAATGCAATTAAGACTACATATCTTCACTTTAAATATGATACGTTAGAATAAGCAAAATTACGTCAACACGCGTTGGTCAAAATGGTCCTAGATTTTAACAGAGCTGAAAAAAAAAAATCTTCAAATCAACCGCTTTCTAAGTGATCGGTTTTTTTCCAGTTACTCGTTTAAGAAAATGCTTGATCCTAGAATAATAACTATGTGCTCCTGGCAAGGTATAGAAATAGGATTATACTAAAGCATCACAATGATTTTTTCATGTTTGAGTACCTCGTCGGCATCGACATTGTTGTGTTTTTCTCGAATTAGCCTCTCTTCTTATCCTGAGCTGTAAATCTTCCTAAACAAAAACAAACGCGGAAATAACTGAATAACCCATCATTTGCACACAGATCAAACTCCATTATGCCATGTGTGAACTTTTGCTGGATTAGTGCATGTATAGGAACCAATGATGGAGAGATCCCGTATGTAGGTGATTAAGGTCAATGGAAGTCTCGTATGCACTGCTTAGGAAATGTACTGATCGAAGCTCTCTGTGCATCAAAGACAACAAAGGCGATAGTGTGCAGTAAATTTAGCTAAACAGCTCATACCTCATTTTTAAAAGACATCTGACGCACCTGGCTCGGCTCCTCGTCATATTTTTTGCCGCTCTCAGTTTGGCGTCGAATCTGCGCTGTAATGGACTCTAAAGAGCTAATCTTTAGCTGTTGGTCTCCAACGCGCGATTTTAAGATCATAATCTCGCGGACACAAAATAAAAATGCCGGTAGTAAAGACAGCAGCGTTATGACAACCGCGATTAAACTCCACAATGGCAGGACGACAACACGGCTTTGAGATTTTTGCATTTTGTTTGTCTAAAAATTTTACAGGTTTCCTAGAAATCTCAATTGTCGTGACGTTAGGCGAGATCTCAGCCAAGAATGTTTTTTTTCTTCCTAGTAAGAAGAGTACATCACGTGACTTAATGAAGTTAATAGCATACTGTTTTTGAATTATTCTCGGGTTTCTTTAATTTAGTGTATTTTCTAGATACACTGCAAGTATCCTTTTTGTCGTATGGTCAAACGTTTATTTGCTTAGTTTATATTTACCAAAAAAGGACGTTTTCTAGTTTAGAAATTTCATGTGTCGCCTTCACTGAAAAAAGCGCTTCGGCGATTCTTAGTGAACGTAAAATGTGGCGCTTTCTTTAAGGGCGTCAACTTTGAAAAGCTTGCTATACTTGGGAAAAAACTTTGGTAAACAACAGCAGCGTGAACGCCAATCTCACCTGAGGCCGTTAGGACTTCCCACAAATCAAGCTACGAAAACCGAGTGCAAAGCTAGCTCCTGCTTTCACTTCCAAATTGTTCGGTACCGGCACCAGCAACATTTTCCGCGGTTGAAACAAGAATTTTTCAAAATTTTTCTTTTTACTCTTTGAATAAGGGCCGCACTTTAACTCCAAGATTAGTGTAAGCGTAGATCCAAGCGACGACGCGATATGTGATAATTCATATGAGTTTTTTGTTGGTTCTCTTTCTTGTTCCAAGAGGTTTTTCTTTGGGAAAAGTCCGGTTTTCCTCCCTACTCAAAAACCAACACCTCCAAATTCCAATTCGATCTGGAACGCACGGACACGTTTAAAAGAGTTTTTAAGAATTCCCAAGTGCTTCATGCCTTGTAGACAAGTGACAATTTACATGTAATTTTAAGCAATGATCATCTAGGTTTTTGCGCTGCTAATTCGAGGGCGGCGTCATTTAACATTTCCCCTGTTTTTGTCTCCTAGTTGAAAGCAATACTTACTCTTTGTACAGGACTTTAAAACGTTCTCCCCAATCTGATAAGGCTTAAAGTGTATCCGCACACTGTTGATGACTTCTGCTTTCATTCAGAACACGCAGAAATTAAGGTGATTAAAAATGTACCTTAAAATCACAGACCACTTCAACTGGGAGGCGACCGTTTTCACGTAGATTGCATTTTATTATGTTCAAAGAAATGACAAATATGAATGCAAACCGGTCGCTCAAATAAACATCTCAACGTACGTCCCCCTTGTTCTGTGGTCTCTCCTACCTCAAAGTAACACGGACAGTTTTTTGTTTTTCAACAACTTTGCTCTCCCGTCACAGGAGAACGTGTTGCTAAACGAGAACCGACTAAAGTAGCTAAATACCAGCAAATTATCTTGTGAAGAAGTATAAGGGTCCTCAACAATGCCTAGGGAAGGCCTCGTTGCAGACTTAGATGCTTTTCTAAGAGGGTTTTAGCCCGAGACCTCCGCATTGCTTTAGCCACGAGTCTGTTAGGCCGGCGTGATTAACCGTCTGATTCTCATCATTTAAGCTGAGTCTTTGATCTCTGCTACTTCTCGTTGTTTCCTTTGACAAGAAATTTTGCTTCACATCCTCTCCGCCAATTCAGGTGTGTACTCACTACTGAAAGAGATGCTGGCGACTGCTTGCCGGGTAGTGTAGGGAGATAATATTATAAGGAATTCCTTTAGTCTTTATAGTATGCACCGATAGGTGGGCTTGAAGAATAGTAACGAAGAAATTCGCCGATAAATCTCATGAAAATTCAAGCAGGTTGAACACTTACAAATCGCACAAAAAAATCGCCTGTGTGAACGGGCTTTTCCCAGTTTGATATCGTTTTACCGAAAGCTGCGTGGGCACACTTCCAGTAAAGCGGCTAGTAATGAAGCCTAGTACCCTACTCTAGCTAGCCAAGTCATATTCTCCCTCTCCAATTAATTTTAGCCCCATTTCTGGAACGCTTCCCTTAACTTCTGTACTGCAGTTGGAGGTCATTGCAGCACCTTTTACAAACTTCTAGTGTTGTTCGGACAGGCTCGTATCGATCCATTGTGGCAAAAAAGGAAAAACTGGCATCAAAGAACAGTCAAGGGATACTTGAAAACTCTTGATAAATATAACTCTTTTTATTTAGCCATTTTTTTTTTCATAGCTTAAGAAATGACTAAAGAAATCGTCTGATAAAACATAGAATCGACCAGTTTAATTAATAAACTACGAGGTATTACACTCGTCAGGTACTAGATAACGTCTCGCCTATTTCCTATTTTGCCTAGTTTGAAATTGTGGTCAAAGTGTTAATAATATTTTGAAAGTATTAACCTTTGTGGCGAGGACTAAAAGCTCTCAGAAAAATGTAAAGACTCCTAGTCGTGTCCAAAGTCAAGTTTGAAATATCAACCATCACGTCTTGGAGTATGAAAAAAAGGGAACTATTCAGTAAGAAGATAATTTTATAATGTTCTCTAAGTGGTTAAATTTTCATTCTCATTGTCGTTAATTCATATAAATGAATAGCCAGCCTGCCAGCGATTTAAGTTAGGTAAAATCTCCCCCCGCTCTATGTCCGTAATTGTCATTCTATTCGTGGACCAAAAATGCTCCATAAAAGCTTCCATCTCTATCCATGTAATAAACCTTGGTGTATGGGACTTGAACTGAGAGAGTGTCGTTTGCTCGAAGTAAGAACACCCCGCCATGATACTTCGTATTGTACTTTCGCATGTCGCTAACAACGCTCCCCAAACTTTCCAGAACTTTGTCTTGGTTTATGTAGGTGTAATGAGCCATTGTACGTGCGGTACCATCATAGTAGAACATTTGGCTGTAAATGAAATAGTATCCCGTCCTCTTCACCTCTATAAAACCAGATTCTGAGTGGTACTCGATGCTGCCTTTTTTGTGCTTCATTGCCCAGTTTCTAATGGGCCGAAATCCTGGGAACGAAAAAAAACTTAATGTCGCTCATTTTCCTGCAGGAACAGAAGTTATCGGCGTATATTTCCCAAAGTGCTTAAGTTTCATTGTGGAAATATCTATTTCTATGCAATATATGCTAGAACCAGGCCAGAGAAAAGATTTACTTGGATATCTGCGTCTTTTCCGTCGCCAACCAGATGGATACTTTCGCTCGTCTGCGGAGAAAGAAATATCGTTAATGCACGAATGAGCGCCCAGATCTAAACTAGCGGGCCTCTTCGAATTCAACCCCCACACACACACACACACACACACACCTCCTCCCCCTCGGCGAAATTATTAAATATGCCCCACTTTGAATAAAAGTTCCCTACACCCTCCCAGTCCTTACCGAAAGTACAGTATACAGAAGGTATATCTTGAACAACTACAGCATAAAATATAGAGTCCCTAGCCTAGAGCAGTGACCCATGCATCTAAGGACATCACACTGTTGGATGTTAAAGACAAGGTTGTTGAGGAATTAGCGACAACGAAGTGTATGAACCACACCAAGAGCCATAATGAGACAGCCCTCTCCGTCCCATTATGGCTCTTGACCACGCATATTTGGGTTTGTACTTAAAGAGGCTGAGTCACGGCTGGCTTGTTTATCTTGTTTATAATTACAGGAGAGGGGCCAGGGGGGGCCCTTATTTTTAGACGACACCGAAAAAAATTTTTTGCCCCCCCCGGGCCGGGATGGATCCGCCACTGAATTATGCCTGTTAAGCGTCCCTATTCGCGAAGAAACGTGAGAAATTACTCTTAAATATCTGTCCCAAGCATTATTATCAAACGCTTTAAACAACAAAAATGAACTGAAATCTGTTAGGCTAAACAAGTTTTCTAACACCACACTTGTAATTCCTTTTTGAATCCTATCCGTGCCTCCTTTTGTATTTGCTGTGCCAGTTTTTGTACCTTCTTTTAATGTTTTGAGCGCGAATTATTTTTCATGTTACACTCAAGTTGGTGGCAGTACTAACCGTTCGAATTTTTTATGGCACAGGTCATGATACGTTACAGTTTTCTTGTTTAATGGCACAAACAAACAAAGAACTATTCATCTTAACGCCAAAATTAAAGAACGAGATAGGTTACTCACCGCTGCTCCAGTCGGGCCGGGTAGCCCTCAGAAATAATAAAAATTAAGTCGTGATTAAGATATATATACAGACAAATACAAGTCTGGAAGAAACCAAAGAACTAGACGTTTGTAGATGAGAAGGGAATTGTGTCCATCAACATTAGAGAGTTTGTTAAGGGGGCCGGGGAGTCAAAGGTTCAATTTGAAAGTAAGTGCTGGCGTCCGAGCTGGAAGAAAATACGGAGAATACAGCTTTTTGTTTTTCAGAAGAAAATGACCCCTGGGAATTAGGGTTGGTAAGACTTTTTAAAAGAAAAACGTGTCATTGTCTTGCATTTGTGTTGTATAAAAGGGAAAGCCTTCCGAGCAAATTTCCAGAGTGCAAGCAGACGATAAACGAGGCCGAAGTTGTCAGTAATTGCTTGTTTATATTTTCTAGATTACTTTTAGTTACCCATGGAAATAATTTCATCGAGGTCACGAATATCCTGGAGAACAGCCGTTTCTTCTCAGGGCTAGTCAAGTTATCAGCTGAATTATTTACCACACAGCGCAGAAATTTTCACAGAGCAATCAAATTTAACGCCTCAACGGGCGGAGAATACCTTGATTAATTGCATGTGTGGTACCGAAGTCGCTTTAGACGCAAAGCTGGCTTGCTTCGTACCTTTGCTCTCTTTTCTCCCGACACCAGCAGGCTAGAGTCAACAGTTTATTCCGAACAAAAGACGTTTTGCCCGGCGAAAATACAGATGTGACTGATCACACTTTGGGATTTCATGCTCATAGAAGTGAGAGCCACCATCATTGTCCGCGTCATGATGACTCTTGTTTTTGTTTTTGTCTTTTTTTTCCTGTCGTTATTGGGGGCGCGAACGCAAAGCGGGAGACACACCATAACCGGAAACTTTTTACTTCTTTGAAGATACTCTTGTTGTTCTTTGGCCATTAAAGAAAAAACAGGTGACACAAGGGCTTCCTCATTGCCGTAATCAGTTGATTGAAAAGACGTTTTCTCAGTTGCCAGATCTTAAAGATTATAATATACTCACCAGGGGGACCTCGGGGGCCAGGAATGCCAGGGGCCCCCCTCGGACCTTTCCTACCGCTCAAGCCTTGTGGACCCGGGGCTCCTACAAGGTGTAAAACACGTTAATTCACCATTTGCACATCTCCCATTATGCACCTTATTTACCCCCCAGAATTTTGCATATAACCTTTGTTTTCCATTTTTCCTGCGTATTACAGCCTTACCAAGAGAAATTGAAAACAACATATGCTTATGCAAAATTTTGGGGGGTAAATATTAGATTAGGTGCATTAGGGGAGATGTGGAAGTGGCGAATGAGATCACGGGTGTAGGGAGAATCCCGGTTTCATGCATGAGCTACACGAATGAGCTCTACAATCTTGGACAGAATAAAATGGAAGAGCAAACCCCATCCCCCCAAATCAAGGATGAAGTCGCGCGAAGGGCAAAACGCGCCATTTTCCCGTCTTTGATTTGGGGGGAGGCGGGGGGGGGGGGTATATAATTTCTATTTATTTTGTCGAAGATTGTAGGTTTTGCGAACAGTATTATTTGGACAAATTACTCAAGGGATGGAGAAAAAGCTGGCAGCCCAATATCCTCTTGTTTAAGGCTGCTTTGTTTCTTGCAAACGGGTGTACTTGGTTAAATTACTTTTCTGTCTTGACTTGATTGATTTCGTACGTGGGAAGGGAGAACTGCAAGCAGTGTCCATGAATAAAATACCTTGTTGTCGATCGGAAACCCATTTATACACCTGACTGGAGGAAACCACTCAATGGAACATAGCTCATTCGGGAAAAACACAACCTCTTTATGCACCTACCTATTCGATACCTATGCTCTCGGACGTTTATATGGGACCAAGCTGAAGTTGTATATGGGGGTGAAGAGTACTTAATTTTCATTTGGTGCGAGTGCAGTGGTTCTCTGCTGTTTAGTCTTTGCTCGAGTTAAAACTGACTTTGAAATTGGTTGCGCTGCATCGTATCACTCTGTGCTGTTACGCACTAACAACGCTGACCTATTACGGCCTTATCGATAGACAGGAGCTCCGGTGAACTTTGGAAAAAGGATTCTTGCGGCCGTTCCAAGTTCCATATCCAGTTTCCGTCGCGAAAAGCCTTCTAGTATTCTATAGCTTGCCATTGAAAGTGTCTTTTTACTTGCATATAAACGCCAACTACACGTAAATGTGAAGTGCAAAACACACTACAGCTTTAAATAGACTCGAGAGAAAGACTTGCTCTGAGTTATATGCGCCCCATACCCCATTTGGCATTGCGAAGGAGTAAGGTAAAGGAATACGGTTGAGAAGGGCTGAAGAAAAGACATTTGTCACTCCAGCAAGGTTTTCTGTCTTTGAAAAGAGTTCATCTTGGTTCATCGACATCGAGCACAGCCGTTCCTGACCAATTAGTCTCCTCAAGCAAGTCTCAATAGTTTGATATTCACACGTAGGGGCCGTTTCTCGAAACTCTGGGGGTTCGGAAAGCTGTTGTTTTCATTCAAGAGAGAGCTCTATTGAGATCTCGATTGTTTTGTTTTGTTTATCAGTTACAAAACAAACTGGACTGGTTAGTTCGCTAGGACCCGCGCTTAGGTTTTGATTTGAATATTTGACTTCGGGCCGAAAAGTTATTGGGACTTTCCAGAAACAGGCCCTGATCGATCTAGGCCCTAGACCCAGTTTTTGTGCAATAAGTCGTCATTCTAGATTTTGAATCTGTAGACGAAATCATGGTGTTACCATTCAAATGAAAACTCTTTGGAAGATCTTTCGCATAATACTATTTATATCTTACGATTTGGCAAAAAGCACTGTGGTAGATTTTTTTTTCTTTAACCACGTATAGGAAAAAAGTTAATAAGTAAAATAGTAGTTCACTAACCAACACATGCACAAACTTCTTGAGCGTTTCTCCGAACTCGAGCTGTCTCTGACCCTGGATTTGATGAAGCCTGCAAAAAAGTTCATGAGTCAGAAGTAAAAAAGCATTCTTTAGAACAAGATATAGCCGTTAAAAATGTGATAGGGTTCAGATAAGTAAGTTCGAACGTCAACTAAGTAGTTGCTCACCTCCTCTACTCTCTGGGCGCCGTTTCCGCTTTGCAGCGTACCGTTGACCTTTTGTTGTAGGTGGATTTCCATTTGTGTTTTTAGCCAGGAGATTTGTCTGAAGGTGTAGATCTGACCAAAAAGAATACCTGACAGTGCTAGCGTCAGAAAACAGAACAAAAGTGGAAGTAGCCGAGGTCCGATTTCTTGGTTTTGTTTCTTTTCCATGGCCACTTACACCAACATGACAACCGAACAGATTCGCAGATTCGACAAAAACCTGGGGCAATGATGCAGGAGCAGACTTAGTCTACTTTTATACACAGCTGGTTTTAGTGTCGTCACGCAACGCTTCTCCCCGCAAACGGCTGCTGAGAATTGAACCACATTCCTTTCGCGCTGTTAACCAATTAGAATTCAGCTCCCATTTTTTGGAAGGGGTTCGCGCCACGTTTGCGGTACGGTGACTCATCCAATCACAGCTTTGCTTTTATCGGTGCTCCATGTGTGAATGACAGAACAATCAAAATCGTCACGTGAAAACAAGCCATCAACTAGAGCAGTGTTGTCGTAGTCCTATTCAAAATGTGTGAGATAAACAGCAGCCGCAAGCAAGCCGAGCAAATTTGTGGGGAGGAGCGTTGCGTGACGACCCTAAAAACGACTGTGTAGCAGACTAGAGCAGAGTATAACAGTCTGGTAAAAAGCTTAGGCCACAGGAAATTCTCGGAAAAAATTATAACAAAAATAGCGTAGGTCAGGTGAAACAGTAGCCCTTACATCACTCGACAGTCATACACATTCCTTTGCGCTAAGAAACTAACTTAAAAATATCAGCAAGGAAAATAATATAACACCATACCATCTTTCAGGCTTTTTATTGCGTAGCTTAGGGGTTTAAACATAGGGAAATCGAACAAGGTATCTAATTTTTGTAAACGCTTCCGGATGATTTGCACGAGTACAGTTCGTGATACCGATGATAGACTTTGTTTACGTCCAACCGTTCAGCTGAAAAGATGAAACTGATACCCGGTCGGGGATTTCCTCGCTGAGCCACTTTCGCTTTTGATATGACATCGATTGTTTGTTCGACGTTTGTGTTGTTCGAGAAATGTCAATATTCGATTACAAGTTGGACTTCATTCAGTCAAAAGAAGCTAAAAGAGATGAGAGGTCATACCCGATGTTTCAATTTACACCCCTGGTAAAAACCATTGGGTCACTAACGCAATAGCTCGTCCAAATGACGCATTTTCCCTTCCCCCTCCCTACGAGTTTTTAGCAAAGTGCGTCTTCGCGCCTAGTTTCCTCAAGTGACCCAAGACGTTCGGCATCTACAATCCTGTTTGTAGTTTGAAGGACCAACCCCGGACCAACAAGCCCAAGAACTGCGTTACTGTACGAAAGCCTTACTGTATGAAAAAGAACCGGAAGACAACTCTTCTTATTTAGGCTTTTAAAATTATTTCACAGTGACTTCAGTTTTTCAAGGGCAATTTTTTCCCTTTTCATGACTTCTCTACCGCGTTCCAATATAAAAGGACCAAATAGCCTACACTCTTAATTTCAGAACTTAATCTGGTTTTGGTAGCATGAAACACTTAGGAGTACAGTCAAATGCAGTTGATACGGACACTGATGGGGCCATGGAAAGTGTCCGTATTAACAGGGTGTCCGTCAGTTAATCGGATTGATTAGAGAAAATGTAAGGGATGTCATTAATTTCCCAGGGACAAAACAAACTGTCCATAACAATTAGGCGTCTGTAAAGCGGGGCTTGACTGTATTACTATGTCCTCCTATACTTAGGAATTTTACGTTGAAGCCCTGTCGTAATATCGGGGGTTCACGCCCTAATAATAGAGAGATCAAGAGTCACGTTTATGGCAAACGGCAAACAGAAGACTCAAGTTGAGAATTCCTCAAAATAGAAAATGGGCAGATGAAAACAGCCTGAAAAAATTCTTATGGATGAAAATAACGTGAAAGTACTAAGTTAGCCTTCGAACGGCAGACGTTTCTTCTCTCTTATCGCTGCTGTGGAACATTTGAAACCATGATGGCCACCCGGAACGCAAAGTGCTTGTTTTCGACGATGTTACGGGAAAGTAAGGGACTGTGAACGGTCTAATTATCAATCGACAGGCAAACATTCATGGGCAGGGCTCTACCTACAATGGCAGTTTGTGACAGGCATAACAAAGTATCTAACCCTGCTCTCCCTTGGTACCCTGTTGACCCATGCCTCACTTTCGTCCTGTAGTACCCGGTTCCCCCTTTTCACCAAACGCCCCTTGCAGACCGTTATCGCCTTTAGAGCCCTGAGGGCCAGCCTTGCCTATAAAATATATAACGTTTTAATACATTTGTCAAACTCCAAACTTGTTGTATACTTCATCTGTAGGAAATGACGATTTAAACGGGTATGGCTTTAACAAGTTGTACGCTCATCTAAAGCAACGAGGACGAGTGATGTCAAAGCAGGCAAACGTAAGTCAGATTTTTTTTAAAGTTTTATTTCGTATGTACATTTTAACGGCCCCATTTTATGCGTTTTCTTGAGTTTGGTTTCCATTTATCGAGAACAAAGGCCACAATACGTTGTTTACTGATAAACACTCTAGCTTCGCGTGCATATCTCACGTGACTACTTAGCGAAATTAACCAATGACAAAAAAGAATGAGGTGAGATATGTTTAGTGCTGTCGCAGTGCCCGTTGGCGAATACATATTTGCAAAATTTTGAACTTTATTTCTGATATATTTTGACTTTTGCTTGTGTTTGCTATCAGTTGTGTACTACCCTGTGTTCTTGGCCTTACAATTTGAGGGGCTGATTACATGAAGGAAGGAAGATCGAGCACCAGTAAGATCCTTGAAGGCTTATCATGCTAGCGCCATATGTTTTCTGTGTTCGGTTTTCATGTAGCGCTAGGATCTTTCCAGTACTACTAGGATCTTTCTAGCTGAGAGGTAGGAAGATCCTTGTACTAGGGACAAACCAGGTAATAATAGCGGCGGGTCGTTCAGTGGCTTATCACGGCAATAAGGGCCGACAATTTCGTTGTTACCACGAGCTAATTATTGTGATAATTCTGCAGAAAGGTAGTTATTAAGGCCCGTCAGGAGAGCAGAGGAGTTCAGATTGCATTTTGGCTTTTGTCAACCGCCATTTTAAATTCCTTCTCGATCCTTCTCTACTTGGGCACCGACACGGACCGAAATTACTGCATGTAAACCCAACGAAAAGTTGTTCCGCCTTCTAGGATCTTCCTTCTTCCTTGTAAACAGCCCCTATGTGACAGGCTCAAGAACACAAGGTTACTACTTGGAGATTGTTTGTATTCAGGTCGTTTAAAGGAATTGATGCAAGCGGTAATAAAAACTTACTTACACAGAGAGGTGTGAACTCGCTTTTTCCTTCAATCTAAAACTTTTTTTTCATACAGTCAACTCTCTTTAAGAAATTAGAAATGTTGAAATCAGGAATTCAGTACGATTTTAACCCGCGTCAGTTCTGAGGAGAGTGAGTGATGGAGCTTAATGGAAACAGGCAGCGCTAAATGTCTTAATTACTAGGGAAAAAAGCTTGAATCAGTAAGAGAGAACTATTACCTCGCTTAAGGCGTTTAATAAATGGTCATAAATAGACGTAGCATTTCTAACGTTGAACTAGGAGAAATCTGGCCGAGTGCCGATTAGTTTATTTGGCACTTTTATAGTGAACTGTGATTAAGGTTTACTGTCCTTTTTTCTGGGAGTTTGCTCTTCGCGCACGAGCTTAGTCCCTTTTTCGAAGCAGCAGTTTTTACAGCACAATCACTTTAAAAGTCTTTTCGTGCGTTGTGGTTTATGTCCTGGGAATAACGGCTTTCTATTTTTCATGACGATTTCTGTGAATGAAAATGGACTGCGTTTTACACAAAGGTTGACAAAAGTGACGAAAGGAGTGTGATTAGGTAACAGGAGCTCCACAATCAAATCAGTTCAAAATGCCATCATGGACAATTCGTACATGTCTTAAATTCCCTAAATTTCTTGACTAGAAGTTTTCTTTTTGTCTACCCAGGACCTGAGAGTTGTTACTCTAAAAGGTCACCCACTTAAATTTAGTTGGGTGCCTGGGTAATTCTTACAAAAAAACTGACCTCGTTTACCTCGTCTTCCTTTACGACCTAAAACGAAAGGAAGTGTAGGGAGATAATATTGTAACGAATTCCTTTAGTCTTTATAATATGCACCGATAGGCGGGCTTTAGCATAGCAACTCCCACAGAGAAATTCGCCAATAAATTTCCTCAAACTTCAATCAGGTTGAACACTCTCAAATCGCACAAAAAATCGCCTGTGTGAATCGGCTTTTGTCAATTTGATATCATTTTATAGTTACGGAAAGCTGCGTGGGCGCACTTCCAGAAGAGCGGCTAGTGAGTAATGGAGCCTATCCTGCTCTAGCTAGCCAAGTGATATTCTCCCTCCCCAATCAACTTTAAGCCCACTTCTGGAACGCTATCCCTTAACTTCTGCACTGCAGTTGGAGTTCATTACAGCACCTTTTACAAACTTTTAGTGTTTTGTGGACAGCTTAGTATCGATCCATTGGGGTACAAAAAGTTTTGAAGGCGTCAACGAACAGTCAAGTGATATTTGAAAATTATTGATTAATAACTATTTTTATTTAGTCATGTTTTCTCACAGCTCAAGAAAAGACTAAAGAAATCGTCTGATAAAAAATGAAATCAATCGGTTTAATTAAATAAACTACTCGAGGTATTACAATCGTGAGGTACTAGATAACGTCTCGACCATTTTCTATTTTGCCTATTTTTAAATTGTCGTCAAAGTATTAATAATATTTTGAAAGCATTAACCTTTGTGTCGAGGACTAGACGCTCCCAGAAAAATGAAAAGACTTCTAGTCGTTTTCAAAGCCAAGTTTGAAATTATATCAACCATCACGTCTTAACGCAGGACCGGAGTATGAAAGAAGAGAACTATTCAGTAACAAGATAATTTTATAATCTCCTTTAAGTGGTTAAATTTTCATTCTTATTGTCGTTAATTCATATAAAATGAATAGCCTGCTAGTGATTTACTCACTGACGGGTAAAATCTCTTCCCACCATGTCCTTAATTGTCATTCTATTCGTGGACCAAAAATGCTCCAAAAAAACTTCCCTCTCTATCCATGTAATAAGTCTTGCTGTATGAGATATGAACTGAGAGAGTGTCGTTTGCTCGAAGTAAGAACACCCCGCCATGATACTTCGTATTGTACTTGCGCAGGTCGCTAACAACGCTTCCCAAACTTTCCAGAACTTTGTCTTGGTTTATGTAGGTGTAATGACCCATATGAAGTGCGGTACCATCATAGTAGAACATTTGGCTGTAAATGAAATAGTAGCCAGTCTTCTTCACCTCAATTCGACCAGTGTCCGAGTGGTACTTGATACTGCCTTTTTTGTGCTTCACTGCCCAGTTGTAAATAAGAGGTCCTGGTAACAAAAAAAATTTCCAGGTCGCTTATTTTCCTGCATGAATAGAAGTTATCATCGTATATTTGCCAAAGTGCTTACGTTTCGTTGTGGGGATATCTATTTCTAAAATGCATGCTCAGCCACCTTAACTAGCTTACTTGTATTTCTAAGTCTTCGTCCGTCGCCAACCAGATGGATACTTTCGCTCGTCTGAGGAAAGAAAAAATATCGTAATGATCGAATTAGCGCCCAGCTCCAAATTAGCGCCCTTCTTCAAATATAGCATAACATATACAGTCCCTAGAACAGTGACCCATTTCAGGACATCACACTATCGGATGTTAAAGACAAGGAACCTTTGTCAACGATGTTTGTGGAACTGTCAACAACGCTACGGGAGATAGAGAACCCGGGTCGAGATGGTTGTCAAAGTGCATTATGGGACTGTTTTGGAGGATGAATTTGCCGCTATATTGAAAATGCGTGCCCCAAAACAGTCCCACAATGCACTTTGACAACCATCTCGACCCGGTCTCCCGCGCAACTTCAAGGTGGCGAATTCGCAAATAAACTTCAGAAAATACTTGTGAATGACAAAATCACAGCTTTGAGTGTCAAACAAATGTCTCGCAAGCACTAAGTCAAACGTTACAAAAAGCGATAATGAACTTTGAAAAACTGTTAGGCTAAGAGGTTTTCAAAAACCACAATTGCAATCCATTTCAATCTTCTTCAAATTTGTCCACGTGCTTCCTGTCGTATTTACTTTGTTATTTATAGCTTCTTTTGATGTTTTTAGCGCGGGTTATTATTATTTTTTTGGTTACACTCAATTTTGCACTACACAGCTCCTTGAATGATACGTTCCAGTTGCTTGTTTAATGATACCTTTTTACTCATTTAAACCAAAAAGCCTTCATCCTAAGGGCGAAATTAAAGAACTCAACGTGGTAAGCCTGCGGACGCAGACGTATATCCGGTCGTGGCTACTCTTCACCCGAAAAGTAAAGAAGCGACCACCAGAATTACGGAAATCGAAACATTTAACACAAAGTCAATATGGAAGCCTGTTACCATGGTAACTCACCGCTGATCCTGGTGGGCCAGGTGGACCTAAGAAATAAGAAAATGTTACAAGCCCTGGTTAATATCAGGGGTACCCAACGAGAATATAGCTCAAAACCACTTAAACATAGCAGTGTTGAACGTATTTTAGTATTTAAACGGTAGATATAGGCATATTTTTATTCCCTAAAAATTGTTCATCTGTTCGGATTTCCTAGCTGAAAGTCTAGTGATCCGAAAATTATAGGGATCAAAACTCACCTTTTCGAAAATTTCAGCCAGAAAAAAGGCTTCCGAAAATTCTAGGTGACCTTTTTAGGGTAAAAATCCGTTAAAAATAGGCAATTATACCATTTTTTGGATGTTCGAAAATCCTAGGAGAGGCAGGCAAGCAAGAAATTTTACAACAAATGTTTCGAAAATTCTAGATCTCAAATCGTCTTCCGAACAGATATTCTTCCGAAAATTGTCGTTGGGTGCCCCTGTTAATATGCGTACAGACAATCACATGTTTGGAAGAAATCAAGGAAATAGACGTTTGTAGTGACGTTAGCATGTTGTTCATCAAAGTACAGTCGAACTTCCATGTGCGACCACCTCTCGTAAGCGACCACCTCCCATAAGTGACCGCGACCACTTTTTGGGCCTGACTTTTAATGATTTTCGGCTATTGTTTTTAACTTCTTGTAAGCGACCGCTTGACGCATTCTCTGATCTCTATGTTCGTTGTGCACTATGCTACTTAGAATATACGAAGAACTTTAGTGATAACATGGAACTACAAAACTTATAATTAGACATTGCATGCAATCGGTGACACATGAACGTGATCAGTTAATTGAAAAGACGTTTTCTCAGTTGTCAGATCGTAAAGCTGCCAACGCTGCCAAGCTGTCAACGCTTTATAACCGGCGTTTGCAAGACATTGCAATACTAATGTATAAAGTAGAATACGGGATGGCGCCAAGGTGTGTATTTTAGTTATTCACGATCAAACGTACACTCCAGCGCCTAAGAAACTGTGATTTTTAACTACCCCGCTTTCAAGGACCTTTCATTTGGTCAAAAGGTCAGTAGTGAGCTAAGAAACTTGACAAGCCTCAGAGCATTCAAGAAACATATATGCGGTGTGGACCTTTCGAGCAATGTAGATAATAATAGTAACTGCTGTGACCTGTGTAAATTTTGAGTCGTGTACATTTGTATATAGTTTTAGGTTGTAGATAAGATCATTAATTTAAAAGTCAGTAGGAAAGTGTGCCCAATTAGCTAACTGTTAAGCTTAATACATTGACACTAAAATAAAGTCATTAATGATTACTATTATTTATTAAAGAATATAATATACTCACCTTGGGGACCTCGGCGGCCAGGAAAGCCGATAGCACCCCTCGCTCCTTTCTTACCTCTTTTGCCTTTTGGACCTGGGGGTCCTGCAAGGCATATAACATATAACACGTTAATGAGATCACGGGTGTAGGGAGAAACCTAGTTTAATTAGCTACACGAGTGAGCTTAGGTTTTCGAACAGTCTTACTTACAGTTACCGGTACCGTGCAAACGACTTATTGACGGAATCAAGCAAAACTGACTACGAGAGAACGACTGCACAACTGACAATTTGACTAACAATAAACGACTGTTTAGCTGTGACAACAGACGGATCGTAACGTACGAATTACATTACTAGTCTTCATGGCCAATAACATCATGGCTTATCTGAAAGACGACAAATAATAACATCGCGACTTAATTGACAAAGGAGGTCAATAACCATACTTTTTTAAAATACCATAAACTGACGTGATACAACTAACTTTGACTCTGAAGGTGACTACCGCACAGGTTGTTGAAACGTCAGTCACTGTCAACAACAACAGTCCTATTCAGGGACGATCATACTCAACCTACTTTTGAAATGAGTCGTGGTTCAAACCTTTCACAGTCTAACTTGAATAAATAACTTAAGGGATAGAGAAAAAGGTTGTGTTGATTTGCGAACAGAGGTGCAAGTCAGATAAATAACTTGACTTATTTCGTACTTATGGGAAGGGGAACTCAGTCTGAGGAAGGCAAGCTATATACAGCAGGTTAATACGAGTCCTTTCACCTAACTTTAGTTCATGAATGAAATACATTGTCGTCGATCTCAAGGCTGGAAATCTTTTTGTAAACCAGAATGGAGTAAAAAACCGTGTAGCATGCATGGCTCCTACTGGAAAAAAAAACAAAAACAAAACAACGATAGGAAAAATCTCTTTCTGCTTTTGCAATTGACCGGACCAGCCTGGGAGAGTGGTTATTTATGTAGGGGTGAAGAGTATACAGAGTATATGTACCGGCCGCTACGCACTTCTCGTTTGAAACGAGTGCAGAGCGAGTTTTAAAGATTATGGTATTGGTTGCTTTCTAACCGAGATCCGTGTACTCCCATGATCACACTGTAGTAAAAGGCACAAACCATGCACTCGTTTCAAACGAGAAGTGCGTAGCGGCCGGTACATATACTCTGTATACTCTTCACCCCTACATAAATAACCACTCTCTGGCACAAACAACGCTCTTGTCACGGCCTTATCGATAGACAGGAGCTCGTGTGAACTTTGGAAAAAGGATTTGTTGCGGCTGTTCCAAATTCCACATCCACTTCCGTCGCGTGTCAAGCCTACTGGCATTTTGTAGATGCCATTGCAAACGTCTTTTTACTTGCTTATAAACACCAACTACATGTTAATCTGAAGTGCAAGACCGCTGCAGCTTTAAATAAACTCGCGAGAAAGACGTCCTCTAAGCTATATGCGACCCATATCATACTGCCTTCTGTACTGTGAAGGAGTAAGGTTAACACCGGGGGTACTTTAGGAATTTCTGGGTGGGGATGTGCCGCTGGGACCCTGGAATCCTTAACCTATACTAGAGCTAGTTCAGCTGAATTTTGCTACCCTATACTAGAGTAAATTCCCCAAATCCCCCCTATCCTAGAGTAGCTGTTTCCCTAGTCTAGATAAATCTTCAACCAACTGATCAGTTTCCTGAAAAATGATACCCTCTTCTAGAGCCAAACGCTCTGATTTATATACCCTATCCCAGAGTAAAGTGCTTGAAAACCATACCCTTCACAGCGGCACATACCTATATAGCCCATATATGGTAGTCCCCCCCCCCCCCGGGGGGTTAACTTGGGAATACGAGTGAGAGGCATTCCATTGGTATTCCACCAAGGTTTTGTGTTTTTGAAACGAGTGTATCTTTGTTCATTGACATCGAGCACAGCCGTTTCTGATGACTCAGTAGTCTCCTCAAGCAAATCTCAGTAGTTTGATATTCACACCTTAAGGGGCCGTTTCTCGAAAGTCTGAGGGTCCGGAAACATTCAAGAGAGAGCTCTACTGAGATCTCGATTGTTTTGATTTGTTTATCAGTTACTAAACAAACTGGACTTGTTGGTTCGCTAGGACCCCCTTTTTTCAGTATTCTCTGGGGGTTTGATTTGAATATTTGATTTCAGGTCCTAAAAGTTATCGGGACTTTCCAGAAATAGGCCCTTAGATCGACCAAGGCCGACATGAGACCTACTGAATTTTTGTGAGATGAATAGTCATTCTAACTTTTGGAATCTGAAGACGAAATCTTATGGTGTTACCATTCAAATGAAACCTCTTCGGAAGATCTTTTGCGCAGTACTATTTATATCTTACGATTTGCCATTGTGGTATATTTTTTTGATTTTTTTTTTCTTTAATACGAATAGGAATAAGGTTAATAAGTAAAATAGTAGTTCACTAACCATTACATGAACAAACTTCTGGAGCGTTTCTCCGAACTCGAGCTGTCTCTGACCCCGGATTTGATGAAGCCTGCAAAAATTCATTAGTCAGAAGTAACAAAACATTCTCTAGAACAAGATATAGCCGTTAAAAATAAAATACGCTTCAGATAAATGAGTTCGAATAAGTAGTTGCTCACCTCCTCTACTCTCTGGGCGCCGTTTCCGCTTTGCAGCGTACCGATGACCTTTTGTTGTAGGTGGATTTGTGTTTTTAGCCAGGAGATTTGTCTGAAGGTGTAGATGCCAAATAAAATACCTGACAGTGCTAGCATCAGAAAACAGAACGAAAGTGGAAGTAGCCGAGGTCCGATTTCTTGGTTTTGTTTCTTTTCCATGACCACTTACACCAGCATGACAACCGAACAGATTCACAGATTCGACAAAAATCCGGGGCAATGATGCAGGAGCAGAGTCTAGTAACCGTCTGGTAAAAAGCTGACGCCACAGGAAATTCTCGGAAAAAAAAAACACAACAAAAATAGCGTAGGTCAGGTGAGACAGTACCCTTTACACCACACGACAGTCATATACATTCCTTTGCGCTAAGAAACTAACTTAAAAATATCAGCAAGAAAAATAGTATAACGTCATACCAACTTTCAGGCTTTTTATTGCGTAGCTTAGGAGTTTAAACATAGGGAAATAAAAAAAAGGTAGCTAATTTTAGTAAACCCGTGCGGATGATTTGCACGAGTACAGTTCGTGATATCGATGATAAACATTGTTTTAATACGTCCAACCGTTTCTGCGAAGATGAAAGTGATACCCGGTCGGGGATTTCCTTGCTGAGCTACTTTCGCTTTTGACATGACATCGATTGTTTGTTCGACGACTGTTTGTTGTTTTTTGTTCGAGAAATGTCAGTATTCTATTACAAGTTGGACTTCATTCAGTCAAAAGAAGCCAAAAGAGGTCAGAGGTCCTACCGGACCCTCCCCCTTATTATCTGTCAATAAAAAAGCTCGAAACCATTTTTTGGTGCCAAATCCCGCCCAGCTTTAACTGATGTTTCAATCTACAACCGGATAAAACCTTTAGGTCACTAACGCAATAGCTCGTCCAAATGACACGTTTTTCCTCCCCCCACCCCCCCTCCCTACAGGTTTTTAGTAAAGTGCGTCTTCGCGCTTAATTTCCTCAAGTGTCCCAAAAGTCTGAGGGACAAACGAGCCTCCGAACTGCGTCGTTGTATGAAAGCCTTACTGTATGAAAAAGAACTGGAAAACAACTCTTCTTGTTTAGGCTTTCAAAATTATTTGAAAGTGACTTCAGTTTTTTAAGGGCTAATCTGGCCTGTTGATGACGTCTCGACCTCGTTCCAGTATAAAAGGACCAAAATAGCGTACACTCTTAATTTCAGAGCTTATTCTGGTTTTGTAGCATGAAACACTTAGGAGTACACTCAAACCTCGTTAGACACTGAGGGGGCATAGGAAGTGCTCGTATTAAGCGGATTGAATTTAGAGAAAATGTAAGGACTTTCATTCCCCAGGGACAAAGCAAACTGTCGGTAATAATGAGGTGTCCATATTAAAGGAGCTGTGTCACTGACTGTCTAGTTCATATATTTTTTGTTAACATTGCTAATTGCGCTTTCTTAGGCGCTTTGGAACTTAATGTTAACGAAGAAAATACTTGTAAGCGACAAAATCACAGCTTCGTTTCCAACAAATATGCCATATCCCGAGCATTATATCAAACGTTACAAACTAGAAAAGCGAACTTTGAGAAACTGTCAGATCATAGGCTACTAAGTTTTCAAAAACCCACAATATCGATTTGTTTTAATCCTCTTCATGTTTGTCCATCCATGCCAACTTTTGTATTTGCGCAGGGTCAAACGTCAAAAATAAGACGCGAACTTTGAGTATTTTCGTCTCAGAATAGAAAATAAGCAGAACAGTCCTTAACTGTCCTTAGATAAGACACGTCTTAGCTAACACGAGAAAAACTGTATAAAACTGGACGCGAAACTACTTATTTTTTTATGTTGAAGTAATAAACATTCACAAGAAAACAAGTTAAGAACAAATAAGTCGAAAATTCATACGAGCTTTTTCGTCCTAGATAAGACATGCTCGTATAAATAGTAAAGTTCGCGTTTATTTAAGCCGTTTATTTTTCGTAAAAATGGCCCTGAATGTTAATTGACGCTCTGTTAGGGTTCTCGTTTAATAGAGCAAACGGCAAACGGCAGGCTCAAGTTGAGAATTTCTCAAAACTAATAGACAATGAGCAGATGAAAACAGTCGAAAAAATTCTCATGGATGGAAACAACAAGTATTTTTACGTAGAAGTAAAAAACTTAGTCACGTGGCACAAATTCACGTTTGCCGCGTTTTCCGTAAACGTGACTCTAAAGGTTGATTTCCAGTGCTGCGTAATTTTTACGTGCGTACGTGCGTAAAATTTCCGTTCGCAAATAAAATCAGAGAGGCAATGCATGAAAGGTCGCTCGTAAGCGTAACCGAGTTAAACCTCGCTCAACTTCTCGTTCAGGCTCAGCCCTTTTTATCTTGCCTCTATTTTATTTACCTGATTTAAATTCACGTGTAAATTCTGAGTTAAACCTTAAATTCTTTAACAATTAGCTTCGGTCGTTCAGAGCTCATTCCTGAGAGGCCGGACCAATACTTAGGGTCTTTTGAAGGTATCTTGGTGGCTGGACCTCTGGCTTTAAAATGGCGGTCCCGTCTCCATTAGGAGACGTTAAAATGAGGGCCACAAGTTTATTAGCCTTTAGCTATTAAGTGCTACCCTCTTTAAATAAAGGCTATTTTTTTTATTTTTTATTTTTATTTTTTAACGTGCTTAGCCAAAAACGCGTCAGTGGAAATCAACCTTAAATCCCTCTAATATCACCGTGTCGCCGCAGCAACAGATTCATTTTCAAATACAAGCTTCAGTCACTTCTATAAGTTCACATCCTCCGATGCTTTTGAACGGTTTTTTAGCCTGTCTTGTGATGCATTCAAATCAAGTTGGATGACGGTTTTTGTTCCTAAAGTATCCTTGGCAAACAATGTAAAACAGTTTACCATTTTATCCCCGTTGTTTTTGTTTTATAGTGCACTAAATACTCTGGAGTTTGGTCTATTATACTGCCAAGGGATAAAAATTCATCCATGCAAATTAACAGATAAGTCATAAGTCTTTTCGGTTCGAGGTTTTGCTTTTGATTTGGATACCGGATCGAAGATGGCAGCCATTTAAATTTATGACGTTATCAGTTCTACTTCATATGACTTCATCGCGTCACGTAATGCAAACGTTGCGTTTTTTCAAGTACGCGGCATCGGTTTAATTTTTAGTTTCTAACCGAAAGAGAGGTTGGAGAGGCCTTGACTTTAATTCATCTTGTTGACAGATAGATAACCAAAAAATGCTTTTTAAAAACCCTTTTCAAATGAAACTACTATTTTGCCATAAACTCAGCTTTTGATTTAATTTCAGACTCAGTTGTTAGATAGAGGAGTGTTAACCATTTACATGAAAAATTTCGGTTGAAATCTCAAATTGTGTGGAAGCTGAAAGTTTCCCGAGGAAAAGTTGGAAATCCTCATAAATATTTATCTCTTCTCATTCCAACAGGAGTGACCGAAATATTAACACGCTTAGCGCGCTTTTCGAGATATATAACTGGTTGCCACTTTCGACTGGAAGGTCGAATGGTACGGTCATCGACCAACCTTGTTCACACAGATGCCTTAACTCAACTTGAACTAATTTTATTGTGTTTACACAAGCAAGCAAATTACCTCATTACGTAAAGTGCCACCTTAAAGTATATCCTCGTAAACCGAATGTATATTCTTCTATAAAAATTGAATACGTATTTAACCGTATAGCAATATCATAAAAAACGAATGATATCAACAAGCCATTATCTATAAAAAACCCAACTATATAACATAACCTTATATAAAGACATGTCACTAAGTCCTTTCACTCCTGAGTTTTTTTTTTTTTTTTCAAAGGAAAAGCATGAAAATCAAGAGAAAATTTGAATTGTAAAGTACTTTAAACGATTACTACTTTGAGAAACAACTACCAAAGGGGCTTCATTTGAGTTGCCGAGTTACCCCATCGTATTTGGGAAGTCTCTGTCATAGGCCATTTCCAAGTTCCTAAAGCTCTCACTTTCAAAACGAGTGTAAGTGCAAAACCTTTCTTGAGAAAATAAGTTTCATTTGCATGAAAATAAAAAATCATGTTCGTAGCAATGGCTTTGCAATTAGCCTCGCTTTAAAACAGAGGCGTGACTGAGGCAACTCGGAAATGGCCTATTCAGTGACTCTTACATGTAGGAGTCACTGAGGAGTGAAAGAATTCAAGACAATTATGTTGCTTTTCTCTCCAAAACTAGCCTAAATAATAAAAAATGTCGTTTGCAATCTTTGGATTCCAAAGGGGATCAAGTAAGCGATATTTACACCAAGCTTAAAAAAAGCTGTATAATCCGTTACTCGGACTGTGCAATGAAATGTTCGAGAGGTATAGGTCGTTTCTGAGTTTCCTTTAGCCTCTGTTTCAAAGCGAGGCAAAGTGCAAAGCCATTGATGTGAAATTGATTTTTCTTCTTATGCAAGTATAACTCATTTTCACAACAAAGGTTTCGCACTTAGCCTCGTTTTGAAAGTGAAAGGTTTTGGAACTCAGAAATGGCCTTTTGGCCTGAGGCTTGATTTGCGTCAATTAAATATTTAAGTGTACATTTTAAAGCGTTTATAATTAAAAAAAATTCTCGAAATAAGCAAGGTCAGTTTGCAAGTAATGACTAATTTGAGTGAAAAAATGGTTAATTAGTCGTGGGATGAAGCAGAAATGCACCAAAATAGCTATATCCTGGATCCATTTTGTACACCCTTGAGAATGGCGTTCGCACGGAAATATGATCTGTGGAATTCAAAAACACTACACCACCATTGTAGTTGGTGCTATACTTTTTTTCTTCGCTTATAACAGCTGATGTACTCTGCATGAATTTGCGCGAGTTAACGTATAACTGATGCGTCATCTGATAAGCCATACCGTCGTAGTAATACATCTGAGAGTAAACATAGTAAAATCCAGCGATCTGTATTTGTACAGTGCCATGTTGTCGACGGTAATGGATACTGCCTGATCTGTGCTGCACTTGCCAATTCCTCACCGTGCGCTTAGATACTGCATGGAAACAAACACAGCCTTTGTAAAAAAGATACTACTCGTAAATGGTTTTGGTTAATTGGGGAGTTTGTGGTGTCACTTTGTAGAAATCCTCGGCTTGCAAACAGTTTCGTTTCAGGGAAAGCTGAAACTACACGATGAAAGTAGTTGCACACGATTTGCCACGTCGATTAGTCGTATCAATATAAGATTCTGGGACTCTAACCACCTACCCCTCCCCTAAGCCAAAGTAGTTGTACAATCGTGGACAGAATAAAATAAAAAAGCAGACCCCCATCCTCCCGAAAACAAGGATGAAGCCGCGCGAAAGGCAAAACGTGCCATTTCTCCATTCTTAATTTGGAAGGAGGGAGAAGGTCAAAATTTTCCATCAACTTTGTCCAAGATTGTACTTGACGGATTGTTGTCTGTAATGCTTGCTCAGAGTAGCGTAAACAGCGTCCTCAAGGATGAGAACTGAGGCGAAAAAGGAGCGTCTGCTACGACACGTTTGTAATTGACGTCCGATTGATCGTCTCCGCCAAACAGAGACAAGGTACTGGCACGAGGCACAAATCAGGCAGCATCGAGACCAAGAGCCAACTGCGCCAGTTCAGATCATGCAACGTTAAAAACCAGCACTATCAAAAGCAATTATAGCTTCAGCTATTCTCATAAAGTAAGTACATGTGTTAAATGGGCTTAGTTAAGACAATTAATGCGGTGTTAGTTATCCTTATTAATCATTAGTTAGGCATGTACTAATGATTTTCCAGTTCGGTTTTTTTTTCTATGCCCGGAACTTCTTTTAAACCATTTACACCGCTGCTTGTTACTAAGCATTATACGATGACCCATCTACTTCTAATCAAGGGGTGACGGGCGTCTGTCGCCAGCAAAGTCTTTTAAATGGGTTGAATTCCAGCCCGTTTTTTCTTAATCGGCATCGTATTTGTGAAGCAAAAATGCGCCAAAAAAGCTTCCCTCTCTATCCATGTAATAAACCTTGGTGTATGGGATATGAACTGAGAGAGTGTCGTTTGCTCGAAGTAAGAACACCCCGCCATGATACTTCGTATTGTACTTGCGCAGGTCGCTAACAACGCTTGCCAAACTTTCCAGAACTTTGTCGTGGTTTATGTAGGTGTAATGACCCATTTGAAGTGCGGTACCATCATAGTAAAACATTTGGCTGTAAATGAAATAGTATCCAGTCTTCTTCACCTCTATATGACCAGATTCTGAGTGGTACACGATGCTGCCTTCTTTGTGCCTTACTTCCCAGTTCGTAATGCGAGGTTCTACTGGAAACAAAACCAAAACTTGTTAAGTAATGAAGTTAATAACTTGAAAAAGTTAATTGTCTCGACAGAAATCCTTAAACGTTTCTCGTAAAGCTTTCGCACTTATAGCAGCCAGCTCATGTTCATGCAGGTACTGTGCATACGTTATTTCTTGAGCTCTGAATTCTTGATTGACAAACCACAGAAAAATGCCACAAAAAGTCTAAAAAGCTTACAGTTTCCTCACTTAAACAACTTGGCGATCATATATATGAGTAGAGAAATCTCTCCCATGATTCAAACAGATGGTGTAAAAGGATGTAAAAATTTAGCTTGGCGGTGAAATGAGAAAGGTTTTTTTTTCCGTAATGTTATATTTCGTTTAAGTCCCTCTCTTTTTTGCGGTATTTCAAACCACATCGGACATTCTAGCATTCGGCCCTTTATTTATTTATATTCAGTATCTGTCCAGGAGCATCCAACTTAGCAGAGCTAGTTTAAATGGAAGCATTCCCCATAATATCAGCTTCGCAAGCCACTTAAAGTTTGGTCAAGGCGTTTAACTGATCCAGAGTTTTTACCATAGATAGTCGTATTATTATATTCTAATTTAGCGTTAACCATGTCCCAAAAGAAATTGACAGTTACTTGGGTTTCGAATTCTTTGTCCGTCGCCAACAAGGTGGATGCTTTCGCTCATCTAGAAATAAAACATCATTAAGAAAATAATTAAAAATACTGAGACTTTCTTGATAGATCACTAAAACAAGAAATTACCTTATCTCTATGTTTAACATGTTAGAATGGTTACTGTGTTATAATGGTTATGATGTTCACATGATTACTCACCGATGTTCCTGGCGGGCCAGGTGGTCCTGAAAAAGTTGAATTTTCACTGTCGTTAACAACTCTTGCTTTCTTGTAGTTTCAGTTAGAAAATACACAAAGAAATACAACTATCTTGCACAATACCTCTTCAACGATTTTTTCCCTCACAAAATGATAATTTTCGCTGACATTCGTTTTCGTTTACCTATGTTTTGAACTTATATTATGTCACCCTCTGTATTACTTTCGTGCCAAATCAAAATCGCTCACCTAGTTTGGCAAGGCTAACTGTGTTCTGAACTGACTGCGTTTTTAGACAATGGTAAAAGTCAGGTTAGTTAAACCCTTTTTCGTCTAAGCACAGTCGGACAAACAAGGCACCTAATCTCCTCTGACTCTCGAGACACTTTTTTTTTTATCTAAGCCTGACTTGTTGTGGGGGGGAAGGAGGGTGTGAGCCCGGGAGAATGGGGGACTGGAGGGGTTCGGGAAGTGGCAGAGGAAAGGGTGGGAGGTGGGAGTTCTACTAGGGTGAGAAGCGGGAGAAGTAGGGCGGGGAAATTACGCAACAATGCTTAATATTTCGCAATTGAAAAACGGCTAAGGGGGGGAATCAAAGGTAAAAGAAGCGGGATTCGGGAGTGCACGGTACGGAAGACGGAAGGTGTGGATCCCCGATCCCCCTCTATCTAAAGCAGTCTATGAAGAGGTGATCCGCGTAGAAGTGAGGCGAAAAAAAGCGAAGCGACTTTCGCGCCTACTTCTTTTGCCTTCTGATCTCTTCGCTCTGCGCCCTGACCCGATTCTCAGCGTTTTGCGTCAGTTAGGTACTAAATTGTCAATTCCACTGTTGTTCACAGTCCCCTGTTTTTCCTAAAATAGTCGACGTTACAGGCCGCCATCTCGGTTTTAATTGTCCTGAGGGGACAGGCGTTTGGGGTTTATAGCTGTGCGGGGAGATTTTTCTCTCCCCCTTAAATACGTCCCCACCCCCCTAAGTGGATTTTACAGTCATCCCCGGGCTAAGCTACGTGCAAACGGCCCAATCATGTTGACAGCTGTTGGGTCCGTTTGCATGTAGCTTAAAAGTGTGACCGGTTTCGAACTTTGCGTAACAACTCCCAACAACAAGCAACAACATGCAACATGGTGTTCGAGCGGATACAGCTTGTAACATCCAACAACGTTGCGTCCGTTTGCACGGGGCTCTAGACTCGGAACATTTGAAACCATGATTGCCACCCGTAACGCAATAAAGTGCTTGTTTTCGACGATGTCACGGAAAAGTAAGGGACTGTGTACGGTCCAATTATTAATCGACAGGCAATCATTCATGAGCAGGGCTCTACCTACAACCATGGCAGTTTGTAACATAACAAAGTGTCTAACCTTGCTCTCCTTTGGTACCCTGTAGGCCCATGTCTCCCTTTCGTCCTGTAGTACCCGCTTCCCCCTTTTCACCAGACGGCCCTTGCGAACCGTTATCGCCTTTAGAGCCCTGGGGACCAGCCTTACCTATAAAATATATAATGTTTTAATAGATTTGTCACACTCCTAACTTGTTGTATACTTCGTCTTTAGGAAATGATGATTTAAAAGGGTATGGCTTTAACAAGTTGTGCACTCATCTAAAGCAATGAGGAGGAGTGTTGTCAAATCAGGCAAACGTAAGTCAGATTTTTGTTTTCTTTTTTTAAAGTATTATCTCGTATTTTCATTTTTAACGGCCCAATTTTATATGTTTTCTTAAGTTTGGTTTCCATTTATCGAGAACAAAGGCCAAAATCCGTTGTTTACTCGTAAACTTTCTAGCTTCGCGTGCATATCTCAAGTGACTACGTAGCAACATTAACCAATGACTTAAGAGAATGGGGCGAGATATGTTTAGTGCTGTCGCAGAGCTTATTCTCTTTTTCGAAGCAGCAGTTTTTACAGCACATTCACTTTAAAAGTCTCTCCGTGCGTTGTGGTTTATATCCCGTGTGCAACGGCTTTCTGTCTTTCATGATGATGTCTGTGAATGAAACAGCACAAAATTGATGACGACGGTAGTTTTTTTTAAAAAAAGAGCGCGCTTGAGCACGCCAGAAGCCCATGCCCCCGGCAGGCGAGCAAATAAAGCGGCAAGAAGGGGGACTCAGGAAAAGAAGCGAGCTTACTCTCTTGTTCCCCTCCCTCGGTTTATGACTACTTGTAGTCCAGAATACCGAATACTGACCTGGTGGACCCTCTGGTCCCTGCACACCAGGTTCTCCTGGAGGTCCCTTTGGTCCTTGAGGTCCTATGGCCCCAGGAGGGCCTTCTTCGCCTTTAGGACCTGGATCTCCCTTGTGCCCTGAAGAAAACGTGCCATTTGTATGTGGCGTTACGATCTTACGATTAGTCTGTTCAAGGACTTCTGATAGCGTAGTGTGGCGCGAAGTCAAAATAAAAATTCCGAAAGTAAGACCTGGGGCTTATATTTTTCAAAGGCTCTTTTTGAGGGGCTTATTTTTGGAGGGGCTTATATTCGGAGGGGCTTATCTACGGAGGGAAATTTGCGTTTCAAAATCGATTGGGATAGCCTTATAGTTGGAAGAAAATTTACCGGTTTTGCTTTGTTTTACTTTGTATTTGAGGGCAATTTCCAAGTACAAGCCCCCATGGGGCTTATATTTGGAGGGGCGACTTAACGGAGGGTTTTTTGCGTTACAAGTTTGAGGGGCTTATACAAGGAGGGGATGATTTTCGGAATTTTACGGTATATTGCGCGACTTTATCGGAAACGTCTGCCAAACGATCGACCAGTACTATGGGTATTGTAATTAACGCAAAAGTGTCCGTGAAGGATTGCGTAAGAAATCTGGTAACGACTGCGTATAACACCAAGGTTGAAAAACAAATGAGAAAAGGAGTGTGATTACGTAACAGGAGCTCCAAAATTAAATTCAGTTCAAAATGTCATCACAGACAATTCGTCGATGTCTTGAATTCCTTGACTTGAAGTTTTGTGGTCTACCCAGGACCTAAGAGTTGCTACTCTTAAAGATGACCCACTTAAATTGGGTGCCTGGGTAACTCTTACAAAAAAACTAACCTCGTTTACCTCGTCTTCCTTTACGACCTAAAACGAAAGGAAAAACGTTGGTTGTAGTTAAAAGCCGAACAAAAGTTGTAAGTAGCATTCTCTATTATTAATATTAATACTTAGTAGTGATATTCTTTGAAAAAGATATAGGTTATCTTTACAGATCGGAGTTCTAGGAGAAATTTAATGAAGGCAGGTTAATGATAGTATTAGCACCAAGCATGGGTCAGCTCTAGATTCCAAAAAATATCCAGCCGTCTGCACAATCAAATCCTGCATATTGAATCATGCAATTGTAGTGCAATCCACGCGTCCACGTATTCCGGTAGTCCCGTCCAGTCATATTTCCGTCTGCCGCTAAGGGTCACTTGATGATCATTTTCAAACAATTAACACGCACTCATCACATGAACGCTTAAAGATATGTACATAAAGCTAAACATTTTGAAAGAATTTGTGTAATCGCTGATAAGACTACACAATGCAGACAAAGAACGTTTAGAAGCGTCTTTTTAGAAGGTTTCTTTTATTGATCTCTCCTTGTGGATGTAATAATTTGTATGCAAAATGTTCACAATTGTTTTCAAGTCTGTTCGACCCCATTAAACGATATCAAGGTCATTTTTTTCCTCCAGCATCATTTATACAAAGTCGGGATTTTGTAAATATCTACTATTTTGGTCAGGCTATTGTTATAAACTTCTATCGTTTTGTTCTTTGAAATGCAATTTACGCCCACGCCACAAGGGCATCGTCTGTCTACTGTGAATTAGTATTATTCAGAATACACAGGTGACCGGATGAACTGTATATTTTGAAACAGTTAATTAATTGTCGGTTCATTTGGCACCTCTTAAGAGAGTGCCAGTTGGGGTGTTTTTACCACCTTTGGTAACATCTGGTCGAATTTTTGCCTTCAACGGTTACATTTTGATCCTTATATCTTAGCGCTGACTGGTTTGTGCATCGGTTGCTAGACAGCATAGCATCGGAATTCTGAAAGTTAGTTGCATTTTAATCGGGTAGCCGGCGAATGTAATGAATTAAGAATCTGCAAAAGGCCTAGTCACTTTCAAAACTTGTGTTTTATTAATTAAAAGTTCTCGGAGAGTCACCATAATACGTTTGCACATCAGGTACAGATTCGATTTTTTTCCCGACAAATTTCTATAATAGTTGCTAAAATCTTTGGCCAAAAGATCGTTAGAAAGCCTTGTCGAATGATTTCCTATGACCGTGTCGTCATGTTATGGTAAATAATCCCGATCTGTTTAAAGACAATAGAGCCAACAAAACCAGCCTATTTTTTGTCAAGTTGCCAAGGCCGTCAAGGACTGAAGACAAATTACTCTGGTTAACAAACAATGGTTTAGAAGGCTCTCTCTTAAAATACGTGACTTAAAATTCGTGACATTTGTACTACCATTCCGATTGGATTTATTTGTTAGCCAAAACAACCCGAGAACTTCCGAGTAAACAAAAAAAGTTCACGCTATAGCTAAGAAATCAGTAGGACTTGGCAGAGTTGTTAAGGACAAAAGGCATAAGGTGATGTTGAAGTGAAACGAAAAGAGAGTTTAAAGCGATTACGATAAAGCAGATAATTTTATTGCGTGCAACCTTTCTTTTAAGTCCTTGACCAATTTCAGAGCAAAATGGACGCTTTGACAATTGATTAAGTTCAAATTTGATCAATTCTTTGGGATAAAACTGCCGCTAACGCTGAACGCTTGAGGGCAGTACATGCCGGTTGGAAAGCTTTCACCTCTCCAGAAACCTGCATGCTTCAAAATCCAACGAAGCTTGAAAGTAATTGTGTGTTGTTCAGTTCGAGTTTCAACCGCCGAATATGCTCCACTCGGTTCAATATCGTAGCGTGGCAGTAATGGGCGCTTAAAAGTAGCTTGTGGCCGGGAGCCTTCGAGAGCAGACGCCTTTTTCAGCTTTTGTTTCACTCTCGTTTTATCGGTGAGTGAAACAAGAGCTGAAAAAGGTGTCTGCAGGCTATATGGCCGGCTGCCAGTCAAGATTTTCAAAACTCTAAAAATGGTTGTAACCTTATAGAAAGCTCTATATTCCTTATGTTCTAACCCCCAGTTCACTTTGTCTACTTAGCAAATATATTAGAGAAACAAGTTAAATCAGCCACGGGCGCATTCGTCGGTCATTTGGTGATTTTAAGACCTTAGCCTGCTGCCCGTCATTTAAACACTTCCTAAAAAGTGAACTAAAGGCCTTTATTTGTCGATGCAATTAGAAGAATTTGGAAGTGAGCGAACACGAAAATGTTACCAAAAATGCGCAAGTCTCTTTGATTGTAACTAACAACAAAGCTTGTCTTGTCTTCTTCAATGTGAGGATTTCAGTTAAAATCCTTAACATGTGAAGTGCCATATCAAATGTTACATGAATCGGTAAGGCGTCTTTGCTCTTGAAATGCCGGATATTTTCATCGTAAATAGCCTAAATATACATAAGTGGAGTCTTCCTCTTAATGCTTTATCAAATAAAACGTTTCCTACTCCGGAAGTGAGAATCTAACAATTTGTTGTTACATTTAGCAAATTAGCGGACGCGAAGTTCTGTAATCTAGATGACCTTTTTTAATCAGCCCAGTTTCGATGGGTGCAAACTCGAATTCCGCTACGTTTCAGTTATTTTAAAGTCTCTCTTCTTGACATAAGAATATCTTGTAACGACCGGCTTCTACAGGCACAATGTAATAAGAAATCCGTCCGCTGCATTTTGGTCAACGCTACCGCGGCTTCCAATCCAGTCTCTAATACTGAGATTTTTTAGCGCATTCATTAGAAGACGCTTGTTTTTGCAGAGATATTTACGCCGTCGGCGTAATCTATTCATTTCTAATTGTTTCATTTTCTCGGAATCGCGTTTTAAAACACTATTTTATCAGCGGTCTTGTCAATCTACCGGCATGACTTTTTGTCTCCAATGCGGAAGTAAACACGCCTAAGTTGGGTACATCTATCTGTTTGGTTTCTCTTTGAAGTTTTCTTTGAGATATTTATTTCAACTGGCACACGTCGTTTACGCCCTTCTACAGATCAATACCCTATCTAGTACTTGTTTTCGCGGAAGAAACTCCTTGTTATAAACTACTCATATTGGTTTTCTTACGTGTTCCACGACACGATCAAACCGTTGGCTATTAAACGTTGTTCAGGCGTCCCAGATCTTCCCTCCATCGCACTTATAAGTTGTTTTTTGCAGCCTTTTTTTAACTTTATGCTTTATTAGCGTAGTAAGCTTTTCATGTTATCGGCCTTGACGGTGTGTGTTTTTTAAGGTAAGCTTAATTCCTTGCACCCTTGTTAACCTTTTAGCAATCAAATACCGAAAAAATGTCATGTTTATTGAAGCAACAACAGACTTATTACCTTGGAGACACGGACAAATACCTCCCATCTGTCTTTTAGCTCTCTCTTGTGATGTATCGATTAAAGCAAGCTGCAAACAGCAGAAATGAACAATTACTTTCTGTCCCCTCTTAAAAACACTAATTACAAATTCATAACAATCTTTGAATACGAAATTAATTGCGACAACGTAAAAATCGCGCCTCTGATAACATCTATCAGCCAAACCTTGGTTTTCAGCTGTTTAGATTTCTCCTCCAAAACACCTTCAGTTTCACCCGCAGATCTTCCGTGAGATTTCTGAGCTGTGAAGCTGCTTTCCAACTTGTAAACACGAGCTGCCAATGTGCCTGCGACTGTCTCGAGCGATTGTATTCTTGCTGTCTGTGATATTACAATACGGTACAAAGAAACCATACAAATCGTTGTTAACACGATGTATAACACAGCTATTGCAATCCCGAAATTAGCCGCGCAGCGATGCCCACGTGTCTTCCCTCGTTGGTCCATTATTTCAAGAATGTTGAACAAGGAAACTCTAAACGCTGAACTTGTGATCTGTTTTGATCCGAGCTCGATGACTTGCGAAGAATTGTTTCATTACCCACGGTTCACTGAGCTTTAAGGAGTTTCTCGGAAAATTCATCTTTCATCGCGCATGTGCCCTCTGATTGACAAAAAGATTTCTTTTCCAAAATATCTCACGACCGGTAGTGTGTAACTTGGTCACGTGATGATAGATAAATCTCAACGTTTGTATCAGCGGAAGACATTACAAAGCTTATCAACCTTAGATTTAACCGCATTCGTAAATTAAAACAAAACAAATATTTCAGGACGAAAACAGTGACAAACAACTAGTGAACAGTGCAACCTCGTAGATTCACTCTAATCAAGAGAGAATGTTTTGATCTCGGACTACTTCGTAGTTGTGAACATGCGATTCATTTCAAAATACTTGGTAGGCGTACAAGGGCGCCAATCGATCTGCTGGTCCAAAAGCCTGATCCATAAGCAGTCATCACATAATGGTCACTGAATGCGCTTGAACTGAACGAGGTATGAACACGTAAAATAAGTTAAGTAAGATTAAGTAAAATCAGGAGATGGTAAAATGAACCCTTCTCTCAGGCCCACCCAGTTCCCATAGATGGACTTAGTGAAGGTGGTGCTCACGCACCCACGTGGTGGAAAGCGATTTCTCGCACGCGTATTGGTCGAGAGCCATGGTAGTATTAAGAAAGGACGCGAGTGGCGCAGTTTGTTTTCTCTTTCTCTCGCCCGTGGTTTTCCGAGAAACGTTAACGAAAATGGACATAGAGAAATCTCAATACTATTGTAAAGAACAAAACGACGACAATGTGTATTCTTTTATCAACCACAGAAATGACTTCAAAATGTTCAAAACTTTGCATTGAAACCTCTCGCCTGCGGTTCGTGTTTCCACTGGAGGTTTGAACATTTTGACGTCATTTTTTTGATCGATAAAGGTAAAGACCATGAAAAATTGTTGTCAGTTTGTTGCTTAGACCTGTGAGACTGCCTGGCCGGAGCAATAAATTTGCTGATCTAGTTGAGCAGAGGTGGGTCGGGTCTGGCCGTTACAATATTTCTGGATTTTGTTTTTGCAGACTTCCAGGAAGATAGCTGGCAAACTTAGGGCGCATTCGGTTGACGTTATTACGGATTAAAAGTACATGATAGAATAAGTTCTAAAAATGTATGGGTTATTTTAAGAAATCTGTTGAGAATTGATAATCAAGATGAATGTAGCAAATGTAGCATTCCAAAGGTCCAAAATTTCGGATCGAAATACTCCGAAGCTGAGACAGGACCCTGCGAACGAGGTTGCTTTATATGAAGAAGGTTTCGATTTTGTGCTCAGAGAAATTTTCTTTATTGTTTTTGGCTTTGCATTGCCTTTCTTCGTAATTGGCCAAAAATTCTCGAGCCCTTTTCTCATAACAAATTACACAGAAGTAAGATCAAAATTCATTTTACCTCGTTCACACTCTTCTCCCGCCCTTTGCGTTGGTTGCATGTGTCGTGGGCTCCAAAACCTCATTGGTTCATCATGTACTGTGCTTATCGTAATTGGTCCTTAGACGAACGCTTTTGTTTAAAGCCAATCTACTATTGGCGGATCATTTGGAATTCGCTAAATAGGATTCAGTAGAGTGGGAAAGTAAGAAAATTGTATAATCTGTTATTGCGAGATAATGACCAACCCCATTCAAGGGGAGCTTAGCACCTAAATGGAGGAATGGAGGGGAAGTTTCTGGGAGGCTAAATGTATCATATGTATAACCCGGTAGGACGATTAAAGACTCGTTTCAGTCTAAAAGAGGGTACATGTGCGAAGGCGCTAAGGACTCTACGCAAACCGCAAAAAATATTTGTGGTAATAACTTTATTATGTAATTATTTATCTATATGGGCATTTAATTACAACCCCTGAAAAAAGCAGCTGCAATAGCAGCCGCAAAAATATCTTGGAAAAAAGGGAAAATGAAACCGGAATGCTAGGGCTCTGTATGGAACGTAGTCAGTCTATAGCCGGATGGGCCACGTGACCAACTATCAGGGCGGCTACGTCCCATGCTGACCCCTGACAGTATTTGGATATTCAAAGGAGCTTACCATTTGGCTATTTAAACAAACAAACAAAGTAACACTAAATACGGTTATTGGTTGCAAAAGACCAATGTGGCCTAAAATGTTTCTTATCTTGCAATATGCATTAACATAATCAAACAATTTTTTTTCGGGGGGGAGGGAGGAAGACGCCGCTTGTCCCCCTTAAAAACAGGAAATTTTTCTCGCAGTAGTCTAGGCGTCAATCAAAAACGAATTAACTTTAATTCAAGAGTTTGCGGAAAGGGAACGATCATGTGCAGAATTCTGCATTTTCCCGCGCTGGATTCCCGATTGATTTTTACGTTTGAAAAAATTGGAGAGCTTAGAGGTAGAATGACGGCGCTATTAAGAATGGCAAGGTTGAACAAAGCTGAGGAAGGGAATTCAAAACGGGGTCGAAAATTGTAAACCTCTTGTATCTTTCTTTCTTTTACCACTTAACCGGCAAAGTAAATAAGAAACTGCGAGGTGCAAATGGTTCTGTATACCGATTAAAATGAAAAGTAAAACAAATTGCTTTAGATTTTGATTACAGTCTCTGATAGCTCCCTTTTAAACTCTGCAGAGAAACAGATGGGTCTTTGTTCGTGGCAGAACAAACACATTATACAAAATATACTGGTCTGGCAAGAATGAAAACTCACTCGGGATACAAACTTTATATCGCTTTTATGCGCTTTTCCAATTTTTTCCAACTTACTTCTTCTATCCAAAGCTTTTAAATGCCAGCGTGTTCCTCTGCCCAATTACTCATAGTGCGCTGATTACTGTTAAGGGGTGTGGTCAGGTTTAGAGGTGAAGCAAAAAAGCCCCAAAGAAGCTACGAGTAGGATGTACTAGATAACGGAACGTGTTAGTTACAGCAACAAAAATGGTGCCGTTAGCCTTAACATGAAACACGCCACCATGGTACTTTGTGTGGTGCTGCCGAGAGTGGGAGTCTTTTGAAGTGATACTTTCCACACTGCTCATCACTTTTTCGCCACTGATGTAAGTCTCGTGGGCCATCTGAAGAATTTTGTCACCACCGTCGGCATAGAACATTTGGCTGTACACAAAGTAGTAACCGGCTCGTTTCACCTTGATTTCTCCCTTGGTCTCTTCATACTCCATACTGCCTGACTTGTGTTTCACATTCCATTTAGTTATACGATGGTGTTCTTAAAAAAGGATTATAACCTGACAGTTAGAGTCAGTGTTACATACAGTGTAACCTTGATATAACGAAGGGCCGAGGGACTGGAAAATTTTGGTTGCTATAACATCGGGGTTCTCAGTTTTCATATATTTATAATAATAATAATAATAATAATAATAATGGGCGAAAGAAATGAAACAAATAATATACATGAAACATAACATTAAAAATGCCGAGGTAAGAGGTAAACCAGTTGGTTATTTAGAGGTTCGTTTGAACTACTATTGAACAAATCCATTGTCAAAATTTTGAACTTGAAAACATCCTGCGCTCTACGCACCAAAAAAGAGAAGCGTTTTATGCCGAACTGCCAGCCATTGTTCATTTCAAAATCCGCAAAACGTTTTCAAACTGCCAGCTCTTCACAACCGCAATACGTAGGGGGTTTTAGAGGGCGGGCGGCTTCTTCACTCGTTCCCTCCCCACGAAGGAACGTGTGCCTGGGAGGCTACTACTGCAGGAAACACCCATTATATACTACATGTAGTTAGAGCACAGAGTTCTGAACATTTAAAACGTCTTATGTTGACTATCTGATCCATTTGTATCGAACGGCACACTTCAACAATTCAGAACAATTGACAAACTTATCTCCTTCGTTCGTAAAGACTTACTGTTATTTGTTATGTTTCTTCCCTTGCCGACCATATGGATGCTTTCGTTCATCTGAAATACAAGGTATGATCTGAGTCTTGCATGCCTAAATCCTCATCATAGGAAATATTTATACTGACCCATTTTGCTCAAGCCACGCTGTAACAAAAACCTTTCTATCTTTCTGTGTTCAGTGATTGTTGTCGCCAGAAACGAATGCATTGATTCCGTGCCCACCTGACAATCCTTTGTTGTTCTGGCGTTTAACCTGTTACAAATCTTGTTATCGTCAAAACAACATTGAAAGAGGGTTCGCTTTCCTTTAGCAAAGTGTTGTATGATGTGTGTGTTATGGTTTTCCCGCAAATAAATAAATTAACAAATTGTCGCACGACGCTCAAAGAATTTCATGGGACAGGTCACCTAGGTCAGTATAATGTTGTTAGGGTACTATGGCACGTTCTTGAATCCAAATCAATAGTTGTTGCCAAGGGTACGAACTACCATCTCTTCGTACACTTGGAAAAACAACTGACAAAGAAAACATGTATCATTTTCTTGTGTGCGCGGACATTGCTATTCTTTTGCTGCTCTGCTAGATCCCTGTTACATGTCCCTGATCTGTAGTGCGCTTGATTTGTCCCTGTTACACGTTTTCTCGCCGCAACAGGACCATTCACCTCTCCCAGCCTTAAGTTTGCTGAATGTGATGGACTTTTCATACTTGAAATGTCATCTGTACTCAAACGTCATCTGCTCATCCCCGGGATAAATCTTTGAGCATTAATTCACCTTACCTGTCTGCCTCTCGATTAGTGAAACTTTCAGGAGAAATTGGAGGCTGATCATTATTATAAGAAAGCACCTGTGTGTAATACTCACCAAAAGACCAGGTGGGCCGGGCGGTCCAGGTGGTCCTGAAAGGTAATTCAGAGAAATAAATGGCTGAATCACGATGCAATCTTTTCTAAAATTATCACAGTTCACAGTAAAGTTGGCGTCCGCTGGAAAAGGTTCGACCGGCTTTAGTCCATGTACATCTTTTGAATCTGATTCTTATTTTAGAGTCTGAGAATGAGACCCTTTGGTATTACCGAGTTTTTTCCTTGGTATTGCCTGTTTCACTTTTAACTGTTTTTCGTAGTTTGTTTGAACAAGCAAACAAGAAAAAATACAGCCGTTTTTCCTATCTCCTCGCCGCCAGGGACACGTTTCGCCAGGAGGAACGTCTGCAACTCAGGACAGAAATTCCATATTGATGACATAAATCAATGTTTACATAATAAATCCGGGAGTCAGGGGATTCCAAATGTAAATTTGTTTGATTTTATGTTTCTCGTGGTCGATCATGGTAAAGTTTTGTGATCTTTTGCGAACGAGCTCCAGGAAACCTCAGATGCTTTTTCTATTGACCGTTTTGTAATAGATTAATCACGTTTATATTTGACCTTTGTGGCCTTTTGTCTTTTGTCTGTCATTCGTAAACAATAGGTAAAACAATATAACTACTACGTCGACCAATCAGAGCTCCTGACCAGATTCCGGACAAATTTTACGTCATCAGGATGGAATTTCTGTCTCTGAGTCGCAGACGTTCCTCCTGTCGAAAGGTCCTTAGCGGCGAGGAGCAAGGAGAAACGGCTGTATTCGCGGGCAAGTTTGTTTGCCGGTTTGGATTTTTTAAAAGTGAAAGCGTCAATACTTAGTCAGAAAATAACTGAGGTAAATCCCCGGGGCCCCGTTAGTTAATCTAAACCAGGAGCTATAGCTATACCTTGAGGTCCCTGTGGTCCTTGTTCGCCTTTCATACCTGCTGGGGAAAGCCGTTTTTATTAATCTTGTTGAAGGGAAACGAAACTCCAGGGCTGGGTTGTTCAAAGCTGGGTTTAGATGACCCAGGGTTAGTGGGAAATTTGAATTCAGATTTGAAAGATTAAAAAGTAAATTTAGTTCAATTTTTCTGTCAGCCAGTTGATGATTGGATGCTCTTAAAAATAACAGAGGAACTTATCCGAGAAAATGCTTTTGAACAAAAGAAAAAGAAACCCGGGTTAAATTTAACCCTAGGTTAAGCGCTAATCGGCCTTCGAACAACTGGGCCCTGGCCCTTCAGCAAATTTACGTCACGGTCACATTGTAGGGGCCAGCTTCTTTTAAGAAGCTTAACTTAAAAGTTACAAAGCATTTATTAGATAATTAAGTGTAAGGTAGCCTCCCACATCACGCAGACGTTCCTTTGTAACGTTCATACAAACCTCTGTTGCTCAGAATTCACCACAGCTAAGAGCTCTCAAAGAGAAAAATCAAGTTTAACTACTTTCCTAATTCTTTTTGACGTGCAACTGCATCTACTCCCGGCTGGGATAATTTGTGTCTTATTTCAGTTATTTGGTGTATATCAAAATATTGCTACCGAAGAGCCTACTGTATTCAAGACCTCCACTTTAGTGGATATTATAAATTGTTACATCATGAAAAGGTTCAAGAAAAACGTTCCACGTATATTAATTCCTTACAAACCGGCAGCCTAATGAAACCTTCAGGACTGGGCTTATCCTGTGATTTAAGCTAAGCAACTATTTTCATCGCTCACCTCTCTTGCCTTTGCAAACTAAAAGAAAAAATGGAAAAACAGCGTCACTAAAGTCAGATCAATTTCAGTGATGGTTCCCGGATTTACACTTGGACACAAAGTAAATAAGTTTTACCCTTAAACTCCTAAGATAGCCCGACATTTAGTTTCTTCTCTTAGAAATACTGCGCGTGCGTAAGGAGCTGTGTCGCGGCATTTATCAAAATATTCAAAAACAGGATGAACTGCCACAAAATTTAGCAAAATATAAAAATGACAGCTTAAAACGGAAAGGAGGCTCGGACGGACAAATTTAAAAGAAGATTCGGAAACGGACTGCAATTGTTATTTCTGTGAAAACGTATTAGCGCAACAGGTTTTCAAAGTTCATTTTTCTTGTTCTTCGAAACGTTTTAAAATACCGTAAACTTCCGATTATAAGCTTCCCCCGCCCCCTCAGTTTATAGGCCCATCTACCACTCAACAAAAAAAATACATCCGGTCACAAGCGCGTCCTGTAGATTGTATTGGAATGAATTTGACTTTTTACGACATTTTGAAGCTCAAAAAAGCGATCAAATTCAAAAAGTATTTTGATCAGCTCTGCTATGTGGCTTGTTTTGAAACACTTCTTTTTAGTCTGGTTAAAAAAGCATACTGTAAAGAATTCTGGAAATACGCAAACTGATTTAGGATTTCACTAATTAAAAGGTTCACACATCACAGAGAGTACTTGAGAATAAAGCTACTTATGATCTTACCTTTTTTACACTTGTAACCTGTAAAGAAAAATTAAGGAGTTTGAGTAAGAAGCTGTGCTGTAGAAATGCAAGGTAGAATTTTCTTTTATCCCATCTTGTAGTGTACGAGCCGGAGCTGGACATCAGTTTTTTTTTTTTCGATTAATAATAGCGTCCCAAGAATAACTGGAGAATTTGTTATTCAACCCGTAATTTGAACACAACGGCAAGGTTCATTGCTCTCAAGAACAGTGAGCAACCACTCTTTCTTACTATTAAAACGTCGGGCCAGCATAAAGTACAGTTTCAAACAAACACCGACCGGGCAACCACGCGAAGTGTGTATTGAAATCCAACACCGAGAGCGTATTGGTATAGGTAATAGCATGATTTGTAGTGATATTTGGCATAAATACCATGAGTGATATTTCGAAATTGTTATACGTAATTTCACGAGCCGTTAGGCGAGTAAAATTTGAGACAATTTTGAAATATCACGAGTGGTATTTATGCCAAATATCACGTACAAATCATGCTATTATTTGTTTATACTTCTGCCCTCAAAGGTTTTGTAATTTTCACATGTAGGTATTTCAAATTAAGCCGAAATACCACTGCTCTAAGCCAATCAAATTGCAGAAATTTCTCATGTAGTAGTGTAATTGAGAAAATACTGTTTATCGTTCTGAACTTTACGGTATTCAATGTTAGCTAATGTTAAAGATGGTTGAACCGTAAATAAGCCAGGCGACACTTACCACGTGTCAAGAAAACGAAAATATCAGCCTCACCAGTGTACTAATAGTACAATTGGCAGACCTCATTTCAGTGACAAAGAATGCCATCTTGACGCGTGTTTCTCTTTCTTTTTTCCAACCGAAATGGAGGGTACATTCTTATATTATATATGCGTCAAATCGTGCTTGCCACACGCCTCATAATCCAAGTTGGCACGCTTACTGAGCTATCATTTTGTTTTCCCGCTCCAAAGGTCTCGGTTCCGCGTTGCGGTTGTGAGTGAGTACACAAATGGTGAATGTTCGAAGAGGGCCCTCATATTAAATATTAATCATTATTACGTTTAACCTGCAGGGTTAAGACCTTGTACAGAATTTATGTGACAGAAAAGGCGCTTTAAAAGCTTATTCAAGGAAGCTAGGTATGTAAAAGTTGTTTTGAATTAAAACCTTAATGATCCATTTATCCTCAGGGGGTCTTCGTATCACTAATGACCGTGTAAGATTAACATTTGAATGTAAACGATTAAATTGACCCTGGGCTAAAGGGCGACCATTATCAATACGTATCAACCGCAAAATAACAGGAAGTGGACTACTGTGATCCAAGAGGCTTTCCAAGGCGCAAAGGAAATATTTCTGGTGGTTTCCCACTTTTTTTCGTTAATTTTAATAGGGAGCTTTAGCAACTACGACGACGACCACAACGACGACTTCCAAAAAACAATAGGTTTAATGATCAAAACAAAGCTCTGCACGTGCATCACGCTTTTTAGTACATTTCTTTGACGTCCACCGCACGACTACGACGTGAAACCTCCTTGTTTGACGTTTCATGGAGGACGTGGACATACGACGACGAATTTTCCTTCCTCTTTTTGAACCTGAATAAAATCCTTAAGAATTCAACTCCAGGAAAAGTCGCTTGCATTTAACATATTGAGCGGGTCCAAATTGACGCGATTAAGTTTGAAAGAACGCAAATTTTTATTTTTACCGACGTTTTCACTGCCGTCGTTGTCGTCCTTGCTTAAGGTCCCTAATATATCGATAGTGGACGCTTTTGAGTATACTTCAAATCTAACAGTTGTGAGAAACATCTTGAAAGTAAAACATTAATTTTTAAAGAATGGCGGAGTACAAAATATGCGGAAGTAGTTAAACTGCACTGACAAAAGATGTTGCAAACGTCTCTGCACTTGTCGCTGATCTACTCTCTCTGTAAGACTCTGTTACGTAATTTTCAGAACTACTTTGCTAAGAGTATGAACTTGCCATTTCTTCCTTTCGTTTTCGGTTAGTAAGAAGATGGCAACACGTGTGCCGTTTATTGCGGAACGAAAGGTTTCCTTCTATCGGTATTGCAATTCTCCCAACTATGTTAACAAACCTGGTATAAACATAACGATGAGAATGCCTATTTTGATCACTTTGGGGGCAATTAAAACAGGGTGAGATTATTTTTCGTTGAAACTAAGCAACAGTGATAGGGTCTTAAGGTCTCTAACGTAAAGTTTTTTCGACGGAAATGTTTCAGTTTGTGTCAATGGAAATTCCTGTAATATGGCTCCTGGTCTTACTAAAAATTACTATACCAGAACCTAACTTTGGCTCAGGACTACACATTAGATAGATGTTGTCTCACGCTAAAAAACTTAAAATCGTCGGCGATATTTTAAGTTTGGCAATGTCATTTGGGAAAATTCAATAGTTTGCTCACGCTTCGGACACTGAATTTGTCCTTCAATCGCTGTTCAAAGGCCATTTGTGCATCAGCGACTGAATCTTGGTGACTCTAGAGTAGTTTACAAGAAAACGTGAGAAAAATATCGTGATGTTTCTCTTTTAATAAAAAGTAAACGAAACACTTTATTTCACCTGTCGGGTGTGGAACACCTCCCATTTGGCGCTTATCTCTTGACTGAAGGGAACTGAAAGGCGTCTGCTGAAACAAGACACAGTCAGGTTACTTTGCGTTCATTCAAATGAAAACATTAGTTTATGCATAATTTTATCGTACAAAAGTCGCTTTTGTTTTTGCAGCGATTACTACAGATCTTAGAAGTTACCAACGTACCTTACTGGTGAGCTTTCCATGCACAACTCGATCAGTTTCACTTACACTTTTTGCTTCAGATCTCTTAATATTTGTTAAACTTAGTTCCAACTTGTAGACGCGAGCTGAAAGTTCGATTGTCTTTGCCTCGAGTGTTTGAATTCTTGTAGTCTGTGTCAATACCAAGCGATAAAGAGTCACCATAAAAACCGAGACCAGTACAACGTAGATCGCTGCCATTAGGATCACGAGCGAAATCCAATTAAAGCAGCGAGCGCGTGGTTTGGAACCTTGTTCCATGGCGATCAGTTTGTACGAGAAGAACCGATAACTTGTCTTGTTTTAAGTCCCAGGTGATCTGTCACGGAGCGCGCCAAGTGCTACTGTTTGATTTATTGGCTCCGCTTGGCTAAGCATTTATACTCCAAGTTTCTCAGAAACTTGAGCCTCAGTTTTTGGACAAACAGGAAAACTCCTTGAATAGGATGTTTTTTCTGAAAATACCGTTTTTCCGGACGCTCCTTTTTTCCCGGCACCTCGCTTTCTTTTTCGGCGATTAATCCCAAGCTTAAACTAAAATCTGAATTCTACATTCTGGTCATCTATTGTTATTCTCCTTTCACGTTTGAAAATATATATGAAAGGGTCTGCACAATCAGTTTATTCAATTGCAACTTCAAATTTCATAGATACGTTTTTCCTTCTCAATACAGCAGTTTGGCTTTTTGAAGTACTATTTTTTAGCTATACAAATATATATTTGACCCAATCTCTCAATTGTTCATTTTTATGGAAAAGCTCCTTATTCCTTATTCAGGCGTATTAAAGAAAGCACTTCAGGTTTTTGCACAGTGGGGCGAAATATAGGATCTCCTGCGAAAGGCTCTTTCGTAGTTATTGCCGACTTCCTTTTCTCGTCTAAATAAATAACTTCATCAGATTGTGTTATAATCTGTCTGTAAACTGTCTTTTTAATTCAGCCATTGGTACTTCCTTCATAAATATTTGTTTTAAATAATTAAAAGACACTTTTACCCGCCCGGGACCGGTGTAATGAAGTGACAGGGTCGCCCCTGTACTGATAGGCGGAAGGTGTGTTTTACAGTTTCTGCAGTTCTAGGAGTGGAATACTTTCCTAAAACATTAACAACGTAAAAAGTTCCCTTCAATTTGGAAAGAGTTATGTTCACTTGTACAGTTTCTATTATCGGCGTTTATGACGTCGATATTTTAATTCAGGACAGTGAGAAAAAATTACCTAAAAAGGAAACTGAGCGACTGGCTCTGAAAGCTAGACAACTTACAGTGCGCGTCAAATTTACAGGCGTGTTTGGTCGTAACGGAAGAGTGGAATAGAATGTCTTGAAATCGAAACTTTAAGATTTGCTTAAAAACGGGAAGTGCTATGTGTTGGTGGAATATAGGGTCCCTTTTTCGAGGTAAAATGTTGCTACGAATGTAACAAATGTCTGTACGAAATACGACGATATAAGGTTCGTTTTAAAGGAGTGCTTAACCAGTTACCACCGTATAATCACCTCTGTAGTTAATAAAGGGATTACCCAATAAACAGACAGCAAAAGACCTCTTTAGCTTTTATGTTTTGTTTCCCATTTTAGACCATGTGGCATTTAAGGAACTGTTTCTTTGAAACTTCGTCCTTTTCAAACGTATACGCAGGCATAACGGGCAAGTTCCCTTGAAAATGACCTACATCAGGAAAAAAAAAAAAAAGACCTCTTTAAAGAAAGGTCTATTTTCCATTATATGGTCTTTACAGTTTTCGCGCATAGCCGGAAATAACGTCAAAATTTTCAAAACTCAAGTGGAACTACGAGCCGCAGATGAGTGGCTTCACCGTGCAAACTTTCGAACATTTTGACGTAGCATTTATGTCGTAGCTGTTGACCAATTAGCGGGCGACAGCTTATTTATTGTTGAATGCTCTACCAACATTTCGCCGTATGTCCATGTTAGGATTGTCAAGTGCAACCAAATATAATACATAACTAAGTAGTTTTGAAACTTTTTACAAGGCAAATAGAAACATTTGCAGGAAAACCTCCTTCTGCAAAGGTGGGAGTGCATAAATTAATGGTGATTTTGTGTAGTTTGGGGTAGTTTAGTCCAATTGACCAAAAAACCTAAACATCAAGACGAGGAAACTCTCAACTTCGCGCGAATCCCTGGTGGATGTCTTTGCTACGTAATAATTTGGCTCCGTCGCATGAGTATACCTTCATTGGGAGTGGATAAGCTATATTGTTACGGACGCAAATGTTCCCATATCATGTTAGTCGAAACAGAAAAGACCTAAAATTAAGAATTTGATTGTTCAAAGTAGAATCAATTGCTATTTTCGCATCTACTGCAACCTACCTTATATTGAAAGCAGGAGCCGATTATCGGCTCCTGATTGAAAGTGAAAGGGAACAGGAAAGAAAGTGGATTAAGACGTCATCTTTAACTTCGGTCTTCCTTTTGCAGGTCCCATGAATTTCTGTTTCTAAATAAAAACTTTCGTCTTCTGACTCATCTCATGCAAGGGAAGTGCAAATGCTTGCTGTGTTTCCTTCTAAAAGCAGGGAGAAGTTTCGGTAAAGGAATTATACTTTTCCATCCGTGCCCCACGTGAAACGTTCCATGTGGCCCCATGTGTTGTGTACTTAACTTTATGATTATAGAGCTGTTTCGGTCAAAAATTTGGTATTCGATACGAAAAGTCTAGTTTTTTGTGTGTGTTTATGCACATTTCTTTCTATGTATTTAGTTGCCTGTTCTAGGCGTTCAGGTAGTAGAGTGCAGAGTTCAGATGGTGCCGTGGAGCGAGTTAAATCGTACGCGGGGGAAAACGTACTATTTTAATAGTATCGTGGATGGAAAGTAAAACCAATGAAGAATTTTTAAAGATGGCAAATACGACAAGTTCATTATTACCAACAATAAAGAAAAGAAAATGCCCGTATTTTGGACACGTAATAAGAGCAAGGTCGATCCAAAAATTGTTACTGGAAGGCAAAATTGAAGGAAAGAGAGAACGTGGGAGACCAAGAGCTACCCGGATGAAAAACATCAAAGAATGGTTAGGACACACTTATAATGGATGTGTAAGAAGAGCGGAATATCGGAACAGCTGGAGATCCATGATAGCCGACCTACTACTAGTAGATGGCACTTGATGATGATGTACTATCTGAACGACTGGAACTGGCTAGTTTAGTTACAACCAAGCAATCCACATAAAATAAACAGGAGAAAGAGAGGGACCAAAAACGACAAGCAAGAAACGATTTTGTGGAATGAAAATTAGACCTGTAGTATAGGCAGTCTGTATAGGATGCCAATGATCTGAAAAGCTGTTTTGAGTCACGTGACATCTTTCTGTGTTTGGTGACGTCCCACACCGAGTTTGAAGTATTTTGACATATTACTTTGATATTACTTCGAACTCTCAAAGAACACTACCAATTGGTTATTGACAATTTCGTAGCTCTGATGGCTAGCTTTGCGGTTTCAATAGAACAATTTTGGGCTATGTATATCGTAGAAAACGATACAGTTTATTTGCGATTACTTTATTTGCACACACAAATAGTTTTTAAGGACATATCTTGGCAAGTCGATATGCTGTAATGGTATTTACACTGTCATGAAAGAGTTCAGTAGACCAGCTTTTGCAAATGCTTTGCAAAATTATTTCTTTTAAAAATCGTGCTGATTTAGAAAAGCTGTTGTTTATAGAAATTGCGTCAGAATTTTCTCTAGCTAAAATGTACACCGCTTTTTACCAGAAAAAAACGAGGTATCAGTAATTTTATCACATTGCGAACCAATGAATTACTGTAACACGTTAATCGCATTTAGCTTTACTGCGCTTTTTCTGTTTCTACATTGGTTTTTACAATTTACAATACACTAGAAAGGATAAGTCTCTTGTTTTCTCTCAGAGATAATGGAACTACCTAAACACTCGACAGGCTCGCGGTTAGTAATCCTTTGGGGCGCGCGCGAGACAATTTTTCCGCGTGTTGGGGTTTTCCTCTTAAACTCTGTCTCAAAAAAAAAAACATTACATTGCTGGCGATTATTTACAAAACTATACTCAGTAACCCCTCAACTCTCAACATAAGAATACAAAAACTCCTTTTGCCCGCCTCTCTTAGTACTTAACTAAGCATAGATGTTCTTAGGAAAATCTTAATTCTGGTCAATTGGTCAAGGGAGGTGAAGGCTCAATTACTCCTAGTGTCATTATTTACTGCTTGGTTTCAAGACCTTGATTCTACATTAATGCAGTATCTGCTTTACTTTTCGGATGCCGAAAATGCCCTTATATACACGGAAAATTGTTTCCCCTTACGTCAAAAACAGTGGCGGAATTAGACCCTCAATTAAGTCAGGAGTCCACTCGTGCACAACTAGAGGAGGAGGGAGGGGCGAACTCGAACATAATTTTTCTCGGCCCTGGGTGCCTTGGCTTGGCATACAAACAAGGTGGGCGACAAAAATACAAACAATCTAAAACGCGACTTCTTCATACTACAAAAATTTATACATCGTAAACTGTGCTTAAAATCACGATCAAGCAGTGTAAGCTTTATCGCCCCGCAGTTATCTTTTTTGATGTAAGTAACGTTATTCGACAAACCTAAGCGTCACTCCGATGGCAATGCCGATATTGCTATTGCACTGGTCAACCTTTTCATAATTTTTGTTTAAGCAAGAATTGCGTTGTAGGAGCTCTCGCGCGTTTACTTAAATGATTTCCCAATGCAGTATTTTCTTGTGGTACAGGGTGTTCTAACTTAAGGGACTGTACAAGATTAGAGTTGACCATAAAACCGCCATGTTATTCGTTGTTTTGGTAATGTCAATACTCCTTTTTCGGAGGATATCTTTGATGTCTCTACATGGAAAAAACTTAACAGGTAATGTTTTTTGAAGGTGCAACCTGTTCTACCTCAGTAACATCAAAAATGAGGGACGTATGATTGCATTTGCAGTTGAACGATTTCCAACATAATTTCAATCGGGATACAACATGTACAATCCAAAGTATGTGAGCCGCGCTTCCATAAAATACTTCTTACTCTTGTACACTTCCACTTTGAGGGTATCTCCGCGATTCAGATGGAAAATGCCGCCGTGGTAGTTTGTGTAGTACTCTTTACTGCATCCTGCCACACTGGAAATGCTTCCAAGAATCTTGTCTTGATTCAGTACGGTGTAGTGACTCATGGAATAGCTGGTACAATCGTAGTAGTACATTTGACTGTAAACGTAGTACGTTCCAGAACGACCGACCACCAATGCACCCTGGTGCTTTCGAAATACTATATTACCTCTTACATGACCAGGATGATCTTCCTTCCAGCGATTCACGGTTCCTGAGGAAAAAAGTTGAAAGTTCATAAGCGCTAGTACTTGAACAATTCAGTGGTGTGCGTTTTTGTCCGCCTTGTAGTGTCACAGAGTTAAACTTACTAAGGAAACACCAAAGCAAACGGATTACCGTTCATGCAATAAATTCTCGTAAGAAAAACAGTCTTAACGGCAAGGGAGTTGATAAAACTGTAAACTCGTTTTACTTCGGTCTGGAAATTTTACTTCTCCTTGCAGGCCACTCTTCCATTTTTGCCTGTTCACGAGCGAGGCGAAAAAAAGAGAAGAGAGATTTAGGGAAGACGTGGTCGTAAGCTAACCCCTCTTTGCTAGAGCTTTTCTGTTTCTTTCCCTTCGCTATAGACCACTCTAGGGAACCTGTTTACAGGGTACTCCTTTTTACTCGCCAACGACTCTAAAAAAAAAAAAAACCGACGCATACACCAATGGACACCGACTGAACGTCCGAGTATATTGAGTTATTCGCCTTGCGGTTTAGATTTTTCGTGCTTATAGTATTAACTTTTGTACAAAGCCTTGATCAAGATTGGGCATTAGTTTCTAACTGTAACAGGACGCAAGTTGACTGAAGGCAGTCAACAAAAACGAATTTTAAAAAAGAGAAGAGTAACTGGATCCGTACCGGCGTGGTGGACCCTTCTTCCATCTCCAACTAAGTGAGCGCTCTCTGCCACCTAAGAAAGGAAAAAAATGTCGCTCTTAGTTATCTACAGCATAATTAACAACACAAAGGGAAAATACTGCTCGGCAGTTTTCACTTTAGTCGTCACAATTTAGGACTTCATTCTCAGATAAAAAATTCAAAACACCTTGTACAACATAATTAACTGACTACAAGAAAGTTCCACGCTACGTGAGAGCTTCCATATCAATGACCCCATTTAGGGTCTCCATTCACAGACGATAAAGTCTCCCAGTACCTTTGACAGACTGACATTAATCTCTATTCTGAAACAAAATTAACTTTACTTTTAACAAACGCAATAAAAAAACCTGACACTCTGTTAGTATCAAGGAAAGTAATCGGTGTTCTTTTAAGCTTAGTCACTAAAGCAAGTGAACTTACTTACCATAAGTCCCGCAGGTCCTCGTTCACCTGGATAAACAAGAAAAACAGCAAACGTTGATTTAACTGCGAAAGCCTAAATTTACATTAACCTTTATAGTCTCCGCAAAAAAATGTGAAAGTCAGGTTTACATGAAGCTCTACCCAAACGACAATTTGAGAATATTATTGTATTTTTTCTAAGTGGCCTTTTTACTTTTCTCTAGCTTGCTGAGTAACGTCTTTTGCTCGGCTGCCGATTTTTAATATATACCTCCATTTCGTAGAGATTTATAGGTGTCTTACCTTGTGGTCCCGGATCTCCTTTCAGTCCCTGCAAGCCCTGCGGGCCAGTTTGCCCGGGAACTCCTTGTGGTCCCCCGGGACCTGGAGGACCAGCGGGACCAACGGGACCTTGAGGACCTTTCTCGCCTAGAGAAAAAAAAACATTAAAAAAATAATAATAATTACAGTTGAGCCTCTACCAAGCAGCTGCCCTCTATTTAACAGCCAGTTACCGAAGTCCCGGTGGATAAAATAGTCAGGAAATCAGGAGGCCAACCTTATACTTAACAAAGCCGGTTTCGACTTCATTGGTCTCTTGAGTGCCTAATGTCAAAATTTAAAGAATTCCATTTTGTGAAATACTAGATAACAGGCGGTTTCATGTGAAGGTACTGCTGAAAAGGTTTCATTTGAATGTTTTACACTGCAGAATGTCATCCACAGCTCTTAACTACATGAAACGTTTCCAATCTCAAACAAGAGCTCTGTCCTCACGCAATGTCCTGAATTCACCATAATATTTATTTAATTTTAAATTAACATTATTAAATTAATATTATTAATTATTAATATTAATATTATCATTACGTTAATATTATTAATAATATTATTTAATATAATTAATATTTAGTTTCTAAAAATTGACTGCTGAGTTTTAAAGAAAATATGAATAACCTCTTGGTCCTTTTTTCCCTCTCTTTCCCTTTGGGCCTAAAAAGGAAACGAAGAAGTATTGAAAACATCAGTTCATATCTTTACACGATGAAAATTATTTATAGCTCTAGCATTCTGATATGATAGAGACGTGAGAATTAGGAGTAAAGAATGCTGTAAGTGATGTATTCATCGTCATTTCCATGCATAAGTAATAATGTTTATTGTGTTGTGGGTACAAGATGTTTTCAATATATAACTGATTTCAGATGGAATGGGACTTAAGGAAAAATGCTGTTCTTATAACAGGGAATAAGTTAACCGCGGCTACAATGAACAACAAACTCAACCTAAATGTCGATTTTGTGCCATTGTTGCGGTAGAAAAGATTGGATTTGGCACTATTATTTTCTGGAATTCGCGAAGTTTAGCCGAAATCGCTGCGCATGGCAAGTGCAGGCGCTACAAACACCACATTCTCCATTTGCACCTCTCCCATAATACACCTCGTTTGCCCCCAAAAATTTTGCATAAGCATAATCTTCAATTTCTCTTAAGACGACTGTAATACCCAGCGAGGATTAAATTAAAGGTTAAGGGGGGGGGGGAAGGAGCGCAAACAAGGTGTATTATGGGAGATGTGCAATGGCGAATGGAATAAGTGGCATAGTTCTCACCCCAACCCTCTTCGTGACTGGAAACCTACCTTGGGGCCCTTCCCTGGTTTGACACATAACACAAGTTGGTGATTGTGAATTTCTTCTGATTCGTGATCCATGAAGTATGCTTCTAACATCGAAAACTTCAGTCTGTCGTAACTGAAGGATAAAAGAATGATGAGCGAAACGCGTTTTATAGCCGGTTATAACTTGAAGCAAGGTCATTGCATTCCCACCGTAAACTAAACCGCCTACTTGTATTTGAAGTTACGAACGGGTAATTTTGAACTTTAGTTACACGAAATCATGCGCTGGATCAAAGCAAGTTCTGCTTGATCAAAGTTTCAGTGATAACGAAGTGCGAACGCCGTTTTCAATTGTGGTTCTAATTTGTCAAAGCTTGGTAATCGTCCTGCCTCTGTTGCGTTCATTTGCTGAACGCAACGGTAAACGCATGAACGGTTAAATTTCCGCGAAAATTAAGTTAATCAACTGTACGTTGATTGTTGATTGATCTGTGTAGTCTACGGGCGTGTTATGGGCATTTAGATACTACGAATTGTTAATATACAATGCAAATGTAGATATCGGTTTTCTAATTTAGGCACAGCAGCTTAAACCGTTTTTTTGCTTTTCGCTTGCAGGTAGCTTCCGTCTCCGCTACATATGGAAGGTTAAAAGAATGACAAGCATGAGGAAGGTTGTAAAGCTCTGTGCTCTCCAATGGCCGTGATAAACGCATTTTAAATGGATACTGAATTTCAAAGATGACCTTGGTAAGGCCCGTTTCAAACGTCGTGCTACTGCCGTGCCGAAATAAATTGATGTAGTTAATTAAATTCGACTTGAGCACGGAAGTAGAGCGACTTTTGAAACCAAGTCGTGTTACTGCCGTGTTGCAGGTCAAGGTTTGCCGTGCTACACGGCAGTAGCTCGATCAAACGTCGCGCTACTGCCGTGCCGAACTCATTTCGTAAATTATAAGTACATTGGAATACATTTAAAAGTTTGCTAAACTGTTTCTTTTTTTTTGTGTTTTGTTTCCGGCAATTGCCGTTCTATTCGACTGAATTAAATTTGACGTCTGAAACCAAGTCGTGCTAGTGTCGTGCTGCAGTCGAGCTACAGTCGAGCCAGCTTTGCACCACGGCAGTAGCACGACGTTTGAAACAGGCCTACAAGTCACAGAGCGTCTCTCTATTGGTCGTTCGGTTCTCCGCCGAAATTTTCACGACTGCCTCGTACACTGATTCACCCTGCTAGCAGCCTAGAGCCTTTCTTTCGCTTGCTCGATTTTGGGAAAGGGAGGCTCCACTCGCAGGGTGACACTAATTTCACTTCTAACTATAAATGGCATCAGCTGACGAGCTTTTAGAAAGATGAGTTGGAATTGGTGGTATGAACAAGCTGCATATCAGTGGAACCCACTTTTTACTTCAAGTTTGACCACGTGTATATGTCCGGAAACTCTAATTTTCCTCAATACTGAGCCAAGACGCATGACAGGAATTAATGACGGAAATAACAACATAACAGTCTCTACACGTGGTTTCTTTAAAGTGGAGGCTACCGCCATGCACCAGGAAGTGCGTTCTGTTCTCGTGCGTCAGTTATTTATGAAAAGCCGGGGGGCCCGAGGGCAGAGAGGAGAGTGATAGGGTACTCCCCGTTCTGTTATATGTGCTGTATTGGTTTGTGCAGCACCAAGGGTATGATTTTCTACCCATTTTGCTCTGAAACTAACAATGAATTTTAACCGTTTAGGTCTCAGACAATGCAAAAAGGGTGGGATTTTGAGCTCTTTGGAATCAAGTAATGGAATTGGGTACTATTTCTCTCTATGGTTTTGGGAAGCTTGTTGTACACCCTTACCACAAGAGACCATGAGTATTCCCCCCCCTCCCTGCCAGGAGTTGGGCCAAGAGCTGGCTCCTTGATGTCTGGCAACAGAGTGGGAAGGAATCTCGTCTTGACACGTCTTGCCGTGTAGTTCATCTCACCGGAAACCACATTGGGCATTCACAACTGATCAAGCAAAACTGCTTGACCTCTGTTTGAACTTTGAGTCAAGATAGCTCGAGGATATTACAGTGTCCGCAGATAAAGTTATATTAGGATATCGGACTCAGCACAGTATGTCTTTGCTGCTTTTTAAGTACTGTAATATTGATTTCCCTGTGGCCCTTTATACACTACCATGCTCAAAGGATCGAGGAACTAGGAGCAAGCTTTATAGTTAAAGAAAGAAGGAAGAACTTGCAATTTGATAACGTTTTTTGTTTACAAGAATGATAAAAGCAATGTTTCTCAACTGTAAAAATAGACAGAATGATCACGATCAGACGATTTCTCGATTATCAAGAATTATTGATAATAAGGAAGTAAAGTTGTCGTGCTGTTTAGAAGACACAAACAATGGTAGACAACCGAGATATGTAGATTTCTACCCCCAGCTCATTAGAATGCAAATTACATGATTTAAGATGCTTTCAACACGACATCGATCTCAGATCTTCTGATTACGTGAAAGAATTTTCCGAATAGCAACTCACCTGTTGGGTTCCCCCAATATATGGTTCCTTGTTTTCACGTGTTTTTAGATTACCCGAGGGAGAAACAGTCGCCCTAGCTGTAACCCTTCTTTCCTCCAAGGACACAACGCGGCTTCGTAAATCTTGTACGCTCTGTTTAAGCAGACTATATTCTCTCATGAAATATACCAAGAATACGCTCAGTGATAAGCAATACACTACTAAAAGGACGATAGCCAACGCCAGAAGGAACCTAAGAGGACCCGGTTTCTCTTTTTCAGCCATTATTGACGAGTTCCTTTTCGTTCTAATTAATGGTATGAACAGTCATGGCGTTACTCACGCCAGGCTACTCCAGGTTGATCATGAGCGCGAGCGATGTCTGTTCGTTCGCGCGTGTCGTCTTCCTGTGTTTTTACTCGGAATTCACGCCTCAGAAGTCTATAATTCTGTCTGCGTGTTCACGTTTGTTTTTGCTTGACGAAAGGCATGTCCCGTATCATGTCACGCAACGTCCCACCGGCCGATGAAGAAAAAAAAATGAATGTATAAACTTAGATGCGGGGCCGGTAGGTAAAGACAATAGTAGTAAAATATTATAAAACTTTAAGACTTAACTGAGAGTTCATGCAGTAGCTTTGTAGTCTGTTGACAAAGGACACGGCTCATATGACGTATTGTCACGCAATTTCTCACATGAGACTGGGAGGAAAAATGATTGGACTAAAGGACTTAGATGCAGAGAATAACAAAATTACTAAAGGAATTCTGCTACTTCATCCGAGCATTTTGCTTTCCGTTTACCCGGGTGGGGAGAACTCAACAAAGTTTTGTACCGGGAGGTTCCGCCCGAGGTTCAACCCCTTAACCTTATATATACCATTTTTGACAGAAATGTTACTCCTTTCGTATACCTTCTATTAACCAGTGGTGCCCCTTTCACATACCTGGTTTAGAACTTTACATCCGTTTTATATGCTGCAAATGGCTGTCGTGAAAATATCCCCACAAAAGACCCAGAAATGCATCCGTTAGTCATATTGGGCCTTTTGGTTACCGACCGAAATGACAGATTTCCCTACCCTTAATATACCTCAACTAGTGGAATCCCTACTCTTTCATGTACCTGAAGCCTGAAAAAGGTCTCCTCCCTTTCGGGCGGAGCCTCCCCGTATAGCCCATTATAGCTCCAGGCTGTTCCAGGTGTTCAGATAACCCGGAGAATGGCGCAAGCTGGAGAGCGGAACCAGTTAAGGCGGAAGAGAGGAGGGAACTTACACCTTCTGTCCCTAACCCCTTGCTGTTAGTCCTGCTCACCTTTGAGACTGTCGTTACTATCTAAACGTCTTGGTCAGCCTCCCGGGGGGCTCCTTGGGTTAATTTTTGCTGGGCTCTCAGAGCACCCATTCTATTACAGTGTATTACGTGGTCAATTATAGACCCTATCTTAGTCACTTTTAGAAAAATGTAATTTTCGCTATCCCAACTTAAGTCATTTTCTGTTTATGCATCTAGTAGTAAGCTAACGAAGTCTTTTACTGGGCTTAACACAAACATGCGAATTCTGAAGTTCAAAGCCAACTGACGATTGCGTTTTTTGCTGCCATCAGTCATCTTAATGGACCTCTTAGGAAACAAAACTATACTTTAACGGGCTCAAATGGTCATGGTTTGTGATTTGTAAATGGTGGATTTCGATCCGTTTTGTGTGTTCCTGTGTTGCAAGATTCGTTGCTGGTGATCGTAATTATGATTGACGGCAGCGAAAGACGGAATTGTGCAGGCGGCTTCTGAACTTTAGAGTTCGCATCTTTGTGAAAAGCGCAGTAACTAGGTCATAAATCCCAATCCAACGGAAGTTCTTTATGGATACAAACCTGAATCTAACAACTTCAAAACCACTTTTAAACATTGCATTGTTAAACGATAGATTTTCGTTTACTTAAACGGTAGAAATAAGTTTGATCCCCCAAAGTTTTCATCTGTTCTGAAATTAAAATCCAGCTAAAGAGAAATCTAGTGAACGGAAAATTAGTAAACAAATCAAAAGGTGAACCACCTTTTTCTGAAAAGTGTTGGATTTATAGTAATTCAGAAAAAATTTTTCTATTTGTTCTGCTTGTTGTTGTTGAACTTTTTTATTTTGCCTTTTTTTTGCTTGTTTGTTTGTTTATTTTTAACCATTTTTTTACCGCCCTGAGTTCGTTTAAATGTTATGTTAAATGATGTTTAATAAATAAATTATTTTTTTAAAAAATTTTCCGAAAAAATAAAACTCAAATCGTCCTTCCGAACAGATTTGTTTTAACCGAAAAAAAATCTTGACGTTTAAATCCCCACCTACCTGAATTTTAATTACTGACCCTCAAAATCTCGAAAAGGTAAAACCTCATTATAGTAGCTCAAATAAAAAATAAAATCCCATTATAGTCAATCCAGTCGTGAAAATGCAGCCCCATCCAGCGGCAGAAGGCGCCCAAAACTAGACCAGAACTGGGCTTTCTTTGAAAACAATAACGAGGGGCGTACCTGCCTAGCAAGTAAGCACTGGCTTTAAAGTTTTTTTTCTTTTTTTAATTTTAATTTTGGCAAAACTCTATATAAGCCCGAGGGCAATCGCGCTGAGAAAATTTTAACAGGTTCTCGAAAGAGTGACAAGTGAAGTCCGTCGCAAAAGTCAGCAAAGAGCAACCTCGTTTCCAGGGTTCTCTCCTACCCGTCCCTACAGAGCGACGGGTTGGAGAGAGAACCCGGGAACGAGGTTGAGCAAAGCCGGCAAGGGACAACTGGAGTACTTTTTGATACTCCGGAGCGTTCATTTAGTGCTATGCGGAGGGTGAAGACCGATATGCGGTCTGCCATGGGAGCAGAGAGGCTGTCTGGTCTAGCTCTCCTGCACACTTACAAAGATTGGATTATCGACACCGACCGACAAAGTCGTGTAAGAGTTTTGTGCCAAGAAAGTGCGTCGACTGGCATTCGAATTTTGAACATTTACATCGTATAACTGAAACATAACGTTGGCATTGACCCGCCTGTTATCACTGTTATCTTGTTTAAACGTTTAAATTTTCCATGTCGTAACTATTTCGTTCAACAGCACTAAACCCTAGCCAATTCATTCAAGTGTATAAAGCTAGCCTGCAGATTAAAACTTTAAAGTATGTTAAATGTAGCACGAACTTCAAAATATGTGATCTTTTTTTTTAGAGGGGTGCAGTCTACGCCAATAAACCACATAGTTTTTTTTTTTTTTTTTTTTTTTTACAGAATACCAGTTGTATTAGAAAACCGCAGATCATCTCAGGGGGGGTGCGCAACCCCTCCACCCTCCCCCTAGATCCGCCCCTGGATCAGCTACATAATGACAATAACGCGATGTCTTTCCTCATTATCCTTTATTTAACCTTTTCTTGTTTCATCTTGTGCCACCTGGCTTACTGGTAAAAACTGGCCAGGAACGCCCCTGATAACCATTATATTCTAGTCCCAGAGCTGCGATCCCATTGGCCAGCGCCACGGATCTCGCAAACGGGCTTGTGCGTTATATCCTGGAAGTAGCCATGCTCCTCCGTTTAGCTGGCCAAAAGTATCCCAGCTCTAGGTACGAGAAAGGTATCAAGAATGGATTGGGGCAGCCTTACTGTTTAGCTACTAGGTACACGAGTCCGAGTATCTTTGGATCAATCTGGTACCTCTAGCAAAAAACGAAGACGCTGGCTTGGGACGGGAGGGCCCATCGTCCCCACTGGTCCGCGTGTGATCATGCAAAAAAAAGCCGCGTGACTCTGAGGTGGAGAGGAAGAGGTGGGTGAAACACCGGTTTTTACCAAACGTTTCTATGAATTCATACCGGGAGAAGGAAGTTTTTGTCCCTCCAAATGCTTTTTTGGATTGGCCAAGAGAAGGGCGAGGAACCCACATACTGCGAAAGTAGAAAGAAGAGGGAGGAGAGAGAGTGACATCCGTTTGAAGGTTTTAGATCTCTTTGAACTTTGCAGGAATTGTTGTTTCGAAACCGCAGAAACTCAGCTCTTAGAGCTTCATTTCATGGGAGGCCCTGGTACCCCAGGACATCGGTCAAAGTTAACATTAACATATTTTGATTAACAAAATGCACAATGTATTGTAAAAAATGTTCCTGTTTTTCTCTATGCTGTTACTATGCTCATTTTTCAGATTAAAAGAATTATTTCAAGTGAAAAGTGGTTAACAACGTCGTTACTTTTTTTTTTTTTGGAAAATGCCGAAAATTTGGGTCGGTCGGACGACGCTAAACGGAGAAAAAAAGAGAGGATAGCCTTAGATAGGCCCAGGTGACACGCAAAAAGAAAAGCGATTAAGAGACAGATTAAACTAGTACTTTTATTAAAACTTTTACAACAACTGCACGAAACGAGACACTTAAGAGAGGTGATAAGAAGTCTCTCAAAGAGGCTGACTCATTACAGTGGTAGTTGGTCATTTTTTAAGTATAAAATAATCATAAAGTTCCCATGTAAAAGCAAGTTGATAAAATTCTTCATATTAAGGTTGGAACGTACACTTTGAATAAAACTGACATTTTATATATTATTTCCTTCCGTCAGGGCGAGTTAATAATTCCTTTTCTGCGCAAAGTTCATATCATCCTCGGAAACCCAGGATCAGTAGGGGCAGGTCATCGAGGCGAGATATTCAAGAGAAAAACATAAACGCAGGCAAATTCTCCAAGATTTTTGCTACAATTTCTGCCATTATTATCATGGGTGATAAATTAGCCAATATATTGGCGCAAAGTTTCCGTGTTAACTTAAAATCTCAACTAGATATCAGTGCCAAACTGGCGTCCAGGTTGAAAAAGTTACGTCATTAGATGAACGTGTTTCTCGGAATTTTGACAAAACGCGCGTGAAATCCTTTCCTAATTTCACTTGTCTCCATTTGATTACACATGCCAGTGTCCTGTTATAATATTAAAACTGCATATTAAAACTGGCGTAATTGTTTTCGCATTTTTCAGGCGAACGAAGGCAAGCGCGAAGCGAGCGAGGAGGGTCAGACACGCGCGACTGGGGAAGACGCGTCCGGCGCCCCTCGCTTGCTTCGCGCTTGCCTTCGCTCGCCTGAAAAAAAGCGAAAAAACAACGCCTGTCATACAAGGCTAGTTCCAGTTAACTGACCCTGGATCTCCTCAGTATGATGAATCCATAATCGCTCAGCGCGCATTTTTACGTTGCTGTCTTACAATAACAAAATAACAGTCCGATATAGCTGATATAATATACACACATAAAACAAATCTATAATATTTCCTGTTACGACGACAGATAGACCTCATTCACAATGTCGGCCATCTTTGCAAGCACGTAGGGATTGATGGGATTTTTATCAGGGCAACCCCTGAGAGACCACCTGACATTGCTCTGATTCGATGAATCCTTTGGCGCGTGCAAAGATGGCGAGTATAAAGTCTATGAGATGAGTACGCAAGATAAAGGTGCAGTCAATTCTCTCCTAAAGGACATCAGTAACGAAACTGATATCTTGGAGTTACACCCTGCCGTTCTTCAGTCATTAAAGAGATTCAGCAAAGATGACCGTGAGGGCATGGTAAACTTTAACTTGTTTCTAAAAGTCCTTTATTTCGTTATGCCGCGACTTAATCGCTCGCTCGATCGCTGCGCGATCACATTGAAGCTTTTCGCTTTTAAGAACTTATGAGGGGTCGACTTGTTGCTTGTCTCAATAAACGTCAAGGAAGCAACAGTTTTAGTATTATAAAGCAAACCAACAATTTTCACCCTAGAGAGTTCCTAGTTTCACGTTTTATGGACCCAATGCAAACACAACACAACTGTATGCTTTTTTCCTAAACTGGGTGCATGAGAATTCAACTCCAAGAAAATTCACCACCAACTGAAAAATAAACGGTGGAACGCAAACAACGCGATTTCACCGTCATCTTATGCTCATGTTGCCTAGTTTCGAAAAAGCGAAACCCTGAAGGATTGTGGTATTAGCAGTCAAAAGACGTCATCATGCCAATCGCCAATATTGAACCAACATTGAACAAGAATACACAGACTCATACCTTCTCCCCCTCAGTTTGTCACTTGGTAGTTACTTTGACAATTAAAAGGACACCCTTTTAAGGCCAACACTTGGTACCAGTCCCAATGGTGTTCCATGTAGGAGACAATTGACTTGACTGTCTAAAAATTAGGCTGATTTAGCAACAGAACGGAAACGTCAGTTGACAACAGGAAAGCGCGCGGACAGGACTGAATGCGACTTCCCTTGCCAAATTTGCTCAGGGGCACCCAACGGCAATTTTCGGGAAAATATCTGTTCGGAAGACGATTTGAGAACTAGAATTTTCGGAACATTTGTTGTAAAATTTCTTGCTTGCCTGCCTCTCCTAGGATTTTCGAACATCTACAAAATGGTATAAATACCCATTTTAAACGGATATTTACCCTAAAAAAGGCCACCTAGAATTTTCGGGAGCCTTTTCCTGGCTGAAATTTTCGGAAAGGTAAGTTTTGATCCCTATAATTTTCGGATCACTAGACTTTCAGCTAGGAAATCCGAACAGATGAAAAGTTTTTAGGGGATAAAAATAAGCCTATATCTACCGTTTAAATACTAAAATACGTTCAACAACGCTATGTTAAGTGGTTTTGAACCATATCCTCGTTGGGTGCCCCTGTTTGCTGCCCTGCCACAGGTCAAGCCTGTTGTTTAATTTGCATGCACTTTCATCAACTGACGCTCCCGTTCTGTTGCTAAATCAGCCTAATACCATTTTAGTATGACTGGTGAGGATAACACACTATTAAGTTAAAAGCGGTCATTGTCGTGGCCTTGAGTTTGTTCAAAGAACATGAAATCCTGAAAAAAAGAAAACAAAAAGTTGGGGATGAGATCAAAGTCTGTTAAGCTGCCAATATTAGATATCACAAGCAAGTCATAAAGCTTCTTAAGACAATAAAGGCTAAAAAAAGTCATTACTGTTCAATGAATGACTGTCATTATCATCTGAAAGCTACTTATAAAAAGTAACGTAATTTATTATTCATTCAAAATATTTCCTCGATTCTGATTGGCTAAAAGCACACGTTTAATTCACCATAACCAGTTACCGATGACCAAATTTGGAAGAAATTGGACTTTAACGAGGAAATGACGTCAAAAATGCAGCGTTTTTGCAGGTTAAGGCACCGTTGACCGAGAAGACCTGGGGACGAGGTTGAGTTGTTTTGGTTGTGAACTTGAAAAAATGGCGGACATTTCACTCGTTTCAAGAGTAAGAACTAGGCGAAAAAATGGCTAAGAACATGGCAAGAACAGCAAGAGGACAACTCGAAGGGCGACATCTGCTATTTGGAGAATATTTGCGGAGCTGGACAAACCTAAACGTACACTATCGAAGATGAACTGAACATCGATGGATCGATGGAGGTAAGCACGTTTTAGCTATGTTTTTAAACTAGGAATTATTTTGATTGAATAATAAAACAGTTATTGAATTCGGCGTTCGTATCATATGAAGAATTATGGAGATCTCGGAGGGTGTTATCCGCCTCGGCCTACGGCCTCGACGGATAACACCCTCCTCGATCTCCATAATTCTTCATAAGATACTCAGCCTCATTCATTAACTGTTAAATATATAATCAAGATCAGCAATAAAAAGTGTCTGAAACGTGTAGAGTGTGAGCAGTCGTCCGTCTTTCCTCAGAGCCTCGTCCGGCGAGCAAAAAAGTCGGATAATGAGAATTAATGGTACAAAAGAGGGGAGATTGGGGGTGGAGAGAAGAAAAGTTTTTTCTTTGCTCAAGCTTTCGCCCTTGTTCCTCGCAACTTCACCACTCTAAGCCTCACCAGTGCTCTTGATCTACTGTGCTGGACTCAAATGAAAAATAAGAGACTGTTGGGCATTTTGTAAGTAAAGAAATCCATCTAACACCTCTGTGAATAACTGAAGTTCCAGACAACCAGGACATGGATTTTTCAATATACTAGTTTAGAAAAGTCTTCAAGGGGTGTTTAACCTGGAAAAAGTTGCAACAAAAAGTCTACTTTTGTCGTTTCAGTCAGCAGAGATAAAACTTAGGAAAACAAAACTTACAACCAAGGGACATTCCATGTAGCAGATGATACAGAAGTTTGATTCAAGTGTTTGTACTTACAATGAGGAAACATGCCCCAAGTATAACTCCTTTTATCTTGACATCAAGATCCATGGGGACTAAACACAATAAGAAATACACAGACAACATTATTATACTTAGTTAATATTGCCACATTCTTTTGGTTTCATATGTTTCCCAGTGCAACGCTCTAAACTAAGGGCCATTGATGACTACAGATGACTGAAATAAAGAAAGTCCATTTACAGTCGCCTTACACTTGATACCACAGATTATGGAGCATTACTGTAAGAGAAACAGGTGACATGCAGTACTTGACATTTTAAAAGTAACTGCAACAATATTAAAAGAAGGGACCATAGGCGAAAATGCTAGCATGGGCATCAACAGAGGATATGTGAGGTATCTAATCAAGAAATTAAAAACAATGTACATTATTAATTCATTTGTTGGTCAGTTATTATTGAGTTTCCTTTTTTTCAAAGTCATTATTGTACATTTCCATCTAACTCCAAAAGCAAAGGAAAATAAAATTTAATACAAGTACTTAACTAACAACAAGGTGCAGCAGGAATAATACTAGATGGAAAAAAATCCAGATGACACTGATAGAGCTTCAACTGAACAGGGTTGCAGCCTTAGACAGCTATGTTAATCCCAGGATGGTACTCCCTACAATGGCCTATACAGGAAGGCTCCACCCAAAAGGGGTACCAGCTTTTCATGGCACCATTAGTTGATAGAAGGTTATATATTAATGGTCTATAAAAGGGTAAGGGGTTGGTCTGGTCAGAGTCTAAAACTTTGTTGAGTAACCCCCCCCCCCCCTTGGGTTTCAATGTTGTTAGAGCTAAAAGGTTAAAAGGCCATTTTCCTCAACATTACTGCAGTGCCGGATCCAGACCTTGAGATAAGGGGGGCAGGCAGTCATCCAGACCCTTAGATAAGGGGGGGCTCGGTCTCCCAGGAATTTTTTTCCAGCCCTTTGGCCCTCAATTTGGTTCAAAAATAAGGGGAAAAGGGGGGGGCAGGCGCCCTGGATCCACCACTGTACCAGGGTCCGAAATTGCGCCTTCCTGGTCGCCAATGCGACTAAAAATTTAGTCCTGGCGACCAGAATTTCATAGCGGGTCGCCAGCTAGCGACTTGTATAGTTGGTTGTTATTGTGGACATAAACGTTCGGAGAAGCTGATTAAGAATTGAAACCTTGTCCCTATTTGCCAACAGGTGTCTTACTTTTTGTCCTGCTGATATTTTTTTATTAATCTTCCTGTAATAATACCTCCACAACAGCTACGATCAAAACGAGTTGAACGTTTCAAGCCGCCATGTTGTTTTCAGCTGAAATACAGTAAGTACATTATATACTTTGTGGACTGGTACGAGTAATGTGGCACAGTTGTGGCCTGGTACAAGCAACATGGCAGCTATGTTTCGTGGTAGTTATCGGAAGAAAATAGAGTTTTGATATGATCAGTGCAGTCGTGGCAGACAGCTTTCTGTAATTTGTGGAAAAATAAGACTTCACTCGTACACGTACGGTTGCTTGGGAGCGGAAGTAGTGCAATTTTTGAGCACAAAAACGTCCATACCATGCATTTTTTATTTGAAAAAAAGGGAGGGGGAATTTTTGGCAACCACAATTTGCCCTCTGGCGACCAAAAATTTATACTTGATTGCCAGTTGGCGCTCGTAGTTAATTTCGGACCCTGTGTACTTACTGCACTTTCTAAAAGATGGCTCAATGTGTATATTTATATTATAGCCCTTCATCCTGGAAAGAAGAGTAACTTATTTGTTTGTCTGCTTTCTAACAAGGTCTTGACTTACACGTGATTCCAAAATTATCTGTATCAGTAAATGCCTCCTTAACAAGTCCACTCCACTGTTTTGAAATCTTGCCTACTTGGTTTTGGCCGTCGGCTGACAAAACCTAAGACAAACCAAAACACATGACGAAGTTGAAATTTAAATGATTGAAACATTCATACACTAAGACATAGTGTACACTGTTCTGTGGGTCAATACATGACAACACTATGTTCTGTTGTATTAATTAGAAGAGAGATTAATGATTCTCATAATATCTCATTATTGAATTCTAGGAATTAAAAAGACTGAATGACGCAACTCTTTAGTGTTCTCCATTGGTCAGAATTACAGCCATCCAGATGGGTACACTGCATTTTTAAAAGGAACAATATTCCACTGCTGATCAGAACTATTCCAACCAGCTCAGTGTGTTCCCTACTAGTAACATATGCATGGATGAGTTGGGTGGGAAAATATAATCCTTACATGGAATTCAACATCTCCACAGATATTACACTGGCAGAAAGGCCCTTCAATCTTCAAGACAGTCTCTCTTGCGGCATTCTGAATTTCAAACTTTGGAATGCATATCGACCACCTGAAAAGATCATAGCGGAAAAGCTGATTTAATCAGAAAATCTATCCATTTATTTTTCACCTATTCAGTAAAGCATTGTTTAATTGTATGCTGCGCAACATTATTGATGTATGGCATTCAAAATTTATTAAACGAAAAAACTAATTATCAACATAAAAAGATGAATCTTCAACACAAAATGCTGGTAAACACATGTTCGTTTGATATTTTGTCTGTTTAAAAGTATGCAAGCACTGTTTTTTGTTTCATGGGTGCAAAAGCTTAATTAAGGCAAGCTGGCACTTTTTTTGCTTGTCCCCAAAACTAGCCCCCCACAAGTTGGGCTATGGAGATTTTTGGGCCCTAGTCACAGTATTAAACAAGGACGTTTCTCACGATTGAGAGCAATAGCCAAGAACTGTCCCAGGTGGTGACTGTATTTCAATCTCTTGCAAGCAACAGGGAAACCAACAAGATGAGCATCGGAGAGGTCGAGATAAATGAATGACTTCACGCTGTAAGTTGTCTAAGATTTTCATCTCAAATGGTCTGGAAGGGCCACAGAATTGTCGAGTACAACAATCAGTGTCTAATGATTTATACAAAAAGGAGTTAGGCATAGGCAAATGGATTATTGATCAAGTTTTAGGTGCTCAAAAGATAGATAGTGCTACATATCCACTAGATAAATTTCAGTCTATCAAATGGATAATGCAATAGGACTTTCCCTCATACTTATCCCTTAAATTTACTATGCAGGTCAGTGTGCCACTGAGTCTTTGGATGTCTTCTAGAAAAAAGGAGATGAATTTGTGACCCAAATAAATAAATAAAATAAATATTTAAATAACGATTTGGAGGTAGGACAACCATGTAGTGGTTCTTCATTTACCTGATTCCTGGTTGAATTGGAATTTGGAAAATATGTCTGAGAGGGGAAAACAAGAGTACCCAGAGAAAAACCTCTCGCACCTGCAACAACAAACTCAACCCACATGGCATCTATAGATGCCAGGATTTGAACGCAGGCCACATTGGTGGGAGGCGACCGCTCTCACAACTGCGCCACCCTTACTACCATGCATGTTCCCTTGTTCCATTAGGAATCCTGTTCCCGGGCTAAAATTGAGCCCATTCCAGAGACAAACTGAAGAAAAATATACATCTCTTCCAGAGATAAAGGGTGACTAATATATCCTATTCCAGAGTCAGCAAGGCAAAAAGCATGCCTTGTTGAGCAGTGCATAGACATGTGCCTGTATAGCCCATATATGGGTGCATGTACCTCCTACCTCTTCCTGTTCTTATCCACTACATAGCAAGCAAATTATTAAGTGGAAAACATTATGCAAACTTTGAACATCTGAGGACAGAAGTCCAATATAGACTATTCACTCTGTCCATGGCCAGCATTTATGCAAATTTATTGGAACAAAAGAAAGTGTTTACATGAGAAAAGAGTTTAACTCCCTTAGGAATTTCTTGGTATGTCAGCATGACTGCCATTTCATTGTTTTGGAACACCAAATAGCCATCGTAACGTTACGTGAACAGGTTCTATTAGTCCAAATCTAAGTTACACTCTTTTTTTTCTATAAGAATATATTTTATAAGAATATCGAGGCTGAAATTTGTGAAATCTTAAGAATACTTTAAGAATAGACACCAGGCTGAGATTTTAAAAAGGATATAATTTCATGTGGTGAAAATCTGTAAATACAATACAAATATACGTTTTCAATTTATTCCTTTCTTTAAAAGGCAAAACTAGCTAACTATATTTAACAAAACTATAATTGATACCTTAATATATTCTAAAACGGAAATGTCATAAGCTATTATTAAGAATAATACAAGAATATTTACAGCCTAAAATCGGCGGAAAAATAAGAATATTCAGCCTGGCCCGGGAAGACAATATTCTTATAAAAAAAAAAGAGTGTACGGCATATCATGTTTAAGGTTTTAAAAAATATTAAAATTATGAGGGTGAGTTTCTTTATAAAAGACAGATAGAAGCAAAAGCTAATTGGCTCCTGATAAAAGAGAGTGTGTTTATCTGTACAATACACCATGTATTAGCCGAGCCGTTTTAATTTATGTTTTGAATGCGCAAATAGAGCTAAACCACCCAATTACGTACGAGGGGTGTTAATATCACGCATTGTAATCTCATAATAGAAACTTATTACCTGCCAAACACTTATAAAGTCCGGCAAAATAATGGCCAATTCAACAAATTTTAGTCACGTATGTCACAGTACTTGACAATCTTCTTAGAAAACTTCAATCTAAGCTTAAGCTTATATTTATCAGCAAGCAACGAATGCAAATTTGAGAAATTACTCACCCTCTGCCGCGAAGAAAACTTGTTGACCCATGCTGTTTAAAATCTTGTACTTATTGTTCGTTTCAAAGCCAGTGAATGCTGCCAAAAAAAAAGGTCAAAGGTAAAGCCGTGAAACGAATAAGTTTAAATTTTTTGTTAGGAACTAAAATTTTAAGAAAGTGACGTAACCACTTGAAACAGTAATCGTGTAAACACGTACCTTCGAGCAGCTCAACTTGTTGTTTTATCAAAAGTTGGTCTATTTGCGTGAGATACTCCAACCCTGGGGGGCAGTTTTCTGGAACTGGTGGAGCTTGCATCCAATTAATTTGTCCCTGGCCACCGGGAGCAGGGTAACCTAATCAGGAAAGAAAATTTTAAGATTTTGAACATAGTAAACATCTGTTCTGTCCAAGCGAGTTAAAACGAACATGGACAAAGATCGATCCGATCGAAAACACATGGTCTGTCACATTTTAAACCGCCATATTACAGCAACGTTTAATAAAAATGAATAATAAAACACCGAAAATCAGTTTTGTAGCAGGGTTTAAGGGCTGAGCTAAATTTTAAAAAAAAATACCCGCGAAAGGGATTCGAATGGGATGCTTTCGTAAAGAAGCGGAAATCCGAAGAAGTAAGCTTAACCGATTGTGCGATTTTATCAACACGATTTTTCTGGTAGCAGCCAGACCGAAATATATTAATTAAAAGGGAGTATATTAGAAATCAAAGCGGAGTAAGAACTCAAAAACTGCGAAAAATAATCAAATATTTACCAGGTTGTTGGCTGACGGGAGCACCATACCCAGGTTGAGCCGGAGCAAATCCAACGCCAGGCTGTTGATTTGGTGGATATCCAGCGTGAGGCGATGGATAACCGGCCTGCGGTGGTGGATATCCACCGTAAGGCTGTTGAGGAGGAGGATACTGAGCGTTATTTTCTACAGGAGGAGGATAGCCATACCCCTGAGGCTGTGCCATGTTTCGCTTCACAACGAGGAAACGGCTTCTGGTTCTCAGGTGTTTGTGCCTCGCTATGAAAAACAAAATTACTCTCCTACCCCTAGTAAGTTGGTACATGCCCTTTGATTGATAAATGCTTTCTAAGCCTGCTTTCTAAGTGTTTGAAATTGCAAAGCACTAATATTGTATTGAAATCACTCAAGGCCCTACAAATTTTAGTTATTAATCGAAGTTTTACTGAGGGATTCACTACTTTGAAAAAAAGAAGTTTTCGTGACTTGATGAAATTTTAAGCATTACCCCGTACAGGGTATAGTGGGGATTTTTTTGCCGTTGTCAAGTGTGGCTCTTTGGTTAAAATGGCGGCCGGGGAACAAGACGTTGTGATGGAAGAAAGCACCCCATCTAAAGACCAAGGAGGACAGAAAATGTTCACACTTAAAAAGTGGAATGCTGTAGCCATGTGGTCTTGGGATGTAGAGTGTGATACATGTGCTATTTGTCGAGTACAGGTCATGGGTAAGCAATGCAAAAAGATTAAAATCACTGAAGTTTTTCCGCTTGTTAAAATTTAAAATTTAAGCTTAAGCTTGTTTTTTATGAATTGAAATAGGTGAAATGAATCATATTTTTATGTTAGAGCGGTGGTCTATGAATGGGGATCCCCTCCAAAAAGTTTTGGAAACGCTTGTTGGGAATTATTAAGGCTTAATATAAAAAATGAAAGTGAACAAAAAAGTGCATTCAACTGCTATGAAAATAAATATTATATCAAGTAGCAGTTAAAGACACAGTGCAGTCGTAAAACTTCCCTGTTAACTGGACAATTTTTGTTATATTTCCGGCATGCATCTGTGGGAGCGAACTGCCCTTTATCACCCAACAATCTGAAACGTGACTGACTGACCATGAAAAGCTTGGCGTATATGCTTAAGCTTATTAAAATTATGTCACATTGGTTCCTGCCGAATTTCTAGTCTTGTTAGTAAAAACCAAACCCATAATGGGTTAACCCCTTATGAGTTTCTGTAAAAACTCAGCTTTTTTTGGTTATATTCTATTATTAATAAATACCTGTTGCCCACGTCGAAGTATTCTTCTTTAGTAAAATCCAGCTAGTGGTCTATTATCAATGCTGCATTCTCATCGGTTGAGCTTCTACTCGGCTATTATGTTATAGCCCACTAGTAGCGAAAGTGCGCGCTTTTTGGCGGCAAAGAAGGATTAAAGTCTATCTTTAACTAGCTAAAAGTTTTTTATTCTCGATTTTTTTGACCAACTAGTTGGATTTTACTAAAACAATTTTCCTCTTGCCCTCATGGCCTCTGAGTCAAACCAATTCAACCTGAATGAGATCAGCCGGTGGGAGGCCTGATTTCATTAAGACACTCAAAACGTAGAGACGCTTGCGTGCTCTCTTCACAATATAGTCGCAGTGAATAGACCACGATAAATTGTGCGACAGATGGACACCGAGCAACTTATAAGATGGCACCTGCTCTATAATACTGCCTGACATCTGTAAGGGAGGTAGGCCGGAGGGCTTATACTGTAAGAAATCTATGCGTAACTCTTTACATTTGGATGGATTGTGAGGTTTGCTTCCTTCACAGCCCCTTGTATAGTTGTACACGCATGTTAGTTTCTCATCTTAAATTATTTTTAGTTTCATATCAATAGCAATAAGTTTCAAAGGCACATTAAGCTTATCTTTCCTCCATGCAGTCAATTTTTTTCTGGAACTAAATAGCAATTCCTTATTTACTTTGTATAGATGCTTGTCTTCGATGTCAATCAGACAACAAACAAGAGGAGTGTGTTGGTATGTAATGTGTTGCTCCAGAAAGTAACCCTGTATTAATAATCCCCCAAGCCTAGAGGGAGGGGGGTACTCCTGGGGGTTCTTAGCGGGGGTGTGCCACCCAGTTCTCTGACCCTATTTCACACCAAAAAATGTCGTTTCCCACACCCATTGTCAGAGCCGCTGTCTAAAATCCATACCCATTTTAAACCTGACCTATAGGCAGAAATTATGTCACCATTACTTAGATTACGACGTAAACAAAAAGATTTCTTAAAATGCATTGCAAATTCACATATTTCTTTTTCTTTCTTATTCATCTGGAATTGAGACAACAAAATAATATGTTCATACACTGATGTAGTTCCCTCGAAAAACATATCTGATTGCAGACCAAAATAGGCAAAATGTATACCCATTTTCAGACCAGATAGGTGCAAAAACCATACCCTTTGGGGCGGCACATACTTAAATTACTCAATAAGGGAGTACCCTGCCCCCCTGCCCCCAGGGCCCCCAAGGAAATATACCCTGACAAATGATTTTGTTGGTGATTGACCATGATATGTAGGAGGTGTATGTCGAGTGATGAGACAGGAAAATAGTAATTTTTACAGTCAAAAATATGTCTGCTTGCAGGGCACAAAGTGCAAAGTACCTCTCCCGTCTCACTCTTCATTTTCAAACTTAAAGCAGCTTTACCTTTTTCTCTTGACTATCACAGAAGTTGAATGACTGCGAAAAAATTGATTGTTTTCAGTCTCATCAGTTTGCAAAAAAAGTAGCCTGTTTAGCGGGCTGTATTGTAGGTGGGTGGATAAACGAGTGGTGTAGCTGCAAGAAAAATAGCCTCTTCCCAAAATCCTCTTGTAGCTTTGCTACTTAATTGTGTTTCACTAACAAAATTGCCAGCTATGCAGGCTATGCAAAAATGTTACCAGGTGTTAGAATCAAAATGTTTCCAAAAATTTCTCTATCAAAACAGAAGTGCCTTTACTTCTGTTTTGTAATATAATTGTCAATCATCCAATAATATTTGAATAATTAGACAAGAATATTGACATCATTCAATAATAAGAAAACAATAGAGTTTATGTTTGTGGCACAGTTATGTTTTGGGCCTGATTCAGACTCATTTTAGCCGGAGCCACCAGGCGAGGGTTAAAATAAGTTCTTTAGAGGAAAGCAAAAATGAGTTCTTTGGATGAAATCCTATGTTGTTACTATTCAAATGAAATCGTCTTGACAGAACTTTTGAATGGTACTCTTCATTTCGTAGGATTCTACAAAAGGAAATCAGCCATTTTTGTGTTTTTTTCATCAGCCACCAGTAGAAATGAAAGGGTTGACACTCACTCTTAAAAAATTTATCAACCCCTGCCCTCCTCCCTCAATTATGCTCCTCAGCAAGTTAAACTGACTTCTGACTATTCTGTTTGCCCATTTCAGTTGTGTGGGGAGAATGCAATCACTCATTCCATAACTGCTGTATGCAATTGTGGGTTGTGCAAAACAACAGATGTCCATTGTGTCAGCAGGAGTGGGTCGTACAAAGGATTGGCCGTTGATATCTTCTCACCAAAACTATTGTAAAAGCCATTGGATTTGCACTCAAATTCTTAGTGAATGTGAGCAATGGATAGATGACTGCAGTTCGGTTGTCTGCTGCAAGTCAGGAGATATATTACAGGAGAGTTGCATTAATGGCAGATGATTTTCTTACCATGAAGACCTCACTTAACTACTGACAGTCCCTAAAAGACACTGTTCTTACTCCCAGTAATTTTACAGTGGGACTACTATAACCGGGGCCACCTAGACAAAGCTGACCAATCGGAGTACAGGAAAAAACAATACATTCCAAGAAAGTTAGTTGTCAATCATAATCAAAAGAAAAAAATGGGTCAAAATCAACCAATATTATTAGAACCTATGTACCTGACCTTTTGAACCCACTGAAGAAAGCCAGTGTTTCCTCAGAGGTCTGCTAGAGTGATTGAGGCGGGCAAAAAATGTAAATGTTAGTTAAATGTTTGACTTGAGGTTGTGATGTTATTGCAAAGCGTGGCAAGGTGTCAGTGTCTCCTGGATGTTGTTTGTAAAGTTTCGAATAGAATGATGTTGTCTGGTGAAACATTTTGCTTTCTTGAAAAACGTTTGCTATCAATATGTAAATTTTGTGCTTGGAGTAACTTACTGTTTTTTTATGAGCTGGTGATTGGCTCTCAACCAACTTTCTTGGAATGCACTGTTATTTTCCTGTAATCTGATTTGCCAACTTTGTCTAAGAGGCCCCAGTTACAGTAGTCACACTGTGAAAGGTTTGAACCCGGGAGTCATTTCAAAAGGTTGAGTTTGATCGTCCGGGTGAACGTAGTCCTGAATAGGACTGTTGTTGTTTACACTGTAAATGTGGCTGTCACTTAGATTTCAAGTTGCCTGGTTGGGGGGAATTGAACAGCAAAGAGGCTTTTTTTATTCTATTCTCCTTTAGTTTTCTGAGAAAGTAACCTACAGGTTCATGCCCAGAGGTGTAGACAGAAATCCCATGCCTTTAGTGACAGCCCTGGCTGTACATTGAAATTTTTCCTTGATGATAAACTGTAACCAGTAAAGCCACTGGCAGTACATCCTTTTGGGTATAAATACATTTTTTAAGTTTTTGCAGAGAGAATTTACTTAAATGTACACTACTCCGAGTAGTAGAGTTTTTGTATAGTAAGCAGGCTATTTAAAGGGACCTTAATTGACTTTGAAGTACTATAAATCAATGTACTCATCTGTAGTAAAGAAAGTAATAAAATTTATGTAGAAAATGCTTGACCTGATTGCCTTATTATGGAGGGGGTTTCCAATCTGATCTGAAAAAAGCCCCGGGGGGTGGGGACTCCCATATGAAACAGACAGGGATGCTCGTCGTCTCGCTTAGGGGTGTAAATTTTGGATTTTGGTCTCACTTAGGGTGTTCCGGGCAAAGTGCCAATATTTTAGGCCGCCAAGGTCTCGTTTAGGGTTCCGCGAAGAACTTGAGATTTATGACAATGCTTTAAAAAACTACTTTTAGATAAAAGCATTTGATGATTAAAACTCATTGCCTGTCGTATTTGTGTGTTTTTAAGCAGTCTCTTTTACGGGTCAAAATTTGCTTAAGCCACGCCTAGATTGGTCTCCTTTAGGGGTCACAAAAAGCTTGAGCCACGCCCTGATGGTCTCCTTTAGGGGTTAAATTCAAAATTTCTGACGAGCATCCCCGTCTGTTTCATATGGGAGTGCCCCCCCGGGAGCCCCCAGCTCGAAGATATTAGCTTGTTAGCTACTCTAAAATTCGAGTATAAATAAAGTTTTATGTTATGTTATGTATGTAAAAAAGCATGGCCGGCTAACTTAACAGTAAGCATTCAGATTAGTGGTGAGCGCTACAGAATAAAAAGTGGGGATTAAAAAACAGAAGGGAAGGAGGGAAAGCTAACACCCCATAACCATGACTCTTTCATGTGAACTCGGAATTTTTCCTTGTCACTTTAATGACAGTCTTACAGGCCACGTAGAAGAGAAAAGGCTTGCAAGGGTGACCTTTGGAGCACCTGCTACATATGGTTTTGACTTGCAGTTTGTGATCTTGTGTCACAAGCCAAAAGTAAGGTGCCTTGTGGGGACAAAACACGCCCCAGAATCCAAACCATGTCCTAGAATTTGGTTTCTGTGAAGTATTTTTAGATTCTGGGGGATGCTTTTGAATTCTGGGACGTGTTTTGTATCTGGGACGTGTTTTGTATCTGCAGCGTTTTTTTGAATTTCAGGAAATCGTTTTGTAATTTGGGGCATGTTTTGCATTCTGGGAAGTGTTTTGTCCCTACAAGCCACTGTACAAAATTCCGAAAATAAGCCCCTCCATGTACAAGCCCCTTTAAATATAAGCCCCCCAAATCGTAACGCAAAAAACCCTCCGTTAAATCGCCCCTCCGAATATAAGTGCACCCAGGGGGCTTGTACTTGGAATTTGCCCTTGAATACAAAGTAAAAACAAAGCAAAAATGGTAAATTTCCTCCCCACTACAAGCTAGCCCAATAGATTTTGAAACGCTAATTTCCCTCCGTACGCAAGCCCCTCCGAATATAAGCCCCTTCAAAAATAAGCCCCTCAAAAAGGGCCTTTGAAAAATATAAGCCTGGGGGCTTATTTTCGGAATTTTACGGTATTTCTCATGACTGAGGAAAGAAGAAAGCTGACATGGTAGAAAATGAGACTTTACTTCTCTTCACCATACTGAAAGATTGCTAGTGTTACAGAGGTCATAGTAGTTACACTATTATTACCTAAGCCCTGTATTAAACTAAAAAATTTACACAGTGGCTCACAATGTTGGGAGAAACTCTAGTGAATTAGCCACACAGAGAAAAGTATCTTGAAAAGGTCAACAGCCACTGTGGCATCTACAAGTCAATACTGTAACATGAAAATTTATATGAAAATATTGTTTGGGCTATCAATATTATATACATCTAACATCACATTCACCAGTCAGGGCTTACATGTATCTATGAGGGATGCAGCCTTAAGAAACAACATAATTTATGTGGTCACTTATAGTAAATTTGCATACGTTTGTTGAAGTAACTAAATATAAATTGTTCCAAAATGGCACCAATAATAAAATTACTTTTCTTCCGTGGATATTTATGTTATTTAGCACTCTGGGTAATTTGTATCTACAGAATTAAAAACTTCTATATTGAAAGAATACTTTGGGGACCAATTATCATAGGATGAAAGAATAACTCGCCACCATTTTGGAACAAGGTGCATGAGAAGCATGACTCTCAGATGAAATAAGGTCACCAGCTGCTACAAACCTCAAGTAGTGAATTGCATATAAAAGTCAAAATAATTATGTTAAAAGCAAGAGACTTAGAGTGTTTGGGTTGGAAAGAAGAGGTACAGCTCAGTTTTGCTGAATCATCTTCAAGGCGTTTGGATATTGAATAAAAACTCTTTCACGTGTTTGACTCAGCTTGAACATCAAAGCAGAGGTCAGTTCAATGCACCTAATCTTGAATTTCCAGAGGGGAGGGGATGGGAGGGGGATGAAACCAATAAAACCTTCTTGAGTATGGGTATTTTCTTGAACGACACAGGCATGGCTCTTGATCATGAGCTTATGGCTAATAAGTGGGCAACAAAGTTCTCGGACCCTCACTTTATCTAAAACAAAAGTATGCAAATTTATTATAGTGATGTTAGTTTGGCAGCAAAGGCAGTTACTGTAGAAGCACTGTTCTGTAAAAGGATAGTCCATAAGGATTACTCTTATTTTATCAAAAAAGGAATGCACCAGTCTGCTAGAGCCCCATTCACACCATGATATAATAATAGTTACATTTAAAAGTTCTTAGTGAAACACACAGTTTAAAATAAATATTGTGTCTTTTCACAAAAGCTGCTTTCCAGTCTTTTGCTGACTACAGATTTAGCACAAATGTTACGTCACAGCCAATAATCCAGCTTTCTGATACCAACTTTCTTTGATTAAAATGCTACAATTAAACAATCATGTTTTGTTGGTGTGAATGGGGCTTCAGTCTGTAAACTGCAAAAGTGGCAAGCAAATATGAATAAATAAATGCTTGTTTTCAAATTTTTTTTGCCTGCCATGTACAAAATGGATGATCACAGAGTACCCAGGTTCTGGCAGAGTGATTCTGTGCACCTAGTTGCCTAATACCCTGCACCTCAGACAAAACTAAACTTCTGGTTAACTCTATCTGCCAGACAGTGCTAAAATCCTTGTTCTGGGTCCCCTGCTGCTTACCATCAGGGCTCGAAAAAAAAACTCTTGAATTCCAGCTTGTCCTTTGGGTAATTAGCTCTCACATTTCCCTTGCCTGGGGTCACTTCTCGCTCATCTTAGTTAATGATTTTGTTTGTGGATGATTTGCCTGGAACCTCACCCTTTGGGTAAGTCAGTTTAAAAGTCACTTGCCCAGCCAGAAAATCTACTAATCCCGAACTACCAGATGGGGCTTTTTCAAGCCCTGCCCAGGTTTGAGTATGCACCATGATTTGTTGTCAAAAAGCCATTATAGTCAATCAGGTAGAAGGGAAATTCTAAACATATTTCCGGTAATTAATTAAGTCCATTGTGGTCCCAGAACAAGGATATCAAGGCTGTTTTGCAGACGTTACTAACCAGGGTTAGATTTCATCTGCGATGCAGACTGTTAGTAGTCTTAAAGTCCTGTTATACTGTTGTTTGTTTTCCAGTAACTTTAGGTTTGGCATACTCTACAAATTCATCTATTAACACAGGCCATGCCCCTGAAAACAATGAAACAATAACAGGATGTTAAAATAATTATTTTCAAATCCAATTCTTGGCTAACATCAGTCTCAATTTCAGCATTAATAAAACAGTGAAAAAAAGACAGAATTTGGCTACTGGTTAAGGTGGCTCGACTGGATTTTTTTGGGAGGATACCTCCCAAGTTTGAGCATTAACTGCGTCGCCATGAGTAAAGATATGGGGAAAAGATTACCACAACTGTATTATATAAAGATGAAAATTTCTTATGATCTGGGTTTTATTGCAATCGAAGTCATCATGGCAACGTAACAACGCCATTACGTTTTTTAATTATCTTTGTGTTTCTCTGTACCGGGAGTTTTTTTAAGAAATCGCTTTAGGGAGTTTGTGCCTGCCACAATTGCCTCAATTATGTCAAAGTTTGAACAAATTCTATGCGAGCATTTTCGAAATATTTTGAAACCACTATGAGATGAAGCCGCGTTTCCCAAGCTTATCATTTTCTTAAAAATTCAGCTAATTGTGTGGATAGCATGCTATTTCACTGTTTTTATGATGCTTAAAACTTCGTTTCAAAATATCTCAAAAACGCTCTCACAGAATTTGTTCAAAATTTGCTGTAATTGAGGCAATTATGGCAGGTACAAACTCCCTTAAGCGATTTCTTAAAAAAACTCTTGGAACAGAGAAACACAAAGATAAATAAAAAACGTAATGGCGTCGTTACGTTGCTATGGCGACTCCGATTGCAATAAAACCCAGTTCATAAGAAATTTTCATCTTTATATAATACAGTTGTGGTAATTTTTTTCCCATATCTTTACTCATGGCGACGGAGTTAATGCTCAAACTTGGGAGGTATCCCCCCAAAAAAATCCAGTCGAGCCACCTTAAGTGGAAAAACACATATAATTTGTGTCTAAAATAATTTTATTTTAACAATCATTTAAGACATAACTCACCTTCTTCATCATAATTACTCATGTCATCCTCAATCATGTTACTGAAATCTAAGAGAAGGTTCCAGGTGTCTTTGGATATTGCCCTTTTATGATGGAACTGTAAAACAACATTTAAACTACATATAAAAATAAGATCAAATTTAGAAAATTACAGAATAAAAGAGCAGACTGATAGGAGTATGAGGGTTCTCAATAGATTTTTCAGGATGTGAGATTTTAAAGCAAAATCTGGGCGAGACTCAGGATTGAAAGTATTCACACGGGATATCAAAAATACATACATGTAGCCATTGGGATTACGGGATTGTGCAAAAATTTGAGTTGGGATGACAGGATTGAAGATCCCTATTGGGGAGCCTCAAGTATGGCTGATCTATGTACAAAATGTTTTGCCGACATCCACTTGATTAAGTTAGTATTACCTTTAAGAGAATTAAAAAATACATGATAAGTAAGAAAGAGGTAATTATTAGTAAGAAATAATACACTGTCAAAGATTCCACAAGAAAGTAAGGAAAAAAGACTTACAAGAGCTTTAACGACATGTTAAGTGTACATATTGGAGTAATAATAATGTACTGGGATGTGGGCACCCTTTGTTATGAAATAAGTTCAACCGTCGTACTTATTATGAACAAAAACCTGAACTTACCATGAGAAATTCACACCAGATATCAAGGAACTTAAATCTTCCATTAAGGACTATATTCCAATATGCAATGGACATATCCAAGTCTGAGAAGACAACAAATAAATCCAAATCTACTCTTAACGTTCCAGTGATGAGTGGCAAATATCTTTAATAAGGTTACTAAAACATAATGCAATAACCAACCAGTCTAGAGCTAGTTAGAAACCAGTTCAACTAGTCTAGAGCCAGTTAGAAACCAGTTTATCCACATCTCTAGGCAGGAATGGATGGTTTGTCAGTAGACACTGCTATTTGTGCGTTGTACATGTTGTGAAAAGGCAAACTATGCTCACAGGGTAATGGTACTTGGTACCTAAAATTCTTGACAACTTGATTCCCTGTGTTCATTGTTAACCCAGTGAAGAACATTGTTATTAAGATGTAGCTAAAACATTATTTAGGCAAAGTTAAACTTGAGCTTAGTAATGCATCAGAAATCTTCCCAATCAGTAGTACAAGACCTGCAGGGTGGCTTTAAGGGGTATTGTATTATATGTGCGGTGCTATCAGCTGATCTTTGGGGATCAAAAGCACGGCTATTGCTTAGGAATCACCGCAGATTGTTGCACCCTCTCCTCCCTCGCGATACTGTGTTTGGCTTTTAAGGTATTATTTTTCTTTCAGGTAAGCTGCTTCCACAGAATTCTTTCAGTGTGATGGTGCTGGTTAGCAGAAACTCAGGGTGGCTTATGGCATGTGGCAAACCATTAACCTTTAAGACACCACTTCCAAGCTCATCTGTTTGCAATGAGTTTGAATATCACACCCTTGCATCTAAGCTTTAATACTTCTCTAGTTGCTAATAACACAACATAGACTGTCACACCATGTTCTTATGACCAAGCGGAGAGAGAGTTTTTAATAATTATTACGAATGAAATTAATTAATAATACCAAATTCATCTTACCTAAACTTTTTTGGCCCGGATTTTTCGCAAAATTAAATGTGAACTGGTATAAATCTTTAAATTTGCTACTGTCTCTAAGGTCAGCCTCTAAACTGGGAAGCTTACTTCTGAGCTTGTCGATGGAGTCACAACTATAACACAAGAAAAATCATGAGTATATCATTCATTTACTGCGGCTGGGTTGGCAGAATCAGTACAACACTGGAATGCAAAACAGATACCAGTTGTTCAGAAGGTGGATAACACTATCCACAGGATAAATCATTATCCAATATATAACAAAATAATATAATGGTTTTCTAAGTACTTTAATCCTGACATTGATTTATCTGGTGGATGGCACTTGAGTCAGACTTGAATTATTGTACCCTGGTAAGGCTGAATCAGCACATTCTTAAGAATTATGTTTTTTTTTTAAATGGGCTTTTATGAAAAGTTCCATCGTTTCACATGGATTCAGTTAAACTTATCAACAACAAAACTTAACCACTCCAGTTACTTATATACACAGCCAAGCAACACTACTCCCAAGATATGGGCTGTTTAACAATAAGCAATGACTTACCCTAGATCTACCATTCCATCAATAAATTCCTTCCTTGTAAATTCACACTGTGTTGCAGCTCTGAATTTCCAAGCAATTATTAGTACTTTAAGACTGGTAGGATCTAATTTCAGGTCTTCACAGAACCGCCCAATTCCTTCTGCCATGATTTTATCATCATCTGAGGGATCTAATGACAATGGTAAGATGTAAGAGGTCGGTATATATAACAGTTCTATCTCCCATAGGTGACTCCTCAAAATGTGAAGATTTAATTAAGCTGGTCAATCATAGGAGGTGATGCTTAGACAAACTGAAGCACAGGAGAGCTCTTATTGCATGCAATTTCTTAGTAACCAGATATATACATTATTGACCAAGTGTAAGGTCAAGATGGCTGAATATTGGTTGAGTCCTTTTTTGCATTTTCAGTAAAAACCAGTGGCAGGTCCAGACCTTCAGATAAGGGGGGGGTTGGGCCGTCATCCAGACCCTGACAAAAGGGGGGGCCTGGTATCAGAAAAAGTTTTTTCAGCCCTTCCCACCTCAGTTTGGTCTAAAAAAAGGGGGGGAACCCCCCCCCCCCCCCCTCCCTGGGCCCCTCCCCTGGATCCACCACTGAAAACACAATTAAAAGAATGAGGCCAATATACGACATATTGATCCAACCAAGCTTGATTAATAAAAGGAAAAAACTCTTTCTTTAAGGACAGATGCGGAAAATCCTGAGCAAGCAAGATGGACCCATCTTGCCTGCTCGGGTAGCCAAAGGCTCTCAAATGCTCCAACAAAAGAGTGAATATAGGAGCAACAACCCATGAACACAGTCCACATGCTGAATGAAAGGATTACGAGATCCTTTAGCTGACTAGCATTTTGACATGAAAGTTAAATGCCCAACTGGGAGGGCCTAATTTTGGGTCAAATTCCCCGCATACGAAGCAAAACTCCAGTCAAATGCCCTGGGTATGCCCTGAGGAGGGTCTTGGGCAGTTCTAGACTTGACTGGTACATTAGTGAGCATAGAGGTCGGACCATGTGTCAAGTGGTTGCTAACAAGAGGTTAAAACAATGGAAAACTAAGAGACTATCAACATCACCCCTGATAAAAAATTTGCCCCAAACGGTATGTCTTCCCCACGTTAAAGAATGGTACAAGTGACACGAGACTGGGGGTGATGAAGGAATGAACTAGTATCCAATCACCGGGGGAGGGGAGGGAGAATAGCATCTCATGACAACTATTTACTTCATCTATTCTGGCTTATATAAAATTCTCTTACTGTTCATATGGCTTTACAACAAAAAAGTTTTTGTAGTCATTTAAACCAATATATTAAGTAAAATATACCAACAAAAATATCCACGACACGGTTTAAGGGTCTTAAATCCGCCAAGACATTTTTGATAGTTCTTTGCAAATAAGCAAAAATAAGAGGAAGATAGAAGAATGAAATAATGATCGTGCCTACCTTTATAGCGATCAAACAGATGTGAAATCCTTTTCTTATCTACTAAAGGTTTTGTATCAATGAAATATCTTTCTGGATTCTGAAAATAACTATCTGACGCCACCTCCAGTCTCCAGTCATTTTGGCTGAGGCAGTTTATGGCTGTTTTCTCATTTGTCTCAGTGAAGGATATAAACTGCCTCACTTTGTCACGCTGCGAGGACTTGAGCCGGTTCTGCAAGGCCCAACACGGACATAAGAAAATAGAATTCCACTTAAACGAAACCACGTTGGAAAACAACGATCTTCGCAACATAAAATAAAAACAAATGCTCTTACCATTTCCACATCACACAACCACCCAAAATTCGTCCTTCGAATCATCTGATGAGCCCGCTGTCCTACCCTTCGGCGACATGAGCAAAATTTTTACTTACGGGAGAGACCTAGTGCATTTCTTCTTCGGTTGCCGGGGGAAGGCACAGTGTAACACACAATGACGAGAAATTCAAAACTTTTGTTTTTAAATAGTAAAAACTTAATAAGTTCTTAATCTCTAAGAGAAGGATAATTTATCCGAATATTATACAATATTGGAATGATTTTCCCACCCCATCCGACATATCAGATTGAATGACACTAAACATCCCTACAAGTACCCCCACGGGGGTGATATTGTGCAAGTTTCTCCACTGGATGCTCCCAGTCATGTTTGAAAGTCACAAGGCGAGAGAAAGAAACTTGAAAGCGTTTACTCTCGAGCTATGATTGCTTTGTCTATTCCCTCATTTAGGAAAGTGAAAGATGAAACAGAATCAGGATATTTTGTTTACGAAATTCATGTGACAAAACCAAGTGGTCGTGAGGTTACGATCGAAAGACGGTTTCAGGAGTTCTATCAATTCAACAAACAAGTCTGTAAATCGGTCAACAACCCTCCTCATTTCCCATCAACGAAGCTACCTAAGCCGCTGAATACGAACACTAGATTTTTGGAGTCGAGAAGAGCAGCTCTGGAGGAATACTTGAGAAATCTTGTATCGTTAATCGAGATCAGCGAAGTTCATGACCTTTTGACAAGATTTTTGGAAACCAATTTGCCACAGCATATTCGAATGCAGAATTTGGATTATTCAAGAAGTAGTTCGATTGAAGATCTTGATGGATATTCAGTTGAAGGACCTAAATTGACTCATCAACCTCTTGTTTGCTTTGTTCGTGATCCTTTTAAAGATTATGTCTGCAGCACAAATGCCCTACCCGATGTTGTTTTACAAGGTACTTTGGAAGGCTTGTATGGAAATCTTCAAGGTACACAAGTCACAGATTGTTGTGATAGACCTAGAGTTCAATAAACGGCTGTCTTAGGTTATTTTTTTGAGCTGAGCCTGACTGTCCGTCATGGACAATCAAATCTGATTTTACACATGAGGTTGAATAGAGGTATCTGTTAAAAAGGTGGCACCCTAGCTAATAAATAAGTACAATATTCGCCATTTGTGCATCTCCCATTATACACCTTGTTTGTCCCCCAAAATTTTGCATAGCCGTTGTTTTTCATTTCTGCTGAGTCTTACAGTCGCCCCAAAAGATTGTTTCTTTTGGCGGGGGCGGGGGGTGGACAAGGTGTATCGTGGGAGACGTGCAAGACAAGTGAAAAGTGAAATTTTACACAGGTTTGAGAGGTCAAGTTTGAGAGGTCACCATCTTGATTTAACTTTGTGAGGAAAATATCTGGAGAGAATTCAAATCACTTAGAGCAATCAGGATTTGCACTCTGCCCAAATACCGTCAGTCCTCTCAACAGACAGAAAATTGAAAGAATGTGACCATTCAGAGTCTGTAGGTCAAGGTAGTACTCTGGTAGTGAGAGGGTCATAGAAATTGGGAGTTTGATAATGAGAGAAAAGGTAAGGTTTCCTAAGTTTGCTGTTGTTTTTCAGCACAGAGATGGCAGTCTTCACCAACAGGAAAAATTTATTGGCAACAGGCACAATTAAAAGGGAAAAAATGTTATTTTCATAACAAATTTAGGCATCTTTCATATTATAGCCATTAGTAGTTTATCATATTTATCCATTTTACTTTCTCTCTTATTTTTCTACTTGTAAGTACTTTTACACAGAGTTTTTGATTATAACAGTCAAATAGAGCAAGGATCCATGTGATCATGAAAATATTAATTTTTTATTTTGTTTCAGACATCTAAGATTAATAGAGGTTCCTTTATAATATTTTATTTCTACATGAATACTTATATCATTATGAATGCATTGAATTTGTCAATGAAAACATAATAGTACCCCCTATTTTGGGGCATTGAATTTTGAAGTTATTTATTAGCCTTTGTGTGGCTGTAAACTCAGGCTAATTATTTATTAGGCTTAGTTGAAAAGCAAAGTGCACATAATGGCTCGTTGTCATTATTAGTAACATATTTTATATAATAGTATAAATAATTGCAAATAAATAAAAATATAGATACCTGCTCCTTTTTCATTATTTTTTTTATTTCCACATAACCCACAGCATATTTTAAAGAGGTTGAAAACAACACCCTCTTAACATAACTTCTGAATCCTTTATATGATGATTATTAAAATCATCAATGAAATGCTTTTTTCAACCTTAGCCCAGTTCGCAGCGGGAGAATCCAGAAAATCCTAAAAGAGCCAAGAGACTCAACGTCATTGGTTAAAGAACTCTGAGAGCATCTCTCTGTCCAACAATTTTCACTGGCAATAAAAATACTCTTTATGATCCTTAGACAATTTCAGACAATAGGGGGTGCTTCGACCCCCCTCACTCCCTCTAAATCTGCCCATGATTGCAGCAGAGAGTTATATAGAGAGAGGACTTGCTGTTAATTACAGGGACAATGCAACTGTTTTCAGCCTTTTAAACAGCCTGAAGAAACTGGAGACATTTGGCAATGCCACCACTGGTTTCTCAGCCAATGACATCTGAGAAACAAGCGCAGAAATTCCATACCGATGATGCGTCACTACCCAGGTATGGGTAGTGCTTCTGATTGGTTGAATCAAATTTCCCTCGCGGCATGACCAATCAGAAGCACTACCCAGATCTGGGTAGTGACGCGTCATCAGTTTGGAATTTTTGCGCTTGTTTCTCAGATGTCATTTGGCAGGGAAACCAGTGTTAGCATCGCCAAATGTGGGCTGTTTTCTCAGGCTACCTTGTAAACAATATTGCCTTGGTTTGCCAGTACCCGGGGGGGGGTACTCCCGTGAATTTTGGATAGGGGGGTGCTGCAAAGGTTCGTGAACCCTAACCCTATTTAAGGACTAAGAAAGTGAGAACTGATACCCATTTTAAGGCTGAAAGCCGGAAAATGACACCCTATTCAAGGAAAAAACAAAATTATTAATAGCATGAAAAAGAAAACTTTATTTCTTCTCTGTAACATTGGATCTATAGCATCAAGCATAAAATACTAGAATAAGCCTAGTTTTAAAAAAAATGTTCGTTTAGGCGGGCGTTTTCACACTCTTAACCCTACACTCCAGTATCAGATAATACAATTAAGCTACCCTATCTAAGGACCACACCAGGGACACAGAAACAAAAGGGTAAAAAAAGATACCCTATTTAAGGACCGAGAACCTCAAAAACCATACCCTATTCCGCGGCACGTACCTATATAGTCCATATATGGGAGTACCCCCCTGGTGCCAGTAGCTCAGTCTGAAAACGTTGTCTGTCTCTTCGCCCTACTCCCCTTGCTACTTGCTGGAAGGGGAGGGGTGGGGCAAAGAGACTGATGACAATTCCGACCAGCCGGGAGCAAAAGTAAAACCACCTGTGCCAAAATCTGGGAGGCAACCTCTCCTCCCCTTCCACACTGGCTGTATTGTCTTTGTCTAGGGGCCAGGGGTGTGGGGAGGGTGCAGAAAAGGTTAAATAAGTATATATCATTAGCTGTGGTACACATAGGCCAGAGGGCCACCCACTTACTGTCTTACTCTTTCTCTCTCTCTCACTCCGTAGGGCGGGTAGGAGAGAACACTGGGAACGAGGTTGGTACTTGTAGATAGGTCTAGATGGCATCATCCCTCTGATCCTGAGAAAACTACTTCTTATGAACGAAAGCATGTACGGCACTAATAAAATAAGTAAAAAAAAAAGGAAAATAAAATTCGGCCTATACGCCAGATACTCATCATTCACTTTAACAGATCAGACAAAACGGAGTGGGAAGAAACATTTATCATATTGTCCAGCGGTCAAACCTAAGCATATATGAATTACCTGACCAACCAACGACGCCATTTTGCTTAATACATGTATCTTTGTATTTTTGCTTCTTGAATTGACATCTTCTTTTGATTTGAAAGTGGCACTATGACAACAGCGGCTAGGCCGACATGGGACACAGCAAAAGGCGGTCGAGGAAAAGGCGAAGGAGATCTTTCGGCGCTGTCAAAACAGTATTCGAGTCGTGATTTGCCGTCGCACACAAAACTAAAACACAGGTATGAACTTACAGTAAATGTAACCATAACTTTTTGGCCTGTTGATGTTAATTTTTCGCTCACTTTCTTTTAATTTCTAATTTAATCAGGAACCCATACAGTGATGGTGGTTTAACGCATTACAAGATTGGTGTTCGTGCTAAATACATTTGGCTACATTCATGATTGTTGTGAATGCCATAATTTCCAAGTTCGTTTCTAACGTCCCTCAATGTACATGTATATAATATGCACTCACGCACGTCATTAAAAATGAAATAACATACCTTCATTACATGGACAGTGGAACCCTGTTGATACGGTCATCAATGGGCCAAAAAACTTTGGCCTGTTTAACAGGTGACTTTATTAATGAGGGTCTTTTACAAGAAAATGTATGGCTATTTTGTCAGGCTGCCAAAAAAAGTGTCTGAATAATGAGTTGACCATATTACCCAGGTGGCCGTAAGGCGGGGTTTTGGAATTTATTCCTTTCTTCTCAAAGTGGTTTTTCACGGAATAATGAGACACAAGAAGTCATGTTCATGAAATTTTTTAGACGTGTAAGAATGAAGCAGGACGTAACTAATCGATAGAAATCGATCATCAAAAATGTAATCGATTAATCGATAACACTCGATAGTACTCGATATTTGTCGATTGATTAGTCAATTTAATCGATTGAAATCGATAATCACAAATTTTTTGTCGCATCTATGGAAATCGAAAATCAAAAACGTGTTCTGATCTTATCATAACACTGCGTAACACTTACCTTCAAGCTTACCTTCGAATCCGCTTTGTTGATAAAGATGATGTTACTTCCTTCTCCAATGGTAGCTACTTTTCTTATTTCTTTTTTTTACCAGGATCACTGCTGTAAATTTGTACTCTAGAATCGTCAGAATCGTGGTAAATAGCCGTAGTCACTAATGTAGAAATTGGCAAACTGTCGTCCGTTCTCCGAGAATTTAGAAGGGTATTGTTCGAGCGCTTATTGGGAGACACGTATGGTGGCTTACGGAGCGCGGAGAATCTTCGTCCGTTTTCTTTTCGATCATTGTCGAACAAATCGATAAAATCGATAGCTAATTACAGAAATCAATCAAAATCGAAAATCACAAAGATGCGAGTGATCGATTTCTATCGATTTCCGATATTAATCAATTGATTAATATCGATTACGATCGATTATGTTCGATTTCTATCGAGTATCGAAAATATCGATTAGGTACGCCCTGAATGAAGCTGTTAAATGGTATTTGTATACATATGGCTGTATCTTACATTATGTGTTACCCAAAAAATGAAAATGAAGTAAAAATCCACTGTACCAAGAAAAGGATGTTGGTTGGTGATTGAAATAATGGCCGCATGTAAGAAAAAAAATGTGGGGTTTCAAGCAACTTTTTGTTTCCAACATTATGGTGTCACTTGGCGGGGGGTCCAGAAGGGTCTATATTAGATTTATAGATCCACTCAGTTCTTCACAAGTATCCTCCAATAATGTATTTGCAGACAAGCAGGGCAGGATACTGCAGAGGAATTGCGTAGCCGAGACTTCCGCAAGGATTTGGAAGAACGTGAAAGAGTAGCAGCTCGTGAAAGAAACAAGGAAAAAGGCAGCAGATATACCAGTGAACAACCAAAGAGACCTCGTTTAGATCAACCACCTCCTTCTAATTTGGATGCAGATGACCCTGTTGATGATGATGATGATGATGACTCTGACGAAAGGTGATACAGTTAGATAAAGTCGTAACCTTTCCTTGTGGACACTCATCCCCTTGATGCAGAAATATCTTCTGTTACGGAGAATACTATTGATCCTATAGAGACAATAAATTTATTCCTCCATCTATAAAATTGCTGACACTTGACTCTATCACGTGGTTGTCTTTGTTAAGTGTAGGTGTTACTGTATGTGCCTACTCAATGTAATGTGGTTAGTAATATTTTTTTTGGCATGATCAAATTCAAAACTTAAGTAAGTGAAGTGTTGTCTGCCTGGAACAGTGGCAGTATGTTATCTCCTCTTTTTGCAAAACTGGTTAACCCTTTAAGCCCCAACATCCACATACAAATTCTCCAAACTGATCTCTATACATTTCCTTAAAGAATAAGTTGAGAGAATTTGATAAAAGATCAAAGCATTTTCCCCAAGGTGATCATTTTATTAATTCTCATAACCTAATCTCTTGACAATGTATGGATATTGTAAGGAGAAAATTAATGTTGGTCACTATTGGGCCTTAATGGGTTAACCTCAACTCTACATAGTCAGACTGGGAAATGTAAAAAAAAAAGACTCTCTCCTTGGACAATAGGATTGTACTTCTGTTGAGTAGAGTGCTTCATTTTGTCCAGATTTGTGAGCTTGACTTTTTCTTTCATTCAAACTTGGCTTGTGTGAGGTATCTCTAATTTTGGGGTCTCAGATGTGCACTATTCAAGTTTGGGTGAAAAGCAAAGTTATTGTAAGTAGACAGATACAATGTTAATTCGATAATTATGATAAATTTAAAAGCTGAACTCTGACAGGTTATTTGACATTGTTGATCCTGTTTCAGTGATGATGAAGATGACACTGCCGAACTTCTTGCCGAGTTACAAAGAATAAAAAAGGAGAGGGCACAAGAAGAAGCAAGAAAAGTGAGGTTCAATTCGGAATGATGTATTGTGTGATGTTGTCTGTTATCTTCACAGGCATTCTGAAATCACCATATGAGAGGTTGTTAAAAATCAGTAAATTGTACATCCAGTGATGGGGCTTTGCTCTAGCATTGCCCAGTGACCCCTGACACCTCATGTTTGCTCCTGGGCAACTAGAAAACTTAGTGTTTCCATAAAAAAACCATATGCAAGGCAATCTGGATTTCACAGTTTCAGAGCAATGGGCTGGCGGGCTTTTTACAATTTTTTTATAGGTTTCATTTTCATGAGAAAATTTAAAAAAATATCTTAGGTTTTTTTGTGGAGAAAAGAGATTAACAAATATACAATACTTTTGATATATTTTTTTGCAAAAAGCCAGATCACTGATGAAAACAACTACTGATGAAACACAAAATAAGTTTATTTCTTTTCTCCACAATAAGAAGGTATAGAAACTTCTTTTGGAATTTTTACATTTCTTATCTGCAGCTTATGAAAATTAATCATTACATGTACATGTGTATGTTATGCAATATTATTACTAGATTTATTTATTTTTAACAAGCTTTCACAAAGTTTGTTTGAATTGCAAGTGGTATCGTTTTGAGCCTGCTGGGGCAGTGAAAAAAAAACAATCCCTGCTGACAAGGAAATAAGATATCTGTCAGTGTCAAGGGTAATTTTTTATTGCTAATTAGTTTTTTTCCAGTTGGTTGCCATCCAACAGCATCATGTTATCTCTGTCACTCAGTATCTCAAATTTATGCATTTTAAAAGCTAACATTATTTATCTGCCAACTAATGTGAGTCTCTAATTTATTTCATAACAGGAAAGAGAAAAGAAAGAAGAAGAAGAGAGAATACGAATGGAGAATATTATGACTGGAAATCCTTTACTCAACACACAAAGCAATTTTAAAGTGAAAAGAAGGTACCACACACTGCAAAAATCCTGTATTCTTTTCTGTTGTGGAGATCTCCAAGAACATTGATGTGCAATGTTGATTGCCTGTTGGTGGTTGTGAAAAACTTTTGCTGCTTGCCAATAGGCTTGAGCCACATCAAAGTTAAAACAAGTCAATTGATTAGTACTGCATGCGCCAGTCTTGACCAGTCAAGTGGTTGTGTGTAACAAGACAATGCAATATTATTACAGTAAAAACCCGCGAGTAAGAACCTGGTTTTTAAAAACCTGTTACAGTGGGCTAAAATTTGCCAGTTTGGGACCCTCTATACACTTAAGAACTTGTTTAGCCTAAAATTTGAAACAGGTTCTTATTTTCTAAAATCTATAATTTTTGAAATTCCTGTACAATAGGCCATTAAATTTTGCACTAAGAGGCATGTGACATCGTTTTTATGAAAATGAAAGTTACATGATTTTGCCTTCGAAAAACGATTAGTGGGTCATATGTTAAACAAAATAGTAGTCATTTGGTTTTTCAAACCCGCATCATTTTCTTAAAATGAATAAGTTCGTAAATGGTCACGTGACCAAAATGTGATTTTTAAAATTAAGAATTACCTCTCTCTGAACACAAATTTTGCACTTAAACTTCAAGGAAAATGTTGAAAAGATGATGTGATATCGTTTACAGCACATCTGAGCGTAACTATGAAACGTTGAACAAGATATAAGCAAGAAGTAGTTTTGTCCGCCATGTTGGAGGGCAAAAGCATGCCCTCTAACATGGTGGCCAATACAAATCATACTACTTTGCTGAAAAATCAAAGTGCCATAAAATATCTGCCTTGAATGCGTTTCCTCTCAAATTTCGGGTGTATTATAATTTGTGTGTGCTCTAACAATTTTTGGCATCAGCAAGATTCCAACTCATTGTTTAAAGGAAGCATTGGTCACGTGACCTCTTAGTGCAAGTAGCCTATTGGGCAAATGGGACAAGTCAACATTCAGGGTCCTCTTTGTAAATAATTGTATGGGCAGCTGCAGATGTTGTATGAGGGACAAGCTGAATACCACCAATTAAACCTTTATTTTACATGGTACTCATTTTCTATCTCCTCATTGGCTAAGAGCTTACAGCTAATTTTGGAAATCAGCGAAACCTACCAGTAATAGCCTGATTCTCAGACATCCGAGGTCATTCGTGGTCTCTTCAGGAAAGAAGCGAAGGGACCGAGAACAACCTCGGACATCTGAGAATAAGTCGACGCAACCTATAGATTAGTTAGTTATCTGCTAGCAAATAAGTGACAAAACAATGTGTAATAAAACAATAATAATTTATTATTAAATTTGGTTTTTGTGATTCCTAAATAATCAAGGTCTCACTAAGTGTTATCATCCTTGGCCTTCAGCTCGGCTGATAACACTGACATGTTCCTCAACCTCGATTATTCTGGATATCACAAAAACCTCATCCAGTAATTGTTTATTAGCTACAATGTATAAAAAATAAATAAATAAATAAATAACTTATTTAAGAACCTAAATAGCCTAAATTTGTTCTAAATGTAATTACCATTTTTCCCTAACCTAACTAGGGAAAGTGTACATGTAGGTTTTTAGTCAGAGGTTTTACTGTAATGTCAAATTCTCCCTTTGTCTTTCAAGTAACTAAGGCAAGGCTATGTTTACTTGGTCACCAAGTGATGTCTAACAGTCAGCTTTTACAAAGCAGTCATTGTCATATACCGTAAAATTCCGAAAACAAGCCCCTCCATGTATAAGCCCCCCAAACTGGTAACGCAAAAAAACCCTCCGTTAAATCGCCCCTCCAAATATAAAAAATTGGAAAATTGCCCTCAAATACAGAGTGAAACGAAGCAAAAATAGTAAATTTACTTCCAACTATAAGGGTAGCTCAATCGATTTTGAAATGCAAATTTCCTTCTGTAGATAAGCCCCTCCGAATATAAGCCCCTCCAAAAATAAGCCCCTCAAAAAGGACCTTTGAAAAATATAAGCCCCGGGGCTTATTTTCAGAATTTTACGGTATTCCCACGCAATCTAAGACTAAATAATATTTTTTTTACTGCTATAACTCTCTGTAGGAACACAACTTTTAAGAAAACAGTCTAAGAGCTGGCCCCAAGGGTGTCCGGCCTTGAAGCAATCACTGCATACTAATTTAACTGGTGACTTCTTTATCATTTTAGGTGGGATGATGATGTTGTATTTAAGAACTGTGCAAAGGGGGAAGACGAAAAAAAGAAAGTAAGTTTATACTGATATGAGAGAGTGACCAGGATTAACTTGTATTTACATTGTATATATTATACCATATTTTTTCGGTTATAAGGCGCACTCAGTTGTGAGACGCACCCGAATTTTTTAACTTGATCCTTTTAAGTTAGCAAACTGAGAATTTCACATAAATACTTGGTTATAAGACGCAACCCCAATTTTGCGCTTTTTTCGCCATCTTCACTTGCAGAACAACGGCGTTTTCAAAGTTCCTAATTACAGTTATGTCACCTTTTTTTCAACAAAGGGAGCTATAAGACTCACCCCGATTCTGGAACAGATCGAGGTTGATCACGCAAAATTTCTTTGAAAAAATGCTGCGCCTTATAACCGAAAAAGTACAGTAATCTTCAACTGCTTTTCATGAAACATAATTGCAAAGTGCAGTCAAACCTCTGTTGCAGCAGCCTTCTTTCTGCCACCGTCCATTTAACAGCTAGATTCTAAAGTCCCAAAAGCAGGAGGAGGATGGCTGTGAGGATTGCAGCCAATTTTAAGGCAGTGGCATAGAAACAGCATTTTCAATTTTATAAAAGTTTTTCAGATGTATCTAGTGTCAATGTCACAACCAAATATGGTCAACTTAAGTATTGGTTTTACTTTCTTTCAGGAGCAACACTTTATCAACGATACCCTTCGATCAGAATTCCATAAAAAATTCATGCAAAAATATGTGAAATAGACCATGGACGCAACTGATACCTGACCACGATTGGTTCAATGATGATGTGCTTGAGGATGAGTGATATTATGTCTAGCCTAGAATCATTGTCTCATCTGTTCATCATCGCTTACTCTTGCTTATTGGAGACTGGGATCTGTAAAGCTTTCTCTTTTTTCAACTTCAACTTCAACTTCAACTTTATTTAATAAAAATACTGATTTTTACTGGCCCGCAAAATAGCAATTGCTAATCTAGGCGGACCATTTAAAAGAAAAATAAAGTGAAAGTAAAGGAAGGAAACTATTTTAAGTTACAGTTAATAACATTTATATCATAGTTTTATTTCAATTACATTAAATCTACTGAGGAAAGATGAAAAAGGAATTGATGGAGTGCGAAAAAAACAAATGCTTTTGTACAGAAATCACTTAACTGTTAATCGAACTTTTTCAACTATTAATGACGTCTCAATACAGTCAAGACGTCAGGAAGCAATCTGTGAAGCACTTTCGTAAATTTCTTTTAGGAAGATCTCTAATATTACTAGGTATCTCATTCCAAAGTTTTACACCAAAACGAGAGATTCTTTCAAAATCTCCAGTTGTTGTAAAGCCTGGATCTCTGTAAAATGGATTCTGTAAAATGGGTCACCTGCCTCCTTTTCCTCTCAGAGTGAATGATGAAGTCTTGTAAGTTGCTGATTTACTTAAATACAGAACACAGAACACCCTAGACTTACCCAAACTTCAAGCTCAAAATGAGAAACAAAGGACTTTTTTGGGACAGCCTGAAACACTCTTCAGAACACATCAAATGAGTCAATCAGACTGAAAATTACAGTACACACTTATTTTACAGATTAGGGTTAAACCTTGCCAGGTTGTTCCAGGGGTATTCTAAAATGTTCAGAGTCTTAGTAATGACTTAAGCCCCATTCATACCAATGGTTAAACATGTTTAAAAGCTGTTTAGTTAATCACAGTTTAATTTTGTTTTCTTTGTAACTCCTTACTGTTCTTTTATCAATTTCAAAATGATATTGTGCATTAATGTTAAGTTTATTTGTGAATTCTGTGTAAAAGCCTGTGTTCTAGTTTTCTATTACTGTTTTTCATTTTCTTAAACTCAGTTTAATTAAACACGTTTAGTTGGTGTGAATGGAGCATTAGTCCAAACTTTTGAGTCTGTGGCAGCCTCATCCAAGTGCCAGTTCTCACTATGTGATTGAGCAGGGGCTTGTGACTGCATGAACTTGATATTCCAGGCCTAGCAGAAAAAATTATGGCAAGAAAGTCCCAGATGATTGCATGATGAACATAACCTTTTTGTCAGAGAATCATGGAATATTTTTTATGTATGAGTTAAATACATCACTTCTGGATGTTTGTTGACCATAGAATGGTAGAAATGAGATGTGCTGGCCGGTTTTGTTTTTTGTTTTTCTTTTTTCCTTTCAAAATGGCGAGTTAAGCTGCATCATCCCATTTGTTTCCATTTCATCTAGACTTATGTTGCTGTTTCAAGGCCATTTCACTTGTCGGAGTTAAACCCGAACAGGCCCTCAGCATTCTGGATTTTCTGTTTTTTGCCAGGTGTCTCGAGAAATTCTCTGTGACTTCACAGACAAACTTAACTAACTATGAGGAGACTGAGTATGTCAATGAAATTCTGGGGTGTGACCATTCAAATGAAACCTCCTTGGCAGTACTTTCACATTGCGTGGTTTTCAGCATTTTGCGAAGTGAAATGTGAAAATTTTGTGTGGGGCTTCTTTTGAGAGTGAAAGGGGCAAAATTAAGCAAATGACATTGTAAGGCAGTGAAGCAGTAGTGTTGGTCTGAATGTGAAATAGCACTGGTTATGTAGATCTGGCAACGGTCATTTAAAAACAAAATGTAGTGGCGCAAAACGACAACAAACATTCAGTTACTGTACAGTCACCTGAGGGCTTTACTGATCAAGTGAGTGTGTGTGTGTTTTAACTTCACAACTTCATTAAATATGTGTATGGAAATTTTCCACTTGAAATGTAGTGTGTTTTTTAAGGCATACATTTTCACACACTATTTTGAATCTTTTCATTTAAATTTATTAACAAGTTATTCTAAAAGTAAGTAACTCTTACCACTTTCATCTATCAGTGTTTTTGATACGATAAAGTATGATAAGGAGTTTAAAACCAAAAAAAATTCCACCAGCGATAAAATTGAACCACAACATCTACACCAGTCTGTTTTTTGATATCAATATTTGCACGCACAAACAAGCTTAGAGTTATATAATAAAACTTGACAACAGCTAACGTTGTGCTATCTACATACAATATTGGATATTAATCCTACCTGGAAAAAAAATAAACTTAAAAAGCTAAGCATGAGCTGTTTATACACAACTTCATTCAAGCTCTGGTAAGCGACCACTTTGGGAATTCATGAATGTGGTCACAACTAGAATGAAAGTGAGGCTGAGGTTGACCTTGTTTTGATACAAACCTCTTTCCTTTTCCTATGAAAAACCATGCTAAAAAATACACGTTAGCATAAGAACAACACAATTTACATAATAAAAAAGAAAGGGTTGTATCAAAACAAGGTCAACTCCAGCCTCATGTACACTCATAACTGTAAAATAGACTATTAATTTACATCTGGACTGAAGCGTTCCAGTTACGACAATGTTCAAGCATAGATTTCAAAAAATGTTGGCATAATAGAAAACATCCAATGCCCTGTTTATAGTCACATTAACTTACAAGGAGACTCATAGACAGCCATTATCATGTCAGAAGATTAAAAAGCAGCCATTAGAGTGATTCTACTTGAACCGTGAAACATATACTAACAAATAGTGCTTAATAGCAAGAGGTAAACATTAAAGAAGACAATGGAATTAAGTGCATAATAGTGCGTAGTAGTGTTTGAAGGGTTAAGTAAAATCACTTTATCTCTACAAATCTCAATTAAATTATGAAAAGTCCCTGTGTTGTTTGGTAAATCTGACAAAAAATATTCCATATCCAATTAAATTTGACCTTGTTTCAGTTAGCATATTACAATATTATTGTAACCACAAAGACCATATGTTACATAAAGCAGATTTACCATAATACTGAGGACAATTTTATAATGCCATCAAAGTTGTTCTTTTACACCAACCTAAATTCACAAAGGCAAGATTTATTCAGTGTACAGTGATTTTGTTACCTTTGAGTCCTGCGTCCCTGACGCATAAAAAATCCCCAAAGACGCAAAATAATTTGTGGTATTCATCCCATATGACGCAAAGATCATTGATCAATCTGAAGATGTTTTTCTAGAATTTCCTATTTATGTGATTTCTGCGGCTGTTCTTGTGGCTGTTGTTAAATAACACTTACTTCTTTTAGTATTTGTCGTTCTTTACAATAGAAGGAGCATACTGAGTAATGCAGAGTTTTGGTAGGGGCACCCAACGAGGATGTAGTTCAAAACCACTTAGCACAGCATTGTTGAACGTAGTTTAGTAGTTAAACGGTAGATATAGGCATATTTTTCTCCCCTAAAAACTTTTCATCTGTTCGGATTTCCTAGCTGAAAGTCTATTGATCCAAAAATTATAGGGATAAAAACTTAGCTTCTCGAAAATTTCAGCCAGGAAAAGGCTCCCGAAAATTCTAGGTGGCCTTTTTTAGGGTCAAAATCCGTTAAAAATGGGCAATTTTATTATACCATTTTGTAGATGTTCGAAAATCCTAGGAGAGGCAGGCAAGCAAGAAATTTTACAACAACTGTTCCGAAAATTCTAGTTCTCAAATCGTCTTCCGAACAGATATTTTCCGAAAATTGCCGTTGGGTGCCCCTGTTTTGGAGTCTGTCTTCATATTAATTGTGTGCATGGTTACTAAAGATCCAGAGACTGGTGTTTTTGAACTGGGACTCAATGGTTCTGGCCTGGGACTCGTGATTTTTTTACAAGATGAGTCCCAGGACTCACCATAACAGACTATTTGTAACAAAATCACGGAGTATAACACGGGGTGTCCACACAATCTGTTTGTGTACTTAAGATTTACAGTTTGTTTCATCTGTAGCGGTATATCGCTAAATATGTGCATGGATCAATGCTACATAAACGTTGTATTACCTAACTTCAGTGAATTGTCGTCCTTTACTTGCCTAGTCCCTAGGCCTCATTATTATGCGAGGCCGATGCGTTTCGGGTCACATGCATGGTCCGAGAAAGTCTCCCGGCCGTTCGTCTCGGATACGTCACCGAAATGCATTGACCGAGAGGGCCTAAAAAGACGCTGCACAGGGACTAGGCAAGTCCTTTACATCAGAAGTTGTATTTTGAGCAATTCTGAAGGATTTAACATGTCTCTTAATAATTAAGAGGACCTTCCTAATGACCTTAATAAGAACTTAATAATTATCGGTTATATATACAGACTGTGTGGGCTGTCTGGGCCACCTATAATAAAATCTAAATTTCTGATTAAGTTGCCTTTATGTTTAGCAACTGAATTTACAAACTAAGTATCAAGCAATAGAGGAACGGGCATTGTACCATCCTTTAAAGAGGCCATTTATTTTAACTCTTGGTTTATTATCATCCCAACTGAAACAAGTTAGGAACATACCAGAGTCCGCTACAAACTGATTTATTTACCAGCTACCATAACAGAAGACAACCAAGATGGCGGACTGACCTATTTACACAGGAACGCCTGAACACGTGCCCGGATGGCACTTCGTGTACACTAACCTAAGGCATACTCGTTACATCTCCTTTCCTTAGTTTAACAGCAACAAAACAAACAAAATGTCTAACGAGAAATACTCTTGATCTATTAAGCAAAGGATCTTTGTAAAAAAGACGACAACAACAACAAAAACAAAAAAACAAAAAAAAGATCTGTTCAAAGTAAAGGATCCTTCTAAAGCAAAGTCTTAGTGTCCACATTCGTAATCTTTTAACCAAGCTGGAGGCCGACGCTCACGCACTGGACGACTTGTTGTACATGGTTCAGGAACTTCCGCTGATACAGGCATTGTCGGCAGTGACACATCAGCTGAGCTCGATTCACCAGGTTCAGAAGGCTCTGTAAGGTCTTGGATTGTTACTGTGGGCTCTACTTCCTCAGGGGTTGCTCTGAGCCATTTGCGGTTGCGGCGGTAATGCTTTCCATTCACATCCACCCAAAAGGAACGAGGACCCTCTTCTCCAATGACACGTCCAAGCGACCATTCATTTTCACCAGGTAAACGCATTCTTACAGCATCGCCTTCATGCAATGTAGGCAGTTCATGGGAGTGCCGGTCATAATAGAACTTCTGTTTCTGCTTCCTAGACTTGATCTTTTCTGGCACATCAGAAATCACCTGTGGGACTAGCAACGACTTGGTAACTGGGAGACGGGTGCGTGTTCGTCGACCATACAGTAGCTGAGCGGGAGACGCATTCATGCCTTCAGATGGAGTGTTGCGCCATTCAAGTAACGCCAGCAAGGGGTCTCGTTTGTCAGCACGGGCTTTTATCAGCAGAGATTTGCAAGTCTTGACTGCATTTTCTGCACGGCCATTACTTTGTGGATGATAAGGACTCGAAGTGACATGACGAAAGTCCCATTCTGCACTGAAAGCCTTGAAATCTTCACTGTTAAATGGGGGTCCATTGTCAGTAATTAAGGTCATTGGGATTCCATGCCTGGAAAACCATGATTTCAAAACAGTAATCACACGAGTACTTGTAGTACTGTTCATATCTTGTACCTCAAAATATCCAGAATAATAGTCTACAGCTATTAAAAAGGACTGCCTTTCAAGTACAAACAAATCCACCCCTACCATTTCCCATGGTACGTCAGGGACATCATAGGGCTTTAGAGGCTCTTTACATTGTTCGGGCCGGTAACTGTTGCAAATTCCGCACTTTGATAAGTAATCTTTGAGCTGGGCTGTGATTCCAGGCCAATAGACAATATCGCGGGCCCGTCGCAATGTTCCCTCGATCCCAACATGCGATTCATGCAGGCTCTTAACAATGTTAGAGCGTTCTTTTGCAGGTATTACTAGACGATGACCCCTGTACACCAATCCATCATCAGTGGTCAGTTCATCCCTGCAGTTCCAGTATAATTCAATAACTTGTTTTTGACGCCTGTCAAATTCACGGGCTTGAGCCAAGGTCTCTGGCCAACCGTTCCCAATAACGTTGGTTAGGATCTGTAATTCTTCATCCTCGGCTGTCATCTCACGTAATCTCTTTAAACGAACCGGGGAGACACTCACTTCTTCACCGTGTCTTATCTGCTCTAACTCAAGGGCAAATACTCGCTCCTTTATCGAACGGATGTCGTTCTGTAGGGTCGGTTTCTCTGGCTCATTTTCCAAGTATGCGCGACTCAGCGTGTCGGCTAAGAACATGGTGGTTCCTCTTTTATATTCTACTTGTATGTCGTAGTTCTGTAAACGAAGTCGCATACGCTGAAGGCGTTTTGGTGAGTTCAGGATGGGCTTCTTGAATATTGTTTCCAGTGGTCGGTGGTCTGACTCCACAACTACATCACTTCTTCCAAAGATATACTGGTCAAATTTTTTCAAGCAAAAACTATCGCAAGCAACTCTTTTTCAATTTGCGCATAGTTTTGTTCAGTTTGGGACATCACACGGGAGCTGAAAGCTACAGGGCGGCCTTCTTGTAGAAGGGCCGCGCCCAGTCCACTTTTAGATGCATCACACTGAATGACCACCGGTTTTGTCACATCATAATAAGCTAGAACAGGGGCAGATATAATCATCTCTTTAACACGGGCCACTGCTTGAGCATGGGCAGGAAACCAACACCACTGAGCATTCTTCTCTGTGAGCTTTCTCAATACTTCTGTTTCTTCTGATAATCTTGGAAGGAATTTGGCCAAATAATTCACCATGCCCAGGAATCTACGCAGTGACTGTGCATCAGTGGGGTCTGGCATGTCAACAATCGCCTTCACCTTGCATGGGTCTGGCTTGAGCCCCTGTGGAGTCAGAATGTGGCCGATGAAGGGAACCTCGTGTTGCTTCAGTCTCGCTTTATTCTTGTTTAGCTTGAGGTTTCGCTCGCGACAGCGGTCCAAGAAGGCACGAACATTTCGGTCATGGTCAGCTTGCCATTCAGTGGGTGTGTCGCCGTAGCCAACTATCACAAAGTCATCTGCAATGACCTCGACTCCTTTCAGCCCCTCTATGTGTTCTCGCATTTTGCGCTGCCAGACTTCAGGTGCACTCTTAATTCCAAAGGGCATTCTTTTCCATCGGTAGCGACCGAAGGGAGTATTGAAAGTTGTGAGCAAACTGGAGTCCTCGTCTAATTCCCCTGCCAAAACCATTGCTGGCATCAAATACACTAAACACTTTT